TGGTCAAATAATGCATTTATCTTCTGTGTCTGATATACCTTAAGCCATTCCAGGTTTATGTTCTCCCTTCGCTGGTTGAGGTCCTTGGTGAAGGCAGCCTTGAATCGCACACTATAGGCAGGATCATCATCTGAGATCTTCATTGCATGCTGGAGGTGGCACAGGGCAGGGAGAACCACAGAGCAGGATACGTAGTTTTCCCCACCAAGCAGCTCAGTGATGTACCTACACACACAGAGAGAGAGAGAGAGAGAGAGAGAGAGAGAGAGAGAGAGAGAGAGAGAGAGAGAGAGAGAGAGAGAGAGAGAGAGAGAGAGAGAGAGAGAGAGAGAGAGAGAGAGAGAGAGAGAGAGAGAGAGAGAGAGAGAGAGAGAGAGAGAGAGAGAGAGAGAGAGAGAGAGAGAGAGAGAGAGAGAGAGAGAGAGAGAGAGAGAGAGAGAGAGAGAGAGAGAGAGAGAGAGAGAGAGAGAGAGAGAGAATTAATGACCAATTCATATGACTCAGATTACACATTTTTTAAATTCTTAATCACATTACATTTAAAGGCAAGTGGTTCTTAGATACAAAAGTGACATTTCAAAGAACTTGTATGCCAATTCATGAACATGTTATCTTTGTAGACCATACCTGCATGGCTCCAGCATTTTCTCCAGCTTTGCCAGCCTCTCATATTCAGCATTTGTTGGGAGGGCAAGATTGTGCTTCTGCTGAGACAGCGTTGTGTGCAGAGCGTCTCTGTTTCGCCTCACGCGTTTGACCATCTCAAGGGTGGAATTCCACCGTGTTGGAACATCTTGCACAAGTTGTTCCTGTTCTTGTCCAAGGGAGGCTTGCTGGGCATTCAGCTCGTCTGAGTTTGCTGGACTGTGTTTGAAATGTCCGACCACTTTACGGCACTTGACCAGAATGCCATCAAAACCACTTTCCCGAAGTGACACTACTATAGCTCTCTGAATAACATGTGCAACGCAGGGCAAATGCTCGAATGGCAGTATCCTCCCTGCTGCCACCATGTTACGAGCGCTGTCTGTTCCAATAGTGCTGGTTTTGGCAGCTATCCCCCACTGATTAGCAACGTCAAGAAACTGCCTGGCACATGCGTCTGCAAATTGGCGCTCCTCTGTTTTCATCACACCTAACGGTCAAACAAAGATCAGAATAAGTTCACAAGCAGTAAACAACTAGCAATCATTAAGAAGCAAACATAATGTGGTGGTAATTCATGGTGTTGTGCTAATTAATAAGTAGGCTAATTAAATTAAATTATACAACAGTTAGTTCTAACCAAGTAATTTGATTGGACAAGAGACATTCCTTGAGTGCTGATATTGGAGCACAACAGCACTGGGACATTTTACAGACAATATGAGGCGTTCTAATGTTATGTTGTGTTATTTTTGTGTTGCCTAGCAACAGCATTCTAGTTGGAACCATTTGTGTTGGCGGAGCTAAATAAATGATTGAATAAACTAACAAATTATAATCTTATGTCGCTTATTATTGTTAAATAAGAAAATTTGCTCTTAGAACTGTTGTATAAAAACAATATCACATGAGAGGGAGTGCTGTTGTGCTAAACATCAGCACTGGTGTGATTATGTATTCATGATATGAATCACACAAATGCATATATTCAACACAACAGCACTCCCTCTCGCGTGTTAACCTCTCGGTTAATTATGAAATTTAAAAGGACATAGCCTACCTAAAGCAAAGGAGTGAAGTTCCCAGCTGGCATCGATGAGGTGTGCAGTAACACCGAGGTAGTTATCATTACTGACAGAGGTCCAGTGGTCCCCAGTCAGTGCTACACAAGTTGCCTCCACCAACTTCTCATCTTTCGCGGCTTTCTCTGTTGCATGCTGGTCATGTATTTTCCTCACGATTGTTCGCCTCGCAGGTAGTTTGTAGGATGAGTCACCCGTGGCCGCCTGGAGAACAAGCTCGAGCCCATCATCTTCGACCACGCTGATGGGTCGTCAGCTAGTGGCAATCCACTGAGCAAGGAGATCAGTGAGCTTACTTGATGGAGCTGCACTGATGGGCTTGCCTCGGTTGCACTCAAACATAGTAGTTTGACGAAAACTTCCCCTGCGCAACACGTGGTCCAGCATCTTCCAAATTAGCTAAGGGATGCTTAGCGTTTAGGTGGTACTTGAGACTGGAAGAACTTCTACAGTAAACAAATTCCGCATTGCACAAGGTGCAAACAACTTTAGTCTTGTCAAGGTTTCCATTGGGAAGCTTCTTAAAAATAAATTTTCCCTGGAGCAAACCCAACAGCTTCATAGGTGCATCCATGTTGGCACATCACATTTGAAGATTCCTCCGGCATTAAAGATAATCTCTTTCGCGCGTATACATCCACGCTTTATATGTCGATGATCCGCGCCGAGTATACATCCGCGCCAACCAGGTATCCATCCGCGCAATGTGAGAATAGATTAACGGCGTCATTTTTTTTATCGCGCGATAAGAGTCTGGCTTTGCCGCAGTGCGTTAACGCCGATAACGGCCCACCCCTAGTATATATATATATATGTATGTATATGTATATATATATGTATGTATATGTATATATATATGTATGTATATGTACCGGTGTGTATATATATATATATATATATGTGTGTGTGTGTATATATGTATATATGTATATATATGCATATATGTATATATATATACATATGTATATATATATGTATATTTATATGTATATCTGTGTAGTATGTATGTATGTATATATCTGTGTGTGTGTGTGTGTGTGTGTGTGTGTGTGTGTGTGTGTGTGTGTGTGTGTGTGTGTGTGTGTGTGTGTTTGTGTAGGTAGGTAGGTAGTGAATAATGGCCGGTCTTTTATTGTGGCCGGGTGGAATGTGGTAACAAGCAAGTACGGGGGGCGGTTGTGTCATCCGTCTCACTTTTGATTTGCCAGTGATAGACCGCGAGGGTAACTTTAACCGTCCGGAGACGAAGAGGAGGCGAAAATTTGATATCAAGTTCAAAGAGAACGTGCTGATTATGCTGCAGAACACTCTGGGGAGCAGTAGCAGGGGTTGTATGAACTAGTCACTAGTCGACTTCACCGCTCTATAGTGACTTTTTATGCCTGTCATCGACTAGTCGCTGTCACGTGATAATGACCGGCAAGATGCAGTCCACGGAAAAGACAGCAGCCTGCTGTCAGCAGGTGACAAGCTCCTGCACGTCGGGAGGCAACGCACTGTGCCAGAGCGTCGGTACTGACACCCGCCGTAAAACGGACATTTAACCAAATTGTGACCTTTACCCTCTTGCAATTTAACCTTCCCCTCACCCCCATCCTAACCTTAACCAGCTTGTGCATGCAAAGCTCTGATTGTTGACGCGCTCCAGACATCTGCGTCCTGAGCACGGCCACAGCAACGTTATCAAATCAGGAGTCGCCACCTCAAAAACTAATTTAACACGCGATCGTTCATGTCGGCTCATTTCCTTTTATGTTTTCTGTCTTTTATTCTTTTATTTGTGCCTGATACGTTTCGCTGCTGTGGATCGGGGCACATCACCTGTTTTGTCCTCGGTGACACACCACTGATACGGCCGACGAGCACTCCGCTGTTTTTGCGGTCGGTAGATCTTTTAGAACTGCAGTTCAAAGGTAACTCATAAGGTGAATATATATGAACCCAGGTAGCAGTTTCTCTTTAGGATTGAGAGGAGATGCAGGAAGATAATAAACAGTCAGGACAGAAAAATAGCCACATAAAAACAAGTTAGTTTTTGTACCTGGTGGTTGCAACAAACAGACACCATTGAAGGTAATCAGAAGTGAGGAACAGAAAATGAAGTAATTATTTTAATGTTTAGAGCAGCAGGAACTCTGAGAGGCCGCAGGCGCATCAGTGAGTTTGCGTCCGCTGCGCAGGGGGAGGGGGGAGAGGGCTGAAGCAGAAACTACCGTTGTTAAAAGAAATGTGTTTAACTTTGAAAATGTGGGCGCAATTTTAATTGTCAAAAACTCCAGCGAACCATTAGTTCGTTTTGCTCAAATAGAAATAGAGGCCTGCCTCTAATTCTGGTCCTCCTTCCAATAAAGGCCTGGAGCTTTATGAGCTTGAGTCAAATACAGGCCCGGGCCTGTATTAGAGGATTTACGGTATGTATGTAAAACCAATCCCATTAAAGCATAACATTTAAAGGGGCTATACTTAAACAATTTGTCCTAATTTTGTAAATAGTCATTGGGGCACCTGCCCACCTTGGGGCCCGAGGCACTGCCTTTTTGCAGTGGGACTTCTTAGTGAATGTACTATAGAAGATAACATTTTTTTATTTCAAGATGTTTTTAAAGATCAGGAAATGTCTTTAGAAAAACCTCTGATCTGATTAGGCTTTGGTGCAGGATGGTATTTAGTCTGAAAAAAGAACAAACTCATAAATGTTAAACAAGAGTAGTTACATTCTTTTACTTTCAGTTTTGTAAGTAAAAGTTAACATTTTAACAAGATTTCTGAACGCGGCCTCATGAGATGAAAGTTGTGACAGGACTCAAATTCAGAAGTCACGTGAGCGTGTTGACTCCTGAAGAAGTGCGTCGATTGGGCAATAAGCAGGTACAGCGATAGGACCGACGCTGTGAAATAACTCCATATTGCTTTGTGTGCCTTTATGTGAGGAAATGTCGTGACGCATAAGTCCTCAGTGCGTGTGGCTTTTGTTTCGACCTCTCCAGCACGTCTACTAAGAAAAAAGAAGAGAGTTGCAGAATATTTCGGGAGTTTCCCCACAGCTCCTACTGCTGCTGGGCCGCGGTCACATGACAAGGACAACGACTGCCCTGCCCTCTTATCAGTGCGCACAGGTTCTTAAAAATAAAATAGTACCTCTAAAGAAGTCATTTCATTACACCAACCCATTAAAATTTATCTTACAAAAAACGATTGTTTTGATTTGATAAATATGAGCGTTATCTGACTGGGAAACCACGGTTACTTACGCACTACGAAGTAGGCTACGTCATGTTGTTGTTGTATCCCTCCGCTACAGTCGCACTAGGAATAACAGCCGTGGCGAGCTAAAGCAGCGTCTGCGTTGGTGTATCAGCGATCCGAGTCGTCTTTTTGAGCTAACAGCTGCCGTACAACCTACCCGGAGTGACCGACGTGTCGTCTGTCATCTCTTAACGATGAAGTTTCAGTACAAAGAGGAGCATCCGTTTGAGAAGAGGAGGTCCGAGGGAGAGAAAATAAGGAAGAAGTATCCCGACAGGGTCCCTGTGAGTAGCTTGATGCTAGCATTATCTCAGCTTACGGCATTTCTCAGCATTTGCTTTTCTACGGCTAGCCGTTGTTTACTGTGTAGTTTGAGTCGTTTTAAATGCCAACGTGATTATTGAATACACATCCATAACTGAATGTGATGATTTAGTTTGGCTGCTACGTCAGTAATCACAGCAGCACGAGCATTTAGCTAACCACGGTAGAGGAGAACCAGAGCGGCCGTCTTGAACAGGCCACAGTCATAACAGATTAGCTTATTCCTTGATGTATAGCTTTAGCATTAAAAGCTTATTTTCTTAAATAGCGTTGTTGCTTTAGGTTGAGTAATTTAAACCAAACAGCAACGCACTCATTAATGGTTTGTGTCAACAAACAAACGGACCACTTGTTTACGTCCAGATGAAAGAGCCACTAATGGTTCGGGTTTCTTCTGCATATTCTTACCCAACAGAACCGACTGGGTCTACAGATTCGTGTGTCCTGTTTGTTTTTATTTCTACATCTCAGTTTTGACTCTAAATGTTTCCTGTCATTCAATTTAATCGACTTTCATTTCCCAGCTGTTATCGGTTATCATGCTGCGTGGCTCCAAAACAAGCTACTGTTGTTGGCTATTTAAGCTATAAATTTACTCTAAATAACCATTTTATGTCCTTTTTGTTTTAAAAAGTTAAGCTTCTTGTTGTTACTTTCACAAGAAAGTAAAATAGTTATTGATATTGTTGAAAATAGTTCTTGCTAGCTCTTTGGTGGTAATTCATTTTAGATGTGAATTACAAGATCATTAAAAGACTTTTGTCGTTTGCTCTCCATTTCTCGCCAGAGCACAAAGTCTAATCTGGATTATTCCAGGTGCAAACATACTTTGTTTTTCTGATTTTTTTAAAATCAGAAACCACATTTCAGACCTCACATCAGTGATTCTCGGATCCCTTTTCTGAGAAAAGCGAAACATTTAAGCAAATTAATCCTCATTCTAAAGTAAACTCACAGCCGCTGTTCAGGGAAATGCCATGGGTTCATTGGATTTTAAACAAAAACTGCAATTTTTTTCAGGTAATTGTGGAGAAAGCACCCAAAGCCAGAATAGGAGACCTGGACAAGAAGAAATATCTTGTCCCTTCTGACTTGACAGGTAGGGTTGAAGTTGAAAGCCTGGTTTCTAACTGTTTTAAAGAATATCTGCAACTAAACTAATGTTTTTCTTTAACAGTGGGTCAGTTTTACTTCTTAATCCGCAAAAGAATCCACTTGCGAGCAGAGGATGCTCTCTTCTTCTTTGTAAACAACGTCATTCCGCCCACCTCAGCTACCATGGGACTGTTGTACCAGGTGAGACACTCTTAACATTAAAGCAACACTAAAGTTTCCCATTTCTCCCTCCTACTAGTTGAAAGCAGTTACAACTGTTGCGATCAAATAGGCTGTAACTAGTGCTTTTAATAAGCTATTGCCTACTAGGGTTTAACCAGTTTGACTATTAACCCTGGTTAACCCACCAAAAAGATGCATCCAACACCACCAATAAAAAAACAAAAAGACAATAGTGTATGGTGTTGGGGTTTTTTGGTGGGTTAACCAGGGTTAATAGTAAAACGACCGATTAATCCCTGCAACCTCAATGCTAACTTAAGCCAGCTATTAATAAAATAAGCCACAGAATAAAAAGATCCACTCTGTTGGTCAAAAAATATTACAGTTCCAGTAACAACAAAGCCAGGTCACCATCAGTCAGTGATTTTGTAGCCTCATCGTGCTCCCTCAAACTAGTGTAGGCCGTGCCAATGTTCAATCTGATTTAGGCTCATGTCTTCACCTCCAAAGACATTTTTTTACTTCATGATGCCAACAAAATAAGCTAATTTCTTCTCTTTTTTTAAAAGCATAATTAGCAAATAGAAAAAGGTAACTGTTAGCCTTTACATTAGCCAGGGTATCTGCGAGTCCTTAAAAAGTCTTAAATTTGCTTTTCCAAATTTAAGGCCTTAAAAATCCTTAAAAATGACAAATAAACCTCAAATAGTTTCCAAAGGTCTTAAATTACCAAAGACCCAATAAACAAGATTTTTTTATTTCTATAAAATTCTCGTGAATTTCTAGTTAGTGGTCAGCATTTTTTGTATATGATATTGGCGTAAGCGGAACCGTACACATTCGGTCGGTTGTGAAAGGGGGCTATTTTTAGATGAGCATGCTAGTGGGAGTTTGCGCCATGGGGATGTGCAACATTAATGGTAACTGGATGGCTAATCCCACGTTCGCGACGTGGTTAGCATCGGATCCAGGCAATAGCTGGAAATTATAGCTGAAATTTTAAAAAATTGCTTAAATTTGGTCAAAGTGGCCTTAAAAAAGTCTTAAATTTGGCTCCCTTAAACCTGCAGATACCCTGATTAGCTATCGACGCAGTAAGCTGCCAACAGTCGTAAATCAGGTAGAGACTTCCCACTTTTGTTTTTACCCAAACCACAAAAATGTTCGGTGCAGTTTGTGGCCAGCAGAGGGCTACAGAATGCGGTCTAATGTAAAGTTGCTCAGTTTGGTGGCTCCAGAATCGCTGAAAGCAGTTTGAAAGCAATAGCGGAATGTGTTTAAAACTCTTTAGTGTTGCTTCTTTGTATTTTTGACATAATCTCAATGTTTTATCCCATAATTGTTTCTCAGGAGCACCACGAGGAGGACTTTTTCCTCTACATTGCCTACAGTGACGAGAGCGTGTATGGGAACAGCCAAAGGGAAATCTGATCCCCCCCAACCACCACCCACCTTTCTGAGACCTCTGTCTTTCAGCCATTTGAATATTAAATCCAGTTCCGCAGCTTAGAGTTCCCCACAGTAAACCCATCTAATGCACTTTCATCTCAACTCTACATCACCTCTCTCTCAGTCGTCTGGTCTTTATCGTTCTGCAGTCTGAATTGTATTCAGTAACTCTTCTCACCTGGTGGTCTCAAGGCCAGTTATGTTTCTAGTGCCGTTATCGGCCGATGAGAAGGAAAATTAAATCAGTTATTAATGGTGCAAAACTTAATAATTAGGTGTGCAGTTTTAGAATGATTTAGAATAGGAAATTATTACTTCTGAATTAAAGGCTTGTAGTTTTGTCTCTGGCAGGGGAAGGGATAACTTTTGCAGCAGCTGCTTCTTAGGAAAAAACTTTTTATTTTTGGAAGACATCTATTTAATTAAATAAAATCTACAATGTGGTGCCCTGCATCTGATCTCAGCAAGGAGTTCAGTAGAATTCAGACTTCACACGATCATGCTCTGCTCTCAGTGGTAAAGTTATGTTGACTGCTACTATGATTATTGTTGTAATTGTTCATTTTAGATGGCTTATTTTCTAAAGGTATTGTAAAGCTGAGTGCAATTTTTTTAAAGTTTGTTTTCTTTAATAACAGATTGAACTCTGTATACAGCTGCTTTACTGGCTCTCTCTCTCCATTCAATGCCGTACTTGATAAAATGTTATTAGAAATCTATTTGTGGTTTTTATTGAATTTTGGATCTTGAACAGCAGTTGTTGATGTTCAAACGTCAGTTTTGTTCAGCCTTTAGATTCTGTTCCTCTATTTGAAAGGTGTGACTTACTGCCTTAAGATTTGAGGGTGCTCAGTTTAACCAGGAAACACAAACTTTTTATTCTAATAGTAGAAAATTGCTCATCAGGTACATGTTTTCTAATTGAATGTTCTTAATCACACACACAAATCCAGAGTAAGATGCGGTGGGACATTCCAATTCAATAATTTTACATATTTTACAAATTTTACACCATTCAACAGCATCTCCTCTCACTACCAACCCTCAGCACCCCCCACCCCCCCTAAATCTGACCAGGTGAGGAGAGAACCAAGGTGGCTTAAGAGCAGGAAGGCTGCAGGTCCTGGCGGGATCAGCCCCAGAGTGCTCAAAGACGCACATGTCACGCACATGTTCAACCTGAGCCTTCAGTTGGAGCAGGTCCACGTTACGTGGACGACCTCCTGTGTGGTTCCAGTTCCCAAAACATCACATCCCTGGGAACCAGACCACTACAGACCAGTCGCCTTGATCTCCCATCTGATGGAAGATTATGGAGAGACTCATCTTTACCCATTTACGTTCAATGGTGAGCCTGGAAGTAGATCCACTGCAATTTGCATAGAAACCAAACATGAGGTGGAGGACGTGCTCATCTACCTGCAGCACCAGGCCCCGACACCTTGAGGTGCAAAAAAGCACTGAGAAAAATGTTCTTCGACTTCTCAAGTGCTTTCAACACGTCCAGCCGTGTCTACTGCAGCAGAAGATGAGGGGTGCAGGAGCGGACGAACATCTGACTGCATGGACCACTTGCAGTATGCTGCATAGTTCTGGAACCCAAGTTTTTAAATTTTCATTCATGGTTTTTAGTGGTCGAAGGTTACGATAATAGCTTACTGCTTGTGTTTATATATACATGTACCTTTTGTTGTTCTTCAAATAATTCTTTTAAGCGTTTGTGCTTCTGTGAGAAGTGAATTTCCCCCCACTGTGGGATCAATAAAGTCTATTCTTTTCTAAATCAACAGTACTTTTCAAAGAGCTAAACTCTAAAAACATTTTAAGTGTGATGTACTTATTTTAAGGTTTTCAGATAATGAACAAAGATTCTTGGTCAAAACCATGAAGGATGTTGTCCATTTTCCAAGCTCATAAATACTACGGGTAAAACTACAATTCCCTTGATGCTTTGCGAAGGAAACATCACCACCGAAAGTGCAACTTGACTTCCTCACCCGGGCCCAAAACCGCTCCTTGCTCATTTATACCTGCGCAGAAGTTTAAGCTAAATACGCCACAGATAGAATACTGGAGCATATTTAAATTCTTCGTAAACGACTCACAAAACGACAAAAGTAAGTTTAAATACATTTTGCAAATTGACATTCAAGTAAAGTCGATCTAAACCAGGCAACACGGCGACGTGCTTTGCATCTAGCTAGCAAACCGTAACTCCCTATGTGTCCCCAAAAAAACTAATTTGTCACAGTTTTGCTTGTGAAGAAGCACATAGCTTGTGTTTCAAAATGTATTCGTGTTTGCAGGAGAATTTTAAGTTAGAAATATTCATAATAACGTGTATTACAGTATTTGTTAGCCTAGCCTACAGCTAATAGCATTTTATCCCATTTTACTCGTGCTTTATTATGGAGTTGCTACACGCTAGCTACGTACTGCCCAATGTAATGATTTCCGGGTCTGCTTGGTGACCCTGTAATGATGTTCTTAACCACACTAGCTGGCCCCTCCGCTGCCTGTCACTATGCCCGCACTGCTGGAGAGACCCAAGCTGTCTAACGCGATGGCCAGAGCCCTCCACAAGCACATCATGAGGGAGAGGGAGCGCAAGAGGCAAGGTGTGTTGGTGCTTCTCTGACTGAACGGACCATATACTGAACTTGTAGCCGATACAATACACTTTCTGTACAATTCTGATTTTGTTCCATTCTGTTCTAGAATCTCAGTCCTTTTAAAAAAAATCCCAGTTCTCATCCCCATCCAGTTCTTTTCTACAGTCATTGGTTACTAAACTAGACAATTTTTGCTCCAAGACACAAACATCAACAGGCAATTGATCTAAACGATGAAAATGTTCATTTAATTATCAAAATGTGTCTACATTTATCTAGTGTTTATTCTTCTCTAAATAATGTAGGTTTTCTGCGTGCTTAATAATGTGATTTTCAGAGGAAGAGGAAGTAGACAAGATGATGGAGCAGAAGCTAAAGGAAGAGGAGGAGAGAAAGAGGACAAAGGAGATAGAGGAGAGGATGTCGTTAGAGGAAACCAAAGAACAGGTTGGTAACATAAAAATCACATTTCCATCTTCAGCTTGTTTTATTTTTGTTAATAATAATAATAAATGTTATTTAAAAGTGCCTTTCTATACACTCAAGGTGACTGTACATGATAAAAACACAAATTTATTAAATAAGTAAGTAAGTAAACATAAGTACAAGGAAAGAAAATAAACAAGGCACTCTAAAATTCAAAGTAGATGGGTGGTTTAAAAAAGAGGTGAGTCTTGAGCTGGTTTTGAATCGAGTAAGTGAGTTTATGTTCCTGATGCGAGGGGGAAGGGAGGTCCAGAGTTTGGGAGCGATGAAACAGAAGGCTCTACTCCCCATGGCGCTGAGGCGTACAGAGGGCACAGAGAGATGAAGGAGGAGGATGATCTGAGGGAACGGGACGAGGTGACGACATGGAGATCTGTTAGGTAATGAGGGTCAAGGTTATGGACGGCCTCGAAGGTGAGCAGGAGAATTGTAAAATCGATCCTGGCTTGCAGTGGAATCCAATGAAGCTGTTGAGGATGGGGTGATATGGTGAGGTAAGGGAGTTTTTGTTAGGACACGTGCTGCTGAATGTTGTACCAACTGGAGCTTACGGCGTTATCAGAGTTAATAGCTCTGATACAAAAACATGCTGTGCCTGTATTTTAACACCAGGTGATGAAGATGGAAGAAAAGCTGCAGGGACTCCAAGAGGAGAAGCATCAGTTGTTTTTACAACTCAAGAAAGTTCTCCACGAAGAAGAGAAGAGGCGCAGAAAGGAGCAGAGGTATAACCCAAGAATATTATGGAGTTTTTTTTTTAAATCATTTAATGACTGGTGGAATTCAGCCTGTGCCCCTTCCTGTTTCTGTAGTGACATCACTACCCTGACATCAGCCAGCTACCAGCCCAGTCTGTCCATGCACACAGGGCAGCACCTCCTCAGTATCCCAGGTGAGACAGCGTCACTGGTCCTCCGTCAGGAACTGTAGGCGGTAGTTTTAACTGTCCTGTGACTTCTGTTGTCTCAGGCAGCCCAGTCAGCCACAGTCGACCCGGCGCTCTGCTGGGAGAACGCAGCAAACAGCTGTTCTCTGCTTCTGTGATCCCTGTAAGTCAACAGGATCTCTGGCCTCCCCTAAACATCAAATGTACTCATTTTTATTCTAAACAGTCTCTGTGTAAACAGAAGTGAGAAGAAATAAGAAGTCCCTTTTCTTAATACCTTCATCTCCCCTTGTAGACCCGCCATTATCAGACCCCCACATTCAGTTCAGGCTCAGCAGAACACGGACAGTTCAGCGGGAGCCAGGGCGTCCATGAGCCTTACGGGGTGGCTCAGGCCCAGCACCCCTCCTCCTATGCTCCAGGACCTTCAGTACCCGTCAGTTTCCCCAGCAGTTCTCAGATCAGAGGTGAGGCATCAGTAACGTGAATCAGCTTGAGGACAACAGGAAGTGTTGTCTAAACATCTGTTTACCTTCAGGTGCGTCTGCGTTTCAAGCCATGCAGTACCTCCCTCATCAGCAGGCTGGTTATCCTGTTCACAGCCCTTTTACCTCTCAGTCAGGTGAGTCTCACCCGTATGTCGCAGCCCAGCGCTGTTGTTTAAACTACGCTTGATGTTTTGTTTTTTTACTTAGTAGGAATTGTTTGTTTCAGGATACATCCCAGCACCAACGATATCTCTACAGAAGCAGCTGGAACACGCCAACCAACAGTCCGGCTTTACTGATGCTGTAAGAGCAAAATGTTTGAAATTACTGCGTTTTTTTTTTGTTGTTTAACGGGGACATATTATGCAAAACTAACCTATAGCATCCCTTTGTGCTGCCATGTGAGTCTATACTGCCTCTGTAATAATAATATTGATTTATGAAGCACTTTCCATTATTTACTCAATGCTGGTGATGGTAAACTACTATGTAGCCACAGCTGCCCTGGGGCAGTCTGACAGAGACCAGGCTGCCTTTTTGCGTGATCGACCCCTCTGACCACCACCAACAAAGACAAGTTAAGCCGGGCGTACACTGAGCGACTTTTTCAATTTTTTGAGCCGATTTTCCAGTCGTGCGAGAATCCACGAGATCGGGGCGAGTTTTGCGCCGAGCGTCGTGTAGTGTACAGGGGGTTACGAGAGGCGATTAACACCACGTGACCAGCTACCGATCAGCAGTCGTGAGCTCGCACGGACTTCTGGCGTGTTTAATATTTTGCTCGTCCCTCGTGAGGGTATCGCACTGTTGAAGCGGCGCAGCGAGCAGCTGCAACCCAAAATGTATCAGAACCGCTCACGGCGCATGCGCAATCCTGCATCAACACCGTTCGCTCGCTATTTCCCTAATAACACACGTTGTCCGTTTTAATTTCTACACGTTTTTTACACACAAAGATTGTCAAGAAAGTGTGTTTGTCGTGTTCATGTCAAATTAAACTGATCACAAAACACAGATTTACTTTCTTTATTTCGTTTTCCTCATCCAACCCCCATAAATCCCTGTGCGTCCTCCTGCAGCACTCCTGAAGGACAACAGGCAAAACAAGACAAAAAAGTCTGACGTGTTGTGTAAAAACTGCTATTTTTAGCATATTTTTGGGCCGACCTGTTGCTACCAGACGTACAGTGTGAGCAGTCAGGTCGTATCCGAGAACTGGGTCGTGCAGTGTGAGCGCATGACTCGTGAGATCTGCCCTGCGAGGAAGTCGTACAGTTAGAGCTGAAGCCGAGTGCTACGAGTGAAAAAGTCGCACAGTGTCCGCCCGGCTTTAGGTGACGTGTATTGCTCAAGGAAACAGCAGCTAAATTCTCTGCGGGGGGGGGGGCATCGATCCTGCAAACCTACAATTACTCGACAACCCCGCTCTACCTCCTGAGCTACTGCTGTTGCCCTAAAAACACCCCAAATGTGAAAAATAAAACCTCCATCCGTTTTCTTTCAGTGTTTGGTTTTAGGCATTATGTGCCTAAAATGAGCTGTTTCCAAAAGTTCACATTTGTGATGTCACAACAGGAAAACCAGAATAGAGCCACTTCTCAGGTGCAAGAGAGAGGTGCTGCGGGGGGATCAGTGGCTCTATTACAAGCCTCCCATGGATGTCGGAGCCTCCCACCTAACCGTAGCTCATCAGGGGGTGGGTGGTCGTGGCCCACTAGCTTGTTTTCTTAAAGTGACAGAGCCCTGAAACGGCTCATTTAGGAAGGAACTGAAACCATCAAGAATAAAACAGCTGAAAGATCTTTATGTGGGAGGGATTTAGTGCAGACCATAGACTATTACACCTTAAGACAGAAGTCACAGTACATCCCCTTTAAACAAGAACGCCGCACTACAGCAGCTTCTCCAACCTGCACTTGAGTTTGCTGTTTAGTGTTTTGGTTCTGTGTCTTGTTGATGTTTCAGGGCGGTTTGAGGCCCATGCACCCCTCAGCCATGCATCCCTCAGCCCAAGGTCTGCTGCCTGCACCTATGGTCCAGATCCCTACTGCTAAGGTGAACCATACAAATATAAACACACGCTTTCCACCACCTGTTTTATGCTTCTTATAATCAGTGATGTAAAAATCAGCAACAATCTGCCCCGCTGTGTCACCTCTCAGCTGGCTAGTGCTGGGTTAACGGTGATGCGGACAGCCCATTAGTAGTGTTTACACAGGACTTTGTTTCTGTTGTAAACATGTGGCTCAGGTTTTGATAGTGATTCACCACCTCTCATTCTTGTTGTAAATATCTCCCTGAACAGCCTCAGTTCAGAGAAATGAAGGTCACACCGGACAGGACCGTTAAGCTAACAGCGAAAGTCTTAAAACCAATATTTCATGTAATGTTTAATCCTCCCACTTAGTCATTTAGATGGAAATCTGTTTCCGCAAGAGCATAAGTAACAGCAGGGATGTCCTGATGTTACCAAAACAAGGCTGTGGTGGAAAACGTACGTGGTAAAGGTTTATGGAGGTCACGCGTCAGTTTTCTGTTGCTGACATGTTTATAAATGAAACATCGCCCTTTTTTTAGGCGGTTTTGTTTTGTGTTTATGACCAGGCCCCCTTCCAGAGCTCTCCGCAGGGCACTCCTCGTCACAGCTTCCTGTCCCACAGCCAGAGCGGGCAGAGGTTTTACCACCATGGCAAGTAGCCCACAGCGCCCTCAGCATCCGCTTCCCGGACACTCTGGAGACGCCGTCGGACCTGGTCTTGATGTTTTAAACCTTTTTGATGTAAAGTTTGTACAGTAGCTTTCATCGCTTCTGGTTTAAAGTCCTCAAACTCGCACTTGTCTTTTTTGTTCTCACTACACTTTTAAATAGTAAATTTGTAAAATAACTGTATTACAGACCCAGAATTTTTAGTTTCTCCATAAATGATTGGAATTAGACCAATGAGACTGGTCCCGCACACATTAACTAGTTAAGCTTAAACACTTTGTCCCAAGTTTTTGTCTGTCCTCGGATGACCTTTTGTAACACGATTTGGAGGAAAACCAGCTGTAGCATAAATAAAGTTGGGTTATTTGGAATTATTCACTTAAATGTTGCTAAATAAACAAATCACTTTTCAACTGTTTTTGCCATTCTTTCCTTTTTATTGTTTGCCCACAGAGACGTCCTGCAAAGTCGGGCCTGGTTAAGTAAACTGCTGCTCTGAAAACAAATCTGTTCCAGGTTGGAGTCATTTCTTCCCAAAGTTTCTGCAAAGAGCTTCCCAGGAGTTGTTTTTGGACACAAAACAAAAGGAAGGGTGCATTGTTCCGCATAGGCGCCAGGTGATGGAGCTGCTTCAGACCAGGTGTTGTGCAGAAATACGAATCCGCCTGCTGAACAGACCACTGGAGATGAAGCCCTTCATAAATCAGGGATCAATAAAAAGAAAACACTGTCCCTCTTCTTTCTAAAGGTGATCATCTATTTTAAATATGCACACCTGTTCTGGTTTATGATCACGTAGTCGGGACGTGAACTGTGACCGAGCCCACAGGAGGGTCAGAAAACTGGAGAGAATGAAAAAAAAACGCAGACGAGTCATTAGCTCCCTTCGTTTCCATTGGTCTTGATTGCCCCTGAAACAGTTGCAAGGAAGAAAGAGAGAAAAGGGGAGGCGGAGTCAGGAACCATAAACGTATTTATAGGCGAAGAAAAATTACATTTCAGTGTTTTGAAATATTTAATTTATAACTCTTGATTCTACAGCCCATGTGACATAGAAAGGTGCCGTCTGAGGCTGTAAAGTCAAGAGTTCATCATTAAAATACACACCGGGAGCCTCCAGCTCTCACGGATTGTAAAGTGCGACATTAGAAGTGGTAACATGGAACAAAAGCATATGTCACAATTCATCCAGACAGGAAACCTGAAAAAGGTGCGTCTCAATATGGGGTGCCATTTGTAAAGTCAAACAGTCATAATCTAACAGCAATATTTTTGGTTATTTAGCATATCATAAGAGAAAAAAATGGGAGTTCACTTGTTCGAAATCATATTTTCACCATGTTATTCAGACATTTATAAATGTTAAAGTTTCCAAATAAATATTTAGTTGGCAAGCTAAATATTTAATTTGTAGTTAAATATTTATTTTGCAAGCTAAATATTTAGGTCTGATCTAAATATTTAGTTTGTAAAATAAATATTTAATTCACTAACTAAATATTTAATTTACTAATTAAATATTTATTTTGGAACTAAATATTTAATTTGTAAATTAAATATTTATTTTCCAAAAAAAATATTTAGATCTCAGCTAAATATTTATTTTGGAGCAAAACATTTAGTTTGCAAAATCAGTATTTGGGAAATAAATATTTAAGTCTGACCCAAAAATATAAAATATAGTGTGGAGCTAAATAACATCGTGGAAAATAAATATTTAGCTGGTACTTAAACATTTAGCTAATATGCAAATTCACTTGCCAATAAGCGGAAGTTGGTTACCAAAATAAAAGCTGGATCTCGCTAACTTCTTTATAAACTCTTGCTCCGAACCAGAACTTGTTTTGTCTCCGGTTCTATTCTTCTGAACATGTCCGACGTATTGGCTGAAGAAAAAGTGAACTCCCAATTTTTTCTCTTATGATATGCTAAATAACCAAAAATATTGCTGTTAGATTATGACTGTTTGACTTTACAAATGGCACCCCATATCTCAAACACGTATGTGCAAGTTCAACAGCGCAAACACAGATTTACGCAATAGCAAGTGTGAGTAAATGGATACATTCATTCAGTTAAATAATACATCAACTCTAACTTGAGCAGCGGCGGCGGGACCGTCTTCCCTTTGAGTCTGAACACAGACACACAGATGTAATCGGACGTTTCAGACACACTCTTCTCCAGGTGGGTTCAGGTCTGGCGGATTTACCTGCTCGGGCTCATTTCCCCAAGGCTTTGATGCCGATGGCGGCTTCCTCTTCCATAGCATTTAGAACGGTGATCTGGGAAAGAAAAAAGGAATCACGTTCTTTTTTTTTTTTTTGTGAAGGAATGTTTTGAATTTAGTACTCAGGGCAACGAGTGAGTGGTTCTGACCAGAATCTCTTCTCCAGCTTCATGTTTGCTCTCTATTTCTTTTCCAAGGTCTCCCTCTGGAATCTTCAGGTCCTCCCGGACTTCCCCGCTGTCCTGGAGCAGGGACAAGTATCCGTCCTGGATCCCGATGAGCTGGGAGACGGCAGCAACAGTGGTCAGGATGAGTCAGAGATAGTTGTGACCCAAACAGGCTGTTCTTGTTGGGCCGATTCCACTTCTCCATGTCAGTGATTGGGGTGGGATGACACAGGACACATCCGGAACTCTGAGACTGCTTTTCCTTCAGCAGGAAACACGACTCTGGTCATGTTTGGCTCTATTCAGCCATTATTATTTATTCATGAAGGGTTTGTTAAAATATGCATGCATAGTAAAATTAAAAACACTTTAAGCTTTCTTTCTGTCCACGAGGATCACAAACAGAATACTGATGTGTGTGATGAAACTGCTCAGCTGCTAAATGCTCCACGTTTATTTACATAAAACTACAGTTATGTGTATAAAATAGTATATTTCTATCAACTTGCAGCACTTCTAGACAGCCATTTATAATATATCTGCTGATATTATGTTATAATGTAAATTCTTCATCAGTGTAAATGAAAGTGTTTACGTCGTATCCATGACGTGTTTAAAATCGGTCCTCGTTCACTTCATTTCTCATAAATCTGCTGTGGACTAGTGTGACCGAACGCCTTGTGGGTCATTTTTTTGGTGTGTCTGTTTCAGGAAGTTAGCCGGAGAAGTGGGGGCTGGAAAACGGTTGCATTTAGAGTCTTATTCATCTGATTGGCCAACAGCAGCGTGATTCTTCCGCTGCCTTTGCTTGCTCTTCTGTTTCGGCTCTCGGGACTGGATGTGGCCGGTTTATGATGAAAGTACTTATCCTGAAACTATGTTCTGGCCACTTTAAGGCCAGAAGGGGTCTGATGCTGGCAGTCTACTAGTGTTTAAGATGGCCGCCTGGTTGCAGTACTGCTCGGACTAGCCGCTAGCTCATCAATTGGGACCAAAGCTTTAACAGAGCTGGTGCAGCTCTAGCTCTGATTATATATGAGGACTAAAAGGTTCTTGACCAAAGCCCATTAAATCAAATATGGCTGCCCACTAGAGTCTAAGGCCCAATCTCAATACTCGCACTGCGGTTTTCAGCAAAGTGCACTTGGAGAAAGTGAGCAGTAGGGTTTGAGTGTTTAGTACACAAGTGCAAATAATTGCCGAATTGAGACAGGGAGCATTACGCCATCGATTGCAACGCATGCCGGGATGCTGGTGGCTGTGAAACTTTTCTCAAAAACCTTTATTAAAATCTTTCGTTCAAACAAACAACAAAGCAATTACAAATAATTTAAGTTCATTGCTGCTTTGTCTAAAACATTCAGAGCATCAACTAATCGTTCTAAAATGAACTTATTTCATTAGAGAATACATATTTTCAGAAAAGGAACTTGAGCCGTTTCTCCTGCAGCAATGACTTGTGGGTAATACCCTTGCCCGAGGTCCGCATCGCTGCGGACTTGGGTGAAGTGCAGATTAAGGGTGCAACGGGGGCGTGGTCAACTTCCGTACTTGAGAATCGGGACACCCTACGCACTCGCACCCCTGGCCGAGAACGCGCAATTGAAGGGTGCAAGTGTAAGTATTGAGATTGGGTCTCACTGCTTAATTTCCACCCAAAATATCTATTTTACTTTACTTATTTTTAATACAGTTGCAGCGGTCATAGTAGAAACGAATGCCTTGTAATCCATTCTCTGGGGAATAACAGAAGAAAGCAGCTTCAGATGGCAGGATTTGGATTTCCTGATATTAGGACATCTCATCTCTGATTGGCTAACAGCAACACGAGACTGCCACTGACTCTGCTTGCTCTGCATTGTTGAGGTTTTATTCTCCACAATTAACTCAAGCCTGGAGGAGTTCTGCCGTGTGGTGGAGTTGCTAATGCTAATGGTTAGCTTCTACTGGCCGAGATGTTCTCTGCTGTTTCCTGGACGCTAAACCAACAACAGCCTTCCCCGTCGTGAGTCCATGAATGTTAGTGACAGTGTGACACAGATCTGTCAGGCTTTTCTAATCCTAAAGTTTCGTAGTCTACTTTCTATCAGAAGCTAATGCAGGAGATAGGTGTAGGAGACTATTTTCATGTTCAGCCTGCAGGAAAAACTCAGAGATTGATGATTTTCCAAAAAATAAAACATTGTTTGTCAGTGAACTTGCTCTTTAAATAAATCTGAACACACTGCAAACTCTGAAACAGTGTTTACAAGCATCACATGAGAGACTATACCACCAGAGTTATTTATTTCTGACTAGTGCTGGGTGGTGGTTGACTCAGATTTAGTGTTATTGTTCAGAAGCACACAGAAAACAACAGCATTCATATCAGCCTAACAGTGAGACAGCATCCTGTGAGAGGGTTTGTGTTAATGAGTGAATTACAAACAGAATGTAGAACAGGGGTCACCAACTCTGGTTCTCCAGGGCTACCACCCTGCACAAGTCAGCTGTTTCTTTGCTCCTACACACCTGATTGTAAGGAATATTAACAGGCCTGTGCAGAGTTAAAGGTGGTAAGAAGAGGATGTAATTAATCCATTAAGGTGTGGTAGAGCAGGAAACACAGAAAACAAGCAGGATGGTAGCCCTCGAGGACCGGAGTTGGTGACACCTGATGCAGAGGATATTCAAATTCAAATATACTTTATTAATCCCAGAGGGAAATTGATTGCTGTAGTAGCTCAGAATAATAATAATAATCAAGACATCAAAGAGTTATTGTATATTACAATGGCTGTTGGCAGGAAGGATCTCCAGTAGCGGTCAGTGTTGCAGTGAAACTGAAGAAGCCTCTGACTGAAGACACTCTTCCGTTGTCGGACAGTCTTGTGAAGAGGATGCTCAGGGTTGTCCATCATTTTCTTGATTCTCTGGAGAATCCTTCCTTGCATTATCTCCTCCAGCGGTTCCGAAACTGCCGATACTCTGGCTGAGTCCTTGAAAGGGCTTGGAGTTCATCCATCTTGTTGGCCAGTGATCTCACATTGCCCATTATGATCGATGGAAGAGATGGTTTGAATTTCCTCTTTCTCTGTCTCCGCTTTTCTCCCGCTCTGCACCCACGCTTCTTGCGTTTTAGCTCATTTGGGATTTGTGGCTTCAGTTGAGGTATTATTTCAGCCTTTCCAATGTTAATCAGCTGCTCCCGATTGTAAACCAGCTTGTTGCCATGGTTACGCATCATAAAAAATGCTCAAAAAGAGAAAAAAGTGAAACAATAGCAGTAAAAATCCTCCAAGCTTCACAGCACCAGAAACAGAAAAGTAAAATGTCCACACAAAAAAATACAGTTTTTCTTGAGAAACTAAAAGAAAAAAATGCCCCAAAAAAGGCAAAACTTACATATTGACCCTTTGCACGTGACGTCACGCCACTCATGAGACCGCCGCCTTCGCCAAGATGGACGGCAAAAAGACCGTTTACACCCGTAGAAACTCCAGTGAAGCTAGTCAAAACAAGCCAGTTTGTAGCCTTTTATGGCTTTTATTGAGTTGATTTGACAGTAAAATGGTTTTAGCTTGCTGCGTGGTCGGCTGCACTAACAGACAAGGGCGTAAACTCAACTCGTTTTTTCTTTTTAATAACTTTGATGGAGACTGAGGACGGAGATGAACTGCAGCGATCAATCAAGCGGACTAGCAGGCCTCAGATTTGCAGCGAACATGTTTTTAACGGGTAAGATTAACGTTCATTTATTTCACGAGGAAGACAGGGACAGGGATAAATGTGATGTGTTTATACGAGTTATTGATAATCCTGATGGACGGGTATTTCACCACGGAGGCTGCGCTCCGTCCACTGTAGTGTAAAGCGAGACAATTATTAACAACATTAAAGCTCCGATATATGATTACGTGTGTTAAAATTACGTTATTTATTTATATGAGCGTCGGCGTTCAGAGATCTTCTCATTCGGGTGTGAGAGCAGCAGCTGAACCCGGTAACACCACCAGCAACAGAAGCTGGTAGAGATCGGGACGTTTTAACAATCAGCTTTGGTGTAAAGTGAAACGCTGTTTACAACATAAAGTTATAAATCCAGAGGGGTGAATTTAGGCAAAGTCAGCAACGTGTTTACATCGGTGAACAGCTGCAGAGAGAACGTAAGCTAACGTTGGTAAGCTAGTTAGCATACCGCTCTCTATGAGCCCCCGCTAGATGCGCTCGCTACTTCTTCTGATAACTGAACTGGGCATGAACTAGTTGAAGGAATGCTGGAGGAGTTTTGTTTTTGTTTTGATCGCAAAAACAATTTCAGGCTCTACTTTTCCCTTTGTTTAGTAATCGTGTCGCTCACTGTTTACATGCTTTTGCCATCCACCATGGTGGACCCACGTGATTAGGTGACGTCGGTGCAAAGGGTCAGTAGTCAACAGAGCTACTCCAACATGCAGCCACGCAGAGCAGCGCAGGTCCAGAATCCCCCTCCATAATAGGCGTTTTATCGAGTCTTGAAATGAGTGAGCTGCAGATTTCTTCTACATTGTCCCAGAGCAGTGTTATCGCCACAAATAGTGATTATTACCATATTTAAATGTATTAATCGTCATTTCTAAGTAATCACATTAGAATCTATTTAAGGGTTTGGCAGAAAAAATGAGAACAAAACAAACTTTAAAACATTTAGAACTTGATAAAACACGTGTTTGACTTTGCATTTTGTCTCGAATGATTCGTCTCACCTGGTAATCCATTCTTTTGATGTTGGGGACATCCATGTTATGAGTGGAGGGACAGATGTCTTCATACTTCTTACCGGAGAAGATGTCGATGCCGACCAGGTGAACCTGTAGGAAGACAGAATAAATTAGACATGTTTACGAAAGATCCTGGGTGTCCGCTATAGTCACTCACTGACCTTGGCGTGACCATGCTTTCCGGTCTTGGAGGTGGACATCTCAACGATCTTGCAGGGACGCCCTTTGAGCACCACAAAACCGTTTTTACGCAGGGCAGAGCACTGCATGGGGTAGGTGGCTGAAGCACCGGCATCACCCGTCTGGAAGTCCAGCTCTGCATCTGCCATGTCTGCTGCGTGCATGCACGCGCACGCACGCACACACACACACACACACACACACACACACACACACACACACACACACACTTTAGACAAAATTATAATTATATTAATTTGCATTATCAAGAGTTGTTTGAGGGAAATCACAGCAAGAGGGAGGTCTCAAAAATATAAAAGGTAATGACATCATCAGTCTATGTTGTGCACAAAAAGAGAAAAGAGTAGACGCTACGCTTAGAACAAAATAATTTAGAGGTAAACAAAAAAAAAAGCATGACCGGTTTAAAAGACCAAAGGTGACCGATCATTTGCTGCTGTGGCTCCTAGACTCTGGACCTCTCTCCCCCTGAGCCTGAGGCCCTGTCCACACGTAGCCGGGGATCTGCCAAAACATAGATATTTTTCTACGTTTTGGCCTGTCATCCACATGAAAACGGAGATTTTTCACACGAAAACGGATCTTTTTAAAAACTTCGGCCAAAGTGAAGATATGCGTTTTCTCCGTTTTGGGTGTCTGCGTGTGGACGGACAAAACCGGAGTTTTAAGGTCCGCAACGTCACTTTCTGCGACAATAAAATGCTGGCATCACGTGTGCGACCTGTGTTTACACTAGCCGACATCATGGACACCCTCAGAGCTGCGCTCGCTTTATCAATTGTCCAAGCGCTTTTTGCTTGTTTGTTTTTGCAAGCGGAATTACTGCTCCTTGCGGAAGACCACAGACGAAGGACGAGGTTAAGAACGGGGGAAGTACTGCCGCCTACAGGTCTGGCATGTCCTTAACAACGTATTTATCCGGGTGCGTGTGGACGGTGTGGACAGAGTTTCTTTTAAAAGCGAGGTGGTGTCGATGCAAGTTTTTGGAGGCGCGGATATTCGTTTTTAAAAAAAAACCGGCTACTGTGGACTAGGCCTTAGATCAGTGGACTCAGTGATCTCCTTTAAAAAACAGCTGAAGACTCACTTGTTCAAGCTGGCTTTTGTATGACCTTCTTCACCACTCTCTCTTTATTCTGCTCTCCCCACCTATTCCACCTTCCTCAGGATCCACTTATTTCCCTCTTTCCTGTTCACTCTCTCTCTCTTTCTTTACATTTTTAATCACAATTGTTTATTTTTTGCTCATTTTAAATATATTTTTAACCATTTTCTAAATTCTTTTTTATATTTTTACATTTTTTGTTTTTGTGAAGCGCCTCGTGATTTTTTATCTTGAGAGGCGCTATAGAAATGATACTTTCTTCTTCTTTAATGGTTGATCATCTGATCAGCAATGATCATAGGTCAACAGAAAGTTTTTTGTTTTGTAATTAAATCAGAGCCAGCTGCGATCATTATTGGCTGGTCAGAACTCTGGTCAAATTCAGTTAAAATAACAAAAAAGCTAAATATGAAAACTTGTTTGTACAGCTGACCAGTAACTGGTTAATAAACCACAGTCATTATAACCAGAGAACTACATAAACGGTTGTATATAAACACTACATATAAAGAACTGTGTGTGAAAATTAAGGAAAACCAATTTATCACATAATAACTATACAGGATAAACGAAAGACACTTTAACCCACCTGAATGTATTTATTTTCTCTTTAGGTTAAGTGACATCACTTTCTTCGCTGATGTGTTTTTTACGTTTAGCTCCTAGTTGCATAAAACACACCAACATTACATGAAATCTCCAAAACTGAACATATTGCAGGGATGTCTAATAAATCCAACAAATATTTAACCAGTAAATATGTAGAACTTGTATCATGCCTTGTTAAAAACAATTTCCAACATCCTCCAGTGTGGACTGGCTTCTCTGGCGTAGATTTGCTCTAGACATTGGTGGGGACTTATAAATCTATGTGTTATGAAGGTAGAACTCAAGGAGAGAACATCATTTAAACCTTTCTGCACCTCTAGTGTAACAAGACATTGACAGGCTTATTTATTATTATTTTTTTATATAGCAGAGGCGGTCAAATTATTGATGGGGGACTCCTCCATCCATGCCAAATCTACGCCCTTGACTGGCTTTATGCAACGCTTATGCATCTGGTGGGAAAGCAGGGTTAGATCAACGTATAAATTCTAGTAGATGGAATCATTTCCTAATTACAATTTTTCAACATTTTGTCTAAAACTATTCTATTAAAGATTTTTAATAAAGCCATAGTGATCTGTGTGTGCGCGCGCGCAGTTTGATTATATGTCAGAACGACTTGCCATACATACAGTACCATATGGTCATGTCCCGCATCAACCCGCTGGAATCTGGCCGAGGCCCTCCTGGTTCTAATGACACAAGTCTGGCCCTAAGTCAAAAGAGCTAATTACATCAGTGACGTCAGTAATGACCGAAGCAGGAACCTGCTGCTTACTCCGACACCAGCACGCGCCCACAAACCGGGAACTGGTTCGGGTAGCTGGCGGCCCGTCGGTTAGTGACTAACTTAAGAGTCGTGATGGTGCACGAGCGCTGTGAGGATACAGGATGTAGTTCAGGCAAGTGTCGTCTCATGATGAGCAGTCAGTGGGTGAAAACACCCCAAATTAGTCCTGGTGTGAAATAAAACAAAGCCTGTCTGGATGTTTTGATGAGGGACTTACTTTAGATAAATAAGTGTCTCCTCCTGAAGAGTCCTCCTCTTTGACTCCTGCTGTCCCTTCTTCCAACGGGCCTCTAAAGGGGTCTGCTCCCTGCTTGGGTAGCTAGTCTGCGATGTCGCTCCCCTTTTTCGTTCGCCTTCAGCTGTTTCTTTTATTTCGCCTTCCAGTCGTTTCCGTTCGCTTCTCCTCTTTATATAAATAAGCCAGACTGCTGTTTACCTCCTACAGAGGTAAGGAGAGCCGTCGGGCCGAAAGGACCAAAGTCCTGTCCCCCTGCTCGTTTCAACTGTCGGTACCCTACACCACCTTCTCTGGTTGTCCCCTCGTCCAGCTCACCACCACCGCCTGGACATAATAAACACATAAAAACAACTCAACAAACCACATCCTCACGGAGCTGTCACAGTAAAACCTCGGTAGGCTTAAAGTCCCCGGGTCGACCATCGACACATATATGTCGACATGAAAATGCTTTTATTCTGAAGTTAAGATTGAAGCGATTCCGGTTTTCTCTCGAAATAGTTGTGATGCGCTTTCATGTGCCAAGAAACGTCGGCGATTTGGCTTGTGCGCATGCGCAGATCTCCTGACAACAGACTACTTACAGGATATTCTTGACCTAAAAACGAGTTAAAACTGACACAGTCATGGTCATGAGCATTCGGGTGCGTTTATTATTTATTTAATTTTGCCTTAACTTATTTACCTTTATTTATCCATCTACATTAATTATCATTAAAAAACAAATACAAATTTAAGATACAAAGATAACTTTTCAGTTGCTCCTAAGGCCCGGTCTCTGATTTGGCAGCAGCCGTACATTATCACTGCTTCCAATAACTCCAGTCTAATTGTAGGTGTAGTTTGTTGAACTACAGCCATAGTCACAAGTGTGCAGCAAATGTTTCCTCAGAACTTGGCTGTTCCCAGAGAGACTGGGTTAAATTTAGTTTGGTGAAATTAGACTCCTACTGGATGCACTTAAACAAAAAAGGACCAGTTTAAGCTTAAATAAAACCACATTGAAGAACATAAAACACACAGTACAGTCTGCCTTATATTTGAGCATTTTTTTTTCTCCAGATTAGATCATTCAGTAAAAATATCTAGTTGGGTTTTGGACTGGAGTCCTACTGGTGGAGAGCTGTGGGATTTAATTATAAGTTACTGGAGTTTCTAAATATTATCACTGATTACATCCTCAGCCCTAAAAATATCTTCTCTGTCGTTTTGCATTGATTCATGAAAGAACTTACTCCTTCTGCTGGTTAAAAACAGCATTACACCAATTAGTTAATTCAACAAGTTGCTATGACTGATGTCATTATTATTAGTCGGTTATTTCTTGCTGGTAGTAACTAAAATACTGTGCAAAAGTTTTCAACCACAAGTACATTTTATTTTACTTTTTTTTTTCAAAAAGTGCTTGAGCACCTGTCTATGGAAGCCCATTCCTGCCACTCAGATAAAAAAATTATTATCTCATTATGACTTAGCTATCTCATTATTATGAGATACTATCTCATTATTATGACTTAACTATCTCATTATTATGGAAGCATCTCATTATAATGAGATAGCTAAGTCATAATAATGAGATAATAGTTTTTTTTATCTGAGTGGCGGGAATGGGCTTCCATGCCTGCCCTTTTGTCCGAAGTGCCCTTTTTCTGGTGTCGGTACAGGATAGGCTCGGGGTCCTTCGACTGCCGATGACGGTTTAAATAGTAGTGGGCAATTTTTTCCAAAAGTAAAAATAAAAAAAGATTATTGAATACCCAACATTAATAACAGCCACACAGCACCAGTGAACCAACTTTAGTTCTTTAAACCATAAATAATACAACTGTTAATTTTAGCCGCCAAACTCAGGTTAAGTTGAAAAAAATGATCCATGAAGATCATTAAGGGCCAAATCACAACACTGAGTATAAAATGCTCAGCAAAACACAAGTGCTGGAAAAAAATTATTGCCTAGCACAGCGGTTCCCAAACTTATTCAGCTGCTCATTCTGTTGTGGCTTTATAGGCAAAGGTGGAACATAAAATATTGGAACAGAGTTAGGATAAGCACCAGTAATATTACTACGGAAATTAACCTCAAATCTCTTTATGCCATGTTTCTCAGCCACTTATATTATCTTTTCACCTACAGACTCTCCCTCACACTGCTCTGTCTATGTGGCCAAAAGACAAATAAATGGAAAATTGAAAGTGTTAAAATAAAACTAGGATGGGTTACAGTGAAAGTGAAAAAAAACGTTTAAATCCCTTTTATGCCATCATTTCTCACGTATCCTATTCTCGTTTTACCTACAGACCCTCCCTTTTTCTCCTGTTTATCGTGAAAATATTTTTTTCTTTCAAACATGTGGAAAGTCACGGTGAGCACAAGTTCAGCACAGAAATAAAACAGGATTGGGTTTATTCCCAGCAATAACTAACTAGCAAAGGAGAAACACAACATGATGTTGGCTGTTAGGCTACCAAGCTATCATTTAGCTAACATTATCTGCACGCAAAAGCATAACTCAACTTGCACAGTTTGGTTGGAAAAAACTGAGCAAACTTTTTTGCCTTTTGCTGCTCCTCTGTTCACTCAGCAGCACCTGTCGGCACCTGTCGGCACTGATGCTCGCGTTAGCCTGAATTGCGTTTAAAGACAGCTCGGAAAAATACGTTTCCCCATATAAACTGATAAAACGGCTGAAAAAAAGACTGCGGGGGACAGAGGGCACTGTAATGGGAAGTGAGGGGGACATGTCCCACGCGTACCCCGCGTGAATTACACCCATGTTTTCAGTGATATTCTGTAAAGGATGTTGTGGTTAGTTGCAGAGCTCTCAGGTTCAGTGTAAAGTTTAGAGTGAGATCAAGGAATTGGATCAAGAATTTCCTACAGATGGGAAAATACCTCAGCTACCATAACTGTAGATATAACTTTCTGTGGTTGTTTTACCACCTCTTACATGAGCTGTCTTTAGTGAGCGCAAAGTCAATTTAAAATACAAATACAGACAGAAGAACTTGGGTGTTCTCCCTTTTTTCTCTTCTTTTTTAATGCACTGCATCATCACTTCGTATCAGAACAGGACTCAGAGTTGGAAGATAGTCAAAAATCAAGCTACTTGGATTCAGATCTGGGGCAAAAATGTGATTGTACGTAACATCTCTAGAAATAAGTCTGCTTTAAAAACTAAAACAATTATTTATCAACATTACCTTCAATTAATGAAACTAAATGAAATATTTTTCCTATACAGTATGCTATGTTGTTTGAACCCAAGGGTCTCTCATTATCTGAATTTTCAAACTTGTTGGATCGTGAATATGTTTAAAATGTTTGCTCTATATGTGCCCCTTTTTAACTTTGAGCACCCGGCGCTTCAAAGGTCTCAGCACGGCCCTGTCACATGTGACATGAGAGATGATGGTGTTTATAGGCAGTGCTGTATGCTATGTATGCTATGTAGGCTGCAGGTTTCCTATAATGATGCTCTGCGTCTGATACTGATACATTTTGGACAGAGAGGACAGATGGTTTGAAAGAGGAGTAAAGGAAGCCATTTATGTCCACTGTGAGCAACCATCTTTGAACAGAGGCGGTGGTCTACGACTTCAACTGTCTGCCATCTATAATCCAGTTTTGAGATCCCTTCCCAGATGCCTCAACGCCCACGCATATCCTGGGCCATCTGACCTCAGGAATTCACATGATAGGGTGGGGCCAGGTTTCACAATGAGCTCACCCGAAACTCTGGCTGAATAGGACCCACACCCACCCTCAATGTGTTTATGTAGAAGATCATCAGGGGGTCTTTTGTTCCCTCTTCGGGGGGAAACTCCCACTGGGTTTGAATCTGGGACTCTCCACCATTTGACCTTAGAACTGAAGAAGCCTCTCGGATGAGAGGTGAAACGTCTTCAAGCAACTCAAAGAAGTCCAGATGCTTTTCTTTCAAAGCTCATTAGACGATACTGAGGAAGCCTAGATGGACGAGTGCAAGTGAGACTTTTGTAAATGTGAGGGTGAACACTCTACGAGCTGTCTTAAGAAAATTTATTTATACATTTATTCTAACCAGTACACGTGTCAGTGCAACACGTCACCAGTCAAAGACATGAAAACACTGGTATATCACCAAGGGAATGTGCAAATGGGGTCTCTTCCCATTGGTCTGCTGGTGTCCGTCTTTCTATGAAAATCACCTCATTTACAGGCAGTCTGCAAAATATCATGTCAGCACAAAAAACACACTTCCTTCTATTTATTTCTCTTTTCTAACTGAGACACTCAGCTCTAATCAGGGTCCCTTATGGGTTCTAGTGCCCTATCTCTTTGTGCACTTTGACCTGGGCCACCATTAACGTGTAATGCTCTAGTGGTCCTTGCTGTTGAGTCCAATAATGAAACTTCTCATGCAGCTTTTAAACATGTATTTTACTTGAACCTTAAAGTGTGACCATATTAGCAGCCTTAATAAAAAATGTGTCAAAGGCATTTGAATGTATGTGAAGCATTAATATTATGAGCATCAGCCCCTTGATCTGCCACACCTGCGAGGTGGGATGGATTATCCTGGCAAAGAAAAAGAGATCACAAACACACATGTAGACAGATTTCAGAACAATATTTGAGAGGCGTGGGTGTTTTGTGTATGTAGACAATTTTTCAGATGTTTGAGTTCAGCTCATGAAAAATGGGTGCAAACCCCACAAGTGTTGCATTTATATTTTTGTTCAGTGTAAACTGAGAAATGGCTCATTCTAGAATGTACAGAAATGATCAAGAATCAATGCATTCAGATTCTTTTTGCAATAAAGCACTAGCGCTTCCATCCTCTCGGGTAGCTAAGGGATCTCAGGAAACAGATTTTAGTCATGGTCTACCAGTCCCTAATTCATTCTCACATTTAATATCACATCCTGGTACAACAAAACATTCACCTGTGACAGAAGACAGATCAAGCAGGCTAACTAACTGGATCACTACCAACCCCACTGTGCTGTTTCAGTCTTCTTCCATCAGGCAACAAAACAATTTATAAAATCTTGTTTATTCCAACTGCAATCACAGCCCTTAAGGACTTTCCATACGCCGATAATGATTTTATTAATTCATGTATATGCGGTCTTAGGTCTCTTAATGCCTGTAAGACAAATTTCTGTAACCTTTAGCCAATTTTTTATTCTATTCTACTGTATTGTAAATAGCTGCAATCCCTTTATGGGATTTAGCACAAATAGGTTCTTGAACATTTTTGTATCAAACATACAAACAACAATTAAAAGTCATATTGTGCCCCTTTAGATAGTCAGTCTTTTTCAGTAAATATCAGAAGATGCTTCTGCTCTTTATTTATTTATTTGCACTAATCTGTTGTAAGTAATTGTGAATGAGTCAAAAGAGGCGGAAGTCACTAAAATGTGCTTTTAGAGATATCTGGAGTGTCCATGGGACGGGCGTTGGAGACCCCAGCTCTAAATCAGTCACCTCTCTCTTACCTGCCCTCCACCTGTCAATTTTGCCCTCCCAATTGGCGACCCACCACAGCCAATCAGATTTCAGCTCGCGCTCCAGTGAAACCAATGAGGGCGCGGCTTTCGGCCGGCAGCTCGCTGGGAGGTCGGGATAAAAACGTAGACATGCTGGGTAGAAAAGTTACGGGAAGAGTGAGGAGAGCGGAGGGAGAGGGCCTGGAGAGGAGCCAGAGTGTAGCCGACCGACAAGCTAACATGACGGACGCCGAGGCGCAGAGCGCTCCACCTCCGGCACCGGTGGAGATCAAACCCCAGCCGGAGAGGAAAGTCATAGGTGGGTGGAGGGGCTTCACACCAGCCTAGCTCAGTTGAAGGAAAGGGGTGTGTGGAAAGTGTTGCTGCGTGACGTTTATTGTAATCTTTGACCCGCTGACCCCTCAAAGTATTTTGTAGGCAATCGAAGCGTGAAGATGATTCGGCAGAAATCAATAAATAATCACGCGCACGTGCTACAAATCAAACCGTTGCTAGTTTATAACCGTTAACTATGATTTTTTGTATTTACCCATAACGGTAACTACACTTTAATTGTACATTATTTAAAGTGTTCTGTTGCAGTTGAGTGACTTATTTTAAATCAGGGGAAAGAGCAAATTTTATCAGCGCGTGGAAGCTCATTAACCGGACAGTGAGCACGTGCCCAGAACTTTCAATTAGCTGTGGCGCATGTACAAAATGCCCACGCGCCTGCCCAGCTGCAGATCATTGAAATAAGACCAATTAGAGGTATTTGAGTAGTTTTATTTATTTATTTTTCATTCAAACTCAACACTTGTCTCAGGCTACTTTTAATTTTTAATTACATTTGATATATTCATGAATTTTTGATTTTAAGGTTTGAAACAGCCTTTGGTGTTAGCTTTTTTTTTTCTTCCTCGTGACCTAAGGTAGAGCTGGTTTCAAAGTATCACAGTTAATGATTGATATTTGAAGCCATTTATCCGAGCAAGATAACGACGTGTCCCTTTGACGGCTGGATAGCTGCGTCCCAATTGGAAAAGTTTGTGTATAAAATCATTTTGTTTTTGTTACAGCCTCAGCGGTTCAAGGAACAGTGAAGTGGTTTAACGTGCGTAATGGCTATGGCTTCATAAACAGGTGTCTAATCTACTGTAATTTTATTTTTGTGTGAAATTTAAATTTTCTTCAGTTGTGATAGGGAAAAATCTGTTTTTTTTCCTCATAGAAATGACACTAAAGAAGATGTTTTTGTTCATCAGGTAAGATTTTTACATTTTTATCTATTTAGGTTTATTTGCTGATTTTTGAAGAATGCATTTGTTCCCGTCAGACTGCTATCAAGAAGAACAATCCCAGAAAGTTTCTTCGCAGTGTCGGTGATGGAGAGGTTGTGGAGTTTGATGTAATTGAAGCAACTAAGGTGAGTAAGAAATGTTTAGATTATGAGAAATAATTGTTCTGAGTTATTAAATGTGAACTTTTTTCCTCCAGGGCTCCGAGGCGGCCAATGTGACTGGTCCTGGTGGTATTCCGGTGAAAGGAAGCCGTTATGCTCCCAACAAGCGCAGATTCCGTAGACGGTTCTTCCCCCGCAGCTCTCACCCTGATGACCAGAACAAGCCAGTGGATGGCCAAGTCCCCGCTGCTGGTTCGGAGACTGACCGATCAGGAGAAAATCCCACAGGAAGGCAACAGCCGAGGCGTCAAAGGCCAAGACGACCACGACCAGAAGAGCATAATGTAAGCCAAGTAAAATGGAAAAAGTTCTATGGTGTTTTTAGAAGTGGTTACATAAACTTGGTTCATTTTTCCCAAGGTGCTTCTTTAATTGGTAATTCAAATCCTTAGGGTGATGAAGAGCAAAAAGATGCCATTGCAGAAGGAAACGGGCCTCAACAGCGACCACCGCGGCGCAGATTCTGGCGTCCGTACCGCAGGTATCTTCACATCTTGCTGCATGTTCAGCTCAAGTCTAGTGGTTGGGGTCCAGTTTTAAGGTATTTTCTTGGAACGTAGACCGTTCCGCCCTCGCCTGCCTCCTGATCAGTCTGCAGGGGATCAGAAGCCACCTGCTCCATCAGAGAGCAAGGAGCAGGAACAGGGGAAGGAGGAGGTGAAGGTGGGGAATCCGGAGAGCCCTCAGACCAATGGAGAAGCAACAGATGGCCAAGACCAGAAGCAACGCCGGCCATCTCGACGACGCAGGCAAAGAGCCTCGGAGTCCTCCACTTCAAAGGCAGGTTGTTTATGGATCATTGAACATTTACAGGCCTTTTCTACCAAACTAGAGGTAACTAGTTACCAGGTTTTATCAAAGACTTATTCCTGATCTAATAACCGTAAGGGAACTGGCTTTTGGCTTGGTTGGTGTGTAGTGGTCGTCGGCTGTGGATTTAACTTTACATTTTGGTTTTTACTGAAGAATGACACTGAGAAGTCTGCGTCGGATCCCGGTACCCCACCTCAGACCTTAAAACCAACAGAGGTAAAACCTACATCAAAGTCTCCAAAGTCTTCTCCAAAAGTGTCTCCTAAAACACCAAAATCACCTGAGGTGAGGTGGTTGTTCTTTATTTTTATTTTTATCCCTGGCTGTGTTGATTCGGATTGTAATAGTCTCTTCGCTTGGCAGGTAGCCGCTCTAACAGCGGCAGCACCACCTCCAGAACCAGCTGAGTGACTTCAGGCAGATGGTTACATGACCCCCGGGCAGGAGACGGGACCCCCAGCTGCAGTTGAGCCACCCTGGTTTTAGCAGGGCGTGTGATAAAGAACGGTTTGGGGTTACGGTCCCCGTGACTCGTTGGCTGTCTCCCTGAGGGCCTTGTGACGAACATTAAATTGGTTTAAGGTGGAATGATGGCATTAAAGGGATATGGAAAGTATTTTCATGAAGTCTTTAAAGGCATTTCTTATGTTTGAACTTTAAAAAAAAAAAAAAAAGCTTTATCTCAAACTGGAAACCAGGATTTCAAACCAGTCTAATTCTCGTTTACCTTCACGTATTTTATTTTTTTTTTTTTTGCTTTTTCGATCCCTGTGCCTTTTTGTTTTCTGGTAAGTCCTGCTGTTATCGGGCTGAACCTTTCAAAACACATGCACTGCTCTCCCCTCCCTGCACACTCCTGTTGCTGTCTCCCCTCCGACCACCTCCCATCTTCCCCTTCTAGTCCTGTTCTGTCCAGCTAGTGGTGTTTGGGAGAGTGGCGTGAAGGGTTACTGGTGGGTGTGTTTTTAGAAATCTTGAAAAAGGGAAAGAATGGACAATCTGCATTTTGGTCCCATTATTAAAACCCCTCTAAAGAACAATTTCTTTTTTTGACCATATGGGGTACATCAAGTAGCGTAGAGCAACCATTCTTGGTGTGTTTATTTTTTTTATTTTATAAATCTTTTTTTTAAATTTGGTTCGAGGGGAAAACTGAAGCAGCTGGTGGTGCATAATGGAAATCCGTTAAGTTTGGTTGCCACCTGAATCAGTCTACTCTTCATCTCCTCAACTTGGGAAGGATTGATGGAAAACTTTCTTGAGTTGTATTCACGCTTCTGTTTGGAGGGGATTATGTGCAATGTACAAATGTTGACAAATAAATCATGTTGGCAAATCTCAGGGCTGTCTTATTAGAAAACTTTGCTTTGATGCATTCTTGTTTAAAATGCACATGTACCAGTAAATTAGTTTTATGGCACTTATATGTCCACAGCATAGGTTAAGCTATCAACACAAGTCTCTAAAACGGATGACACGTATCTCGCCGCAGTTTAAGATGACTAATCAGATTCCTGAGAGAATTCTAGTCTTGATGTGCAGTCCGTCGGCTGAAGATGTTAAGAAATAAAGCCTAGGCTACTTAAGAACCTTACACCAAGATGTCAACCAACACCAGATTAAACAACGTGCATCAAATATATGAAAATTGTGTTTGGAACATATTGGTCCATTTGTGGGAGTAAAAACTTAAGCCTGTCACACCTAAAACCTGTACCCAATACGCATTTAGAAAAATCTGGTGTTAAAATTTCTAAATCACTGACTGGATCCTGCACATTTCCAGTTAAGATTTTAACTATTTCAAACTTTTGCCTGCTGCCATAAAGCAGTGACGTTTTTAGCCTGCTCATGCGTGTGTTTATGTTGGCAAAATATTCTGTGAACAGCTTTACGACAAAGTTCTCCCTTTTTCCCAATACATTTGCAGTGGCGAACCGAAAGCCTGCCATGCCGGGGGAAACAAAATGGCGCTAAACACCAGCCGCTGTTTTGAAAGTCCCACGTCTTGTGACTTCAGATGATGTTTTTCTTTTTGGGACTCTGGTACTTTGTCCTATAGTTGAAGTGGTAGCAGCTGGCTGTTTCTCCTCTGTTGTTGAGCGGAGAACCTCTCATACCAGTGGTGTTATGTTGCTAAATACGTGAGTGTAATGAATGGAGGACTCAGGGAAGCGCAGCAGTTTGAGAACGACAGTCAGATGGTCCTATAGATGTCTTGCGTCCAAAATGTGTTATTGGCAGATGTTTTTAGACAAACTTGAGAACCAGGTTAAAGAGACAATGTGTAGTTTTTACCATTAATTTCTGGAAATATCCTTCAAAATCAATTAAATTATGCCCAGTTGTTAAATTTTTGTTGTAACATATAACCATAGAAATAAGGTCTAAAATACGTGGGACCGGGTCAAAGTCTCTGGGGGATGCCATGTTTCCTGCTACGGGAGCCGTGAGGACAAAATGCATTTACTGATTTGTAAAAAATGGTTGCAAAACTTTTGTCATTCTTAATGTTTTACATTTACCTCTTCGCTTGTTGCCAGTGATGAAAGGGAATCTGATGTGCTTGTTATTTTGCTAAAGTTTGCACTCCCCAAAGCTTTTTGACCCTAATGGGCATCCTTTGGTAAGGTCTTGCTCCAACACAAGAACACTGCTTGCTTGCAGCCCCCTATCGCCAGAAAACATACACACTGTCACTTTAACCTTTTTAATTTTTTTAAATCTCCACAATATATTTATAGCTATACTATGTTAAAACATTAAGAGGCATGGAAAATGCTTTAGGCTAATTTGTTTTCCAAATTTGCCATTGCAGCTTCAATTATTGCATGCACACCTACAACTGATTAGTTTCTGAGTCTTATTGGTTCAAGATGACTGCCACTACCTGTTGACAGTGGCAATTACAAAAATGGCAACAATGCACTAAGATTTTATAAGGTAGTAGCTGAGTCAGTCGCAACATAAGAGTGCTGGGAGGTTTTGGAAGATTTTGCAAAATAGCACGAGATAATGCAAGGTTTAACCAAAACATCAACTCCATCATTTCCCTACAAAAGATAATCTTAGATAAACATCTAAGTTCATTCCTTCAGTTACTAGGCTTTTAATTACAGCAAGCATCGAGAGATTTGTGATAAATATGAAATGTGCTTCTTAAATCTATCATTGAGAATGTTCCCATCTTATGTGAAAACAGACTTCCTTCAGTGTCTGTGCCCCCAAACTCAGTAATCGTTGTTGTTTGTCTTGTTCATAAAGTGCTGGAAATCCAAAGTTTCTCCATCTTCGTCTGAATACTACAGCTGAGTAAAATCACCATGGAATAAAGTCTCCTTTCACCGCTAGTCGATGCCGCAGCAGTCTGGACAGTTTTTAATCAGACATTGCAGTCCTTCTCTCACCCACCGGTGTACAGCTGTTGAGGCTAAATTTAAAACCACTAATAATAAACTGTTGTGGTACCAGCCAAGGACAATTCCTAAAACATCCAAACGGTCACACACTCCCTAACACTGCTTTGGCACCACAATCTACAAGAATACAGGGACAGATCTCAGAATACGTCAGAAACACAGTTTAGAGTACAAAGTTCATCTCAGCTTGCTTTCAGTTCAGTTTTCATTTGGCACTTCAGTTGATGCCATCCTCCCCCAAGTAGTCAAGCTCCGTGCTGGGCTTCTCCAAGTCCAAGTCCATGTCAAGATCCATCATCCCTCCTGCTGAGCGCTGATTAAAGCTGGCTGCAATCTGGTCAAAGGTCTTTCCCCGGGTCTCCGGCACCCGGAGGAAGGTGAAGATGAGGAAGAAGAGAAGGAGGACTGCGAAAATCAGGAAGACATATGGCCCACAAAGATCCTGGGGAAGAATGGAAGACAAATTTGAAAGGTCTTGTTCACAAACCATGGAATACCTGATCCTTTTGAATGCAATTGGTCACTCTGACTTGTACGTGCAAGCTGAACGTGAAAGTTTTCTTCAACACTCATCACCTGCATTAGCCGCAGAAAGATAATAGATGGGGAAAGGCTTGTGTCAGAAAAGGGTCTCATATATGTAAAAGGGAAAATTAGTATTCATGGCCTCAACCCACTTGGACTCGTGACTGCAGAAAGGTGTAAAGAGAGCAGAGCAGAGATGTGTCAGTCGCGAACGAACCTGCTCTAAGAGCCGGCTCTATGAAGTGAACGACGGGAGCCGGCTCGTCATTCACTACGTTTACATGCAGCCAATATCCGGGTTATGATCGGGTTAAGGTCCGTATTCGGGTTTCTGAGTTGATCAGAATAACCCGTTTACAAGCACAAATAGAAAGATTTACCCCTAACTTGCATAACCCGATTTAAATGCGGACGTTGGGGTAGCGTCAGGACGTATGGACTACGTTCAGACGCAATACGCGTCATTTCCGGTTCTTCTTGTTCCGGTATCCATGAAAACAACAACATGTTTCCCAGTTCGGAAGAGATAGCGACCGCGTTTGTTTGCGCTTTAGTTTCGTCACTCCAAAAGTGTGGTGCTGTGCCGCGACTCGCCATTTTGCCCCCAACTTGTTGTTTACTTCCGGTGTTCTGGAGCATACAAGACGTCTCGCTACTCAAAAGACCAAGATTCCTTGCGAACAGAGCATGTGCAGAACACACGCTTTGATGGGGATATCCCGATATGCGTTTACACAACCAAACATTCGGGTTAGAAAAGGGTTACCCCAGGTGTAGTAACCGGGTTTTTAAAAACCCGGTTATGAGCATATCTGGGGTTTTGGCGGTGTTTACAAGGACCTGCGGAACCGGGTTATTGTGAATATTCGGGTTTTAAAAGGGTTACTGGCTGCATGTAAACGCACTGAGTGGGAGCCATCAACCCCCCCCCCCCCCCAACCCCCCGCCCTGGTGAAAGCCACAGGTCAACATGTGTAACTGCGTGTCCAGACTAGAGCCCTGCACTGGAGCCCGACGGCCCGAGTGTCAGGCTTCGGGCCAACGACTGTGTAATTACCTTGGACACGGCCCGGCCGGGCGCCTTTATATTTAATCAAATTCATAAAAAAAAACTGAAACACTTGAACGCAGCAGCACCTGCCTGCTTCTCACGCACCGGCACCCGTTAGCTCAGTTAAGGTCTGTGTGGTTTATAATATAAACGAATCCTCAAACTGCTGATTGAAACATGCGCCCCTATTCTAACATGCCATTTTATGTCCACTTTGATGTCAGAAACCATTCGTTTATTCTCATGAAAACGGCAGCATTCTGTTTTTCTGTGAATAAATTCGCTCTGCAGTTAAAAAATACAGCATTCATTGCTGGTTTATTTCTAACTGGAGAGAGCATTTTCAGAGCGGCAGATAAAATTTACAAACGCTAGATTAACTGGGGGCGTTTATTTAATCAGCCGCTCTGAAAATGTGCTCTGCAGTTAGAAAATTAGAACGCTGCTTTTTTTCCTAATTGCACACGAGCGCTTTTTCAGAGCAGAGTAAATTTACAAACGCATCCAATTAATATAGTGTTCGTAAATTTCATCTGCTGCTCGAAAAATACGCTCTGTTACAAAAAAAAGCTGCTTTGATGCTGTTTTTCTTTCTTTTCTTTTTCTTTTTTTACTGCAGAACGCTTCCCACAGATAATTAGAAGGCTGAGCATTCTGTCACGCTAAAACATTATGAAAGGTTAAAAAAAAGTCGGGCTCGGGTCGGGCCAGGGAATCCTGAAAACCTTTTCGGACCGGGTCGGGCTGGGGCTCCACCCCCTCGGGCCGGGCCGGACACGGGCTCAGATTTTTGGCCCGTGCAGGGCTCTAGTCCATAAATCCATATAAATGATAAATATTTGATATATTGCATTTTTTTACATTAGTAAATCATTTTACATATAGTTTAGCATTATTTTGGTTATAATTATACCCTACGCAACAGAAAATCAGAGGAGCCACTTGGGAGCCGAAAGATCCGGCTCTTGATGAATTCCCATCACTAGAGCAGAGCGCATCTCGGCTAGCTAACCAATAGCATTAGCAACTCTGCAACATGGCTAAACACGTTCTGACTTGTGTTATTTGTGGCTATAAAACATCATTGCTGCATTTTTGACCAAGAAATAAGAGCAAACAAAGGCAGCGTTGCTAACGTTGCTGTTAGCCAATCAGAGGCGAGATGCTTGCATATCTTGTAAAATAAATGAGTTGTGAAACAGGAGCGGCAGAATGACTCTAAAAGTATTAATTCATACTAGAGACCACAGCAAATGTATTTTAATGAGACATTTGATTGCTAAAATACACACTTAAAACAAACAACTCACTGGGAAAGGAAGCTACTTACTGCCACATATTGAAAGCCCATGCCAATGATGAAGTTGGCGGTCCAGTTGGAACAGCCTGCCACAGCCATGGCAGCCGGCCTCGGACCTTGAGAAAACAGCTCAGCTACAAAGAACCAAGGGATGGGGCCTGGGCCCACCTCGAAGAAGGCCACAAAGCCAAAGATGGCCAGCATGCTGATGTAGCTCATCCAAGGAACGCTGTCCTGTCAAATGGAAGAAAGCAGGAGTTTGTTCGGGTTGATGATCCTGGTAGATAAAATATTTAGCACGACAAACTCAAAGCTGTCACTTACTAGCAAAGCTAGTGCTATAGTCATAATGACGGCACAAACACACATTCCTCCCAGTCCCAGCATGTGAAGGGTGCGCCGGCCCATCCTCTCCACGAGGAAAAGCTGTTCACATAAAACAGTATGATGGTGCTAACAGTGATTTTAGTACATTTAGAAACATTGTCACTAATTCGGTTTCTATATGATACTGAAATTTCTTGGCACGGCAAATTAAACATGGCAGCGGCTCGTGAAAGTGGGTTAGCAGCCTCCACCTGTCTTATCTGCTGTTTGATAGATAACGGAGTTAAACACTGAAAGAGACACACTTATTGATCCACCGCAGCACAAAAGCTGTAGCCCTGTAGACTTTGATATGGATGCAAGCTTTTAAAGCTCGTGAGGATGGGGCCATGGATTATAGTCAAAAGCACGTTGAGATCGCTCACCGACACCACAGTGAAGGCACAGTTTACTGCTCCTGCTCCTATAGTGGCATAGACCGGACTCTGGACTCCCGCCTTCATGAAGATACTGGTGGAGTAGTAGAAAATCTGCAGGAGGAGGTCAAGCAGGTCAAGTCACAAAAAACTGTGTACGGCCGTCTCTTTGTCGTTACCGATGAACAACTATTTAACTCACTGCGTTGACTCCGGAGAGCTGCTGGGAGAGCTGCAGAAGGATGGAGATGATGATGGGCTGGCGGTAAAGAGTGGAGCGGAAGAGCTCAGGGATGGAAACCTTCCTCTCCATGTCCATCCTCCTCTTCTCCTCCTTCATCTCCGCCAGCATGTCTCCCACCTCCTGCCGGCCCGTTAATCGCCTCAAGCCTGTTTCCAGTACGAGGAGAGATTTAGCCCACCGCATTTCTCTTTTGACAATAAAAGCAAAACCAACAATGTTACAAATGCAAACCAAAGAGCGTCATAATTAAGTGCTTTTTACATTTTTATGTGATTTAACCTCCCGAGACCCAAATGTGCATTTGCTGTGATTTAAAAGAAGAAAAAAAAAACACTTCCAGCCGTTATAGATTAGTCGACTCATAAAGGTGGAAAAATAACAGTAAAAATTAATCTTTAAATTAAATAAAAATGTTGACAAACTTCTGAAAAAAGAAAAAAAAATGTAAACTTAAAGTCAATATCAAGTGTCTCTAAAAAAAAAAGGTTTACGTTGAAGAGAGTAAAATATGGTGCATGAAGTCAATGTCCACATATGTGGTTCAGGTTATTTGGGATAAAGTAAAAGTTTAAACTATAAAGGCAAGTGTTTCATCATTGAGCTCTACCGTTTTAACAGGATTAGTGCATGCTGGTGCAGAACTTCTATACTATAGCCGGTAAGTGACAATTTTATTGCTAGTTTTTGGTTGACTGTAAATCTTCTTGACACGTTTTTGAATTTCTCCTCAGAGAGAGGTTTGGTATGATCAAAAGCCAACATCTAAGACGCGTGGAGTTTTTCAACAACTCTCACCTCTCTTGGCAAGGTGCTCTTGGCTTCGGACGATGTAGAGGAACCGAGGACTCTCGGGGCAGAACGGCAGCAGACCCATCTGAAGTACAGTCGGTACGACTGTCAAACCCAATAGAACGGGCCACAAGTCCTCACTGCCAAGCAACGACTCCAGACCCAGGACCTGCAGGGAGAGGTCACGTATATTAGTGATTTGACCTGCTCGGTGGGATGAGCGTCCACCGCTGAGGCTGGGAGACTGTGGGTTCAAATCCACGGTTGGGTCATACCAAAGACTCTTCAAAATGGGACCCAATGCCTCCCCCTTTGACACTCAGCATTAAAGGGTTCGATTGGGGGGGTTAACCACCAAACAGTTCCTGAGCGCGCGTGTGTCTGCAGCTCTCCTCTTCCCCAGGGGATGGGTCAAAGGTGGTGAAAATAATTTCAGCAGAGTGTGACAACTAATGGGCCTTTAACTTTAATTATGAAGTAATTATATATGAGTAGAGCTGGGCGATATGGCCTAAAATCAACATCACGATATATTGAGGATTTCACCTCGATAACAATGAATGGACGATGCTGCCAACCTACACACAACTTTTCATTTTTTTTATTATCAGATTTGTTGACCCGGGAAAAGTGATCTCAACAAGGGTCAGAAATGTCCCTTTATTGCCCAGCCTTATATATATAAGTAAATAATTAATATTCTGTGTCAAATACATACACAAACACATTAATCTACAGAACATTTATAGATATGATCTAAAAGGTTTAGGCAACAGAACAGTAGGGGGAGCTCCCGCTGTGTGCTTGTGAAAAGATTAAAGGAGGAAACTAAAAATGGAAAGTCTCAAGACTGTCCTCTCCACTCTTGATTCAAGTAGAAAGATAATGATAAATGACACACTTCTTTAGCTCCTTTCAGAGTCAATCGACTCCAAAGGGCTTTACACTAGTCTGTCATTTATCCACTGGTATCCACATTGTAGCCACAGCTGCCTTGGGGCATTCTGACAGGGGTGAGGCTGCAGGGTGCGGGCGCCACTGGTCCCTCCGACCACCACCAGCAGGTAAGGGTGTCTTGTCAAGCGGCACAACAGCAGCCTTCTCTGCCGGGATTGATCCTGCAACCCACTCCACCTCCTGAGCTACTGCTGCACCAGGGCACACACGTCCAAGAAAGGTAGCAGAGTGTGAACGTGAGGGTGAATTAGTAATTGATTCTTTACAGTGGGCTTTGGGTTTCTAGGGGTAAAAGTGCTATATAAATGTTATCCATTATTATTATTATTATTATTTTGGATTGTTAAATAGCAAGTAAGAAGTAGCAGGAAGTCCTGAGTCAAGCCCCAAACGTGTCAGAACAGATCATCTTCAGGAATAGTGCTTATTAAAAGATGTATTCATTAGACGGAACGAGCAGCAAACCCAACGGCACCTGATCACGAACAAATGAGTGCTGATGCCACGTTTCACAGTAAATGAAACGTTTTGTGCCTACTTTGCAAGTTTTAGGATTTTTGGGTCAACACGCTCGAAAAACAACAGAAATCGCGAGTCATCGGTGTCAAAGTCGATCCCTAAGTCTTGGTGGTGATTTCTTCATTCGGGTCTAAAGCCACAACCATTTCAATCCACGTCATGTGACATAAGTTCACACCTTTGCTTATCATACCTGTGCTATGAGAATCCCCGTGACTATAGCCAGCTGGTGCAGGGTCCCAAGTGCACCTCGAAGACTGGTAGGTGCAATCTCACCGACATACATTGGTGTCAAGCCAGAGGCGAGTCCTGTGGTAGAGGAAGAATACCGATGAAACACACAAACCTGGCATGACGGTGGAGTTAAAATGTGAGATGGTTACAAAATGATCAGAGACTAAAGACTGGACAGCTCACCACAGTAAGCACCGATGATGAAACGCCCCAGGATCATCATCTCAAACGACTGGCAAAGCTTGGACATTCCCATGAGACTTCCACCAACAAAGGCAAACAAGTTGTTTGCCAGCATGGCTTTCCTCCTGGGAGACACATGAAAGAGCGGGAATGTGGCTCAGTGGTAATCCTTTTTGATGCGTTAAAACGATTCAGTGAGGACAAACTACCATGCTATTAAGTCTGACAACTGGAAGGAATTGGACTGACTGATGGAATGGGCGGGGCTGACTCTGGTGCAGCTCCACCTTCTGGTGCAGCTCCGCCTTTGTGGTTCTGCAGCACCACTTGGGTTATTTAGGGTCTGAAGAGTGCCTTGACAGTGTTTTAGCCACTAGGGGCAGCATCATAGAGACCAATGAAAAAATTCCAGAGCATCTGAAACAAGACATCCTAAAAATGTTTTCCTTTCCCATTGTGCTCATACATGAAGATAAGTTTGGTGTCCACTCACTCTGCCCATTGCTGACAAGTTGCACAGAAGATAAATAATGAGTTTTTGCAACAACATTGTTGTTATTCTTTAACAGAGTCTCATTTAGGAAACCACTGATCGCATCGTCTGCTCTGATTTATTTAGTCAGTATTCTGGGGTGCTCATCTTTTGTTTGAGGTATGCCAAGCATGCCAACACCTGCGGTAAGTGTATCACTGTCCGATATCTCTCTTACACAAATCCATAGAGAGTAGTTTTGAATTCCATGTTGAGGATAACAGTGGACTCAACATCATTTGGGAAGATTATTGAGTCATTTATTAAAACCTGTTGAACAACATAACACTGTAGGTTCGTACCTATTTCAGGCATTATAATGAAGTATTTTAACTTTTCCCTAAATAAATGACTTTAAAATACCATGACTGGTCTGTATCTGTGGAATTACACATGTTCTGATTTTTAATGTTACGGTTATAATTTCTAACTGTGACTCAGACACAGAGGGGCATTTTATGTGCAGCGGATAAAACACATCTGTCTGATGAGCAAATATGAAAATGCATTTGAATGACATTTGAATTGTCATCAGAGCGCACATGCAGGCCTGCTTCCCATGGCAACTTTGCATTTTGTAAACAAGTGTCCTAAATGTTTTGGTGACCATTGCTTTTACGTTAGTTTTCACAAAGCATTGTGGGATATTTTCAGTCTGACTGACCAAATTGACCTCTTCAATTTAATGATTTGTCTACATCGAAATTCCTGATTCGAATAAGATTAACTGATTAACAGACCTCTGCAGAGCTCAGTGACCTGCTGAACAGATGATTCAACCATTGAATCAGATGTGTTAGAGCAGAGAAACAACTAAAACATGCCGTATGGGGCCCTAAAAAACCAGGGTTGAAGACCCCTGGTATAGACTGTTACCTGCTCACACACCCAAATTGAGGTTTAGTTTCCTGAACCACTCATTGTAGCCTTATGACCAAGTTCTCCACCAAGAAAAGGATATTTTTCATCACCAAATGTTTGGTGGTTTGGAGGTGTTCCTCTGGGAAGATGGTTTGGCACCATTCTTTATTCATGGCTGTTCTTAGCTTAAACCAGTAAACCTCAACTGGCAGCCTGCGGGCCACATCCGACCCGCCAGGCCTATGCACCCAGACCCCCAACCATTTGGGCCCCAACACCCCCCGATTGGGGTACTTTGAAGTTTAGCAGCAAAATTCATGTCCCAAATATCAATAATTGTTTATGTTCTCCAAACAGAACTAAAACTACAATCAAAACGGTTTAGATAGAAAAATAAAGCTATGTTAAATTTGAATGAATTAAGTGTGTTAAGGTGGAGAAACGAGGGCCCGGGCGGGATTCAATCCCCAGACTCCCGGGTGAGAATCATGCGTGCACAGGCGGTTTTACCATTAGGCATAGGTAGGCGGCCGCCTGGGGCCCCCTTTTGTTGGGGGGGCCCCTAGCCCTGACCGCCGGCACCCCTCTGTTAATGCCACAATATTCTTATTACCAACCTGTGGCCGCAGACGGGATTGGACATGCGCACTTCTCATTACCATAATTCCTGAACCGTTCAAGATATCATTAAAATTCCAAAAGTGCTGAAAAGATTAAAAATGGGGCCTTTCGTGCATATACAATACATTACGGTAGCCACCGGGACTCCCTGTCTTGAGCGCAACCAATCACAACACATATTCAGAGACGTGCTGAGTTTTTCATCCAAAATGCTCCGTTTTATAACTTTTGAACGGCTGGTCAGATCCAAATAATTCCAACGGTTCCTAAAAGTACATAAAAGCAGCTTCCCAAGAACTATAGCATGAAGCAATCAGAGTTAGGGAACATATCGCTACGAGGGGAAATCCTGCTGTACAGCCTGATTGAAACGGAGCGCAGCGCCGCGGTGAAAGCGGATAACGGAACGGGGAAGCTAATCAGCATAAAAAGCCAGCATGAAATTATGGAAATGCCTCAAAGAAAATCAACACGATCTATTAGGTGTCCCAGAAGGCTTATATCTGAAGACAGTGACCACGAAGAAGGACAGATCTCCAGTGAACCAGGATATGAACGTTTGTACAGTCTTTATTTTTTATTGTTTTATTTGAACAACCCTCGACTATTTGCTAATTGTAAGATTCAGCTTCATTCCAGCATTACTTATCTTTTCACCATAAATAATTATTTTTGCTTAAACAAATGTTTTTGGTATAGCAGTGCACGTGTGCCAGAGAAGAACCCCATGGCAGTGTGAGGTGTGCAGGACTCTGCCTGCAGCTGGAGAGAAGCTTCTTCAAGGTCTACCACATCAAATAAAAACGTCTGAAAGTTTACAAAAATAAATGGTCTTAAAAACTGCTAAAAATGATACCAAGGTCCAAACTTTTTTAAGAATAGATGCATTTCAGTTCAAAGTTTAAATTGTTTGCCCAGTAATTTATAAGTTCCTGTTCGGTAATAAATGTAAAAAATCCAAATCCGTTTTTTGCTTTTTTCACTTTTGAGCTGATTTTTTAAAGGCTGTAATAGAAATAAATTCTAAATAGAAGAAGAACAAGAAGAAAATATCATTTCTATAGCGCCTGTCAAGATAAAAAATCACGAGGCGCTTCACAAAAACAAAAAATGTAAAAATATAAAAAAGCATTTAGAAAATGTTTAAAATATATTTAAAATGAGCAAAAATAGGCAATTGGGATTTAAAAGAAAAAATGTTAAGAGAGAGAGAGAGAGAGAATAGGAAAGAGGGAAATCAGTGGATCCTGAGGAAGGTGGAATAGGTGGGAAGAGCAGAATAAAGAGAGTGGTGAAGAAGGTCATCCAAAAGCCAGCTTGAACAAGTAGTCTTCAGCTGCTTTTTAAAGGAGACCACTGAGTCCACTGATCTCAGACTCAGGGGGAGAGAGGTCCAGAGTCTGGGGGCCACAGCAGCAGATGATCTGTCACCTTTGGTCTTTAGCCTGGTGCTGCACAACCAGTAGGCTTTGATCACTGGACCTCAGGGACCTGCTGGGGGTGTAGGGACTGAGAAGATCACCAATGTAAGATGGTGCTTGTCCATGTAAGGCCCTATAGACCAGAACCAGGATTAAGAAATGAACCCTAAAGTTGACTGGCAGCCAGTGAAGCTGGAGGAGAAGCGGCTTCACGTTTCTTTTCGTGAAATGTTGAAGTGGTTTGGAAATACAAACCACACACTGAAAGCTGAGGTTGTTCTGAAAAAAGGAGAGAGTTACACACACTTTGCACTTTTTATTACAATTTTACAGCCATAAGAATAAAAAAATACCAGGCGGCCCTGTTATAATGATGGTCATAAGAGGGTTATTAAGACGGCGATGCACAAACAGGAAGTGATTGGTAGTCATTCCACTCCAATCCAGTTGGTGGCGGTAATGCACCAAATTGTTGTTTGCCAAGTGCCATAAGACCACAAATAAGAATAAGAAGAGAGGCGGGAGCATTCGTAACAAACGCAAAGTGGTAGTCAAAACATTAAGCATGAAATGGAGTTATCCTAGTGGCTCCAATAAGAGAAAGAAGCAGCTTGCTTCATAAAAGCTTTTATCTTCACTTCTGAAAGTGACGTCGTTTTTTGATGTAAAAAGCAGAAAGGAAAAACAATGGAAAATGTTTAAAGGGAGGAAAACATAGACCAAAATGGAAAATAGAAAAAAAAACTAAGGCTAAAGCACAGGAGCACTGACAGGAAGAAGAAAGCAGAGCAAATATTGAAAGTGCTCAAAGGGAGGGAAATACAGGAAAAAAGAGGACTAATAAAATGGGAAAATAACTCATGTCAGAAGAGGGGAGAGTTTCGCAAATCCAGTTAAAGGTAAGATTGTCGAAAATTTAGTCTAAGGGGCCCCATGTCTGTGTTCGCCTTGGGCCCCCAAATTGCTAAATCTGCCCCCGCATGCGTGCTTACCAGTCAGCCAAAGGGACATCCCATTGGCCATGTGGCCAGGGCACATGATCAATTAGGACACTGTGACAGGATGCTCACACTGCCACATCAGATACAATAATACTTGAACTTTATTTTTGAAGAGCACATGGCCCTCACGGTGTCTGCTGGAAAAAACTTTTGCCCTTAATGGCACCATCTAGTGGCTGACAAGTAGGCTATATCACACAAACAATTTCTCCTTCAGATTTTTTTTAAGATGGCGACTTCACGTTTCTAGTTTATAAATGTGCTACTGCAGCCGACAAGCAGAGCTAAAACACGTTGTTTTACGAGTATTATTCTCATGTCCTTTTGTGTTCTCATATATTTATATTTTAGAGACTTGTCTGAAAAGTTCATCAGCTCTGCATCCGAGGTATTCCTTAAATTTGAAGCGTGTAAGCGGTAGTCTGACGCTATTGGTTAGTTCTGGTCGGTGCTCAGTTTCCTATTGCACGCTTTTAGCAAAACAAAAACAAAAAAAGACGTATTGCTTACATCACATCACAGTACATGCAAGATAATCACTTTTACAGATTTCTGAAAAATCTTCCATTATCTCTGAAAGGAAAAAACTCCGGAAAGACACTTTAAACCATCATGAGTCCACTGTTGGTAGGACAGGGGATTGATAGGAGCACTTACATTTACTTTGTCCTTCTACCAGATGCCTCAAAAGGAAAGAGTCCTCAGTTGACAAATACCTGGACCTTTACCAGGGTATCGGTATGTTGCTGATGCTTTTTTTTTTTTGGATAAAAGTGATTTCTTTGCTGCCCTTCCTGACATTAGAGCATCTTCCAAAAGTATTTTCTTCTCTAACCCTTACCCTGGCAGTGGACGAGTGACCCTAACCCTGGAAGCAGGATAATCCTGCAGCTGGATGAACTTTAGCAGACATTTCTGGTGCTGGTGGACTTTTTGAGCACCCTGAAGATCCCCCCCCCCCCCCCCCCCCCACACACACACACACACACACAAAACACAGTGGAAATGTTTTATTCTTTAATGGATTTTGTAGAAGGTAAAGAAGGACGTTGCAATTAATCTGATCATCCATCAGCAATCAGCCAACTTTGTCACAATTAATTTTTTTGTAATTCTCAAATGATACAGATCCCATGTTGGAGAACAAGTGTCACAAGAGACTAGAGGGGCATCTGCTTTGACTTCAGAGGTCACAGAAGTGGCATCGGCTCAGTTTAAGGGGAACATTTGTCCTGAGAGGGACTTGACCTCCATTCTTGACCTATGTGGACCTATTGACTCTGGTTCTGGCAGGAACATCAGACTCCATGAAGATTCTGTCATGAGGCATTCATTTGTCTTAAGACTGAAATAGTGAAATCTGTTATGGAAAGTGTCATGATAGAGTTTTGGACCTTGCATTTGGCTTTTCTTTGTTGTTATTTAGCAAAAGTCAATGTTAAAGTTAAAGTTAAAAGTTAAAGTCCCATTAGTTGTCACACACACTGATGTGTGTGCGACATTTGTTCTCCGCATTTGACCCATCCCCTGGGGGAGCGGTGGGCTGCAGACACAGCCGCACTTGGGAACCATTTGGTGGTTTAACCCCCCAATCCAACCCCGTAATGCTGAGTGTCAAGCAGGGAGGCGTTGGGTCCCAATGTTTGTTTATTATTACGTGATTTCTTCACTCGTTCATCAGATCCCACAATTCCTACCATTCAATGATGGTTTCCTTGCCCTTTTGATATGTTGTTCTATTTAGATTCAAACTTTACAACCTGTCAATTTGAAAAATGAGCAAAATGTATATTTTGTATTTTTGTTCCATGGAAAAACACTGTCTAGGTTTGCTTGAACACCAGCTACACATCTGCAGACAGGTAGAAACAGGTTCTCAGAATTTCATGTCAAAACTAAAAACAAATGAGACCCGGTGAGACGGAGGTAAACATGTTTCCATCCGTGCAGCAGATCTTGTTTTCTTACCTTCCCAGCCACTCTGAGATGAAACCCACACAGAAGGAGGAGAACATGCCCCCGATAGAGAAGATGGCGACAGAAAGTGACCAGAGGGAGGTGAGGGTCCCTGTGGGGATGGGTTCTCCATACCGGTGCACCCATGTTGCGTTGTAGTCCTCCTCAATGATCTGCAGATAAGCCTAAATTAGTGTCTAAACTACTACAGTGGACATTTTAAATCTCTATTCATGGTGGATTTTTATGTTTACGGCAGATCAAATGGCTTCAAATTGGACTATTGCTTTAGGATACATGTGTTAAATGAAGTTGACAAACTGCAGAGAACGTAACTCAGAATCCTCAGATTTGTTTCACTCAGCCACTGGTGGTAGTTTGAGATGCAGTAACTCAAGATGGTCACAGTCTACTGAAGTTAGAAGACACAAAAATAACCATAACTCTGCCAGTTTTTCTCATACTGACTTCAGCTGTGGTGTGTTAGCAGCTGAGCTGAGTCCTAACCAACACATACTCCAAACTCAAGAGCCTGATTTAAAACTTCCCCCTTAAATCCTTGAGTTGTCTTAAAAAAACAAAGTTTAGTAAAAGCGTTCAGAAATTAAACCCAATTCAAGATGGCCATCCTAGCTAAATCACCTTAGTAGACTCAAAAAATCAGTTTGATCTAAATCGGCCAGAAACAGCTCAAATGTCACGGTTTGTCAGCAAAGGGTTAGGTTAGACTAAAACTCTGGCTTTGAAGGCAACGGGTGATGTACATCCTTTCAAGGGACGCCTGACCTAGGAAGTCCGACTACTTTTTTACCTCCAGTTTAATGGAACAGCCAAACCAAACTATCTGATAACACATCAGCTGCCATTCTTGTTTCTTGTAATCAAAGATCAGCAGCTGCATATAACCAGGACCCGTTCCCATTCACTCCCAGAAAGGCTCTTAACTTTTCACAACATAGAGATCAAGCAGTTACAGTGCGTGTAAGTACTGATACTTTGCAGAACTCTATGCATGCAACACCAAGGCCCTGACAATTCATTCTAGTGATTTATGACACATTTTTACACCCAGTATCCACGCATGCCACTGTAACACAACATATGGCTGCAACATGAGCAGCAGCGAAATTTATGTTCAAAGCAACTCAGACCTTTAAAAATCACATGCCTCCATCTATTTATACTGTACTGACTGTACAGAACTGCACAGACATTTTAAACTACACCGCTTCATCGGGAAAAGTTAAAAAGTACCGGGCCTAAATAAATAGGTCAAGTTTGAGCTAATAGCTAATAGGTTGTTCAAATAAAGTCGTATGGGTCAAAATGTGTAATCTTTGGTATTTTGTAAAAATTCAAGTAAATGCGAACAAATTGTGTCTCGTTGTGGTGGGCCAGTAGTGTCAAGATTCCATTTAGAAACTTATTTTCAAATGCTAAAATGGCCGCCTCAAATTTGGTTCCTAGCTAAGGTTTCTGTAGTGAGCCTAGTTCAATGAATGAAAGCATGAATAAATATTATTTTTGGTCATTCTTAGCATTACAAGTGAATTCAGCTAAAGCAATGGGAACAAAATGTATTTTTGTGGCAGGCTTCTTGTAATGAAGTTATTGGGTCAGGGCTAGGGTTAGCTAACAAGAAACATGTTTGCTATGTTTTCTGATTCGTCTCAACACAATGGTGGCTCATACCTTGAGTTAGGGGAATGTTTATGCCTGAACAAGTCACAAATACAGGGAGTGCAGAATTATTAGGCAAATTAGTATTTTGTCCACATCATCCTCTTCATGCATGTTGTCTTACTCCAAGCTGTATAGGCTGGAAAGCCTACTACCAATTAAGCATATTAGATGATGTGCATCTCTGTAATGAGAAGGGGTGTGGTCTAATGACATCAACACCCTATATCAGGACAAACCAAGACGCAAAATAACTGCCCATGAAGTGAGAAAAGTCAAGCGTGCAGCTGCCAAGGTGCCACTTGCCACCAGTTTGGCCATATTTCAGAGCTGCAACATCACTGGAGTGCCCAAAAGCACAAGGTGTGCAATACTCAGAGACATGGCCAAGGTAAGAAAGGCTGAAAGACGACCACCACTGAACAAGACACACAAGCTGAAACGTCAAGACTGGGCCAAGAAATATCTCAAGACTGATTTTTCTAAGGTTTTATGGACTGATGAAATGAGAGTGAGTCTTGATGGGCCAGATGGATGGGCCCGTGGCTGGACTGGTAAAGGGCAGAGAGCTCCAGTCCGACTCAGACGCCAGCAAGGTGGAGGTGGAGTACTGGTTTGGGCTGGTATCATCAAAGATGAGCTTGTGGGGCCTTTTCGGGTTGAGGATGGAGTCAAGCTCAACTCCCAGTCCTACTGCCAGTTTCTGGAAGACACCTTCTTCAAGCAGTGGTACAGGAAGAAGTCTGCATCCTTCAAGAAAAACATGGTTTTCATGCAGAACAATGCTCCATCACACGCGTCCAAGTACTCCACAGCGTGGCTGGCAAGAAAGGGTATAAAAGAAGAAAAACTAATGACATGACCTCCTTGTTCACCTGATCTGAACCCCATTGAGAACCTGTGGTCCATCATCAAATGTGAGATTTACAAGGAGGGAAAACGGTACACCTCTCTGAACAGTGTCTGGGGGGCTGTGGTTGCTGCTGCACGCAATGTTGATGGTGAACAGATCTAAACACTGACAGAATCCATGGATGGCAGGCTTTTGAGTGTCCTTGCAAAGAAAGGTGGCTATATTGGTCGCTGATTTGTTTTTGTATTGTTTTTGAATGTCAGAAATGTATATTTGTGAATGTGGAGATGTTATATTGGTTTCACTGGTAAAATAAATAATTGAAATGGGTATATATTTGTTTTTTGTTAAGTTGCCTAATAATTATGCACAGTAATAGTCACCTGCACACACAGATATCCCCCTAAAATAGCTAAAGCTAAAAACAAACTATAAACTACTTCCAAAAACATTCAGCTTTGATATTGAGTTGTTTGGGTTCATTGAGAACATGGTTGTTGTTCAATAATAAAATTATTCCTCAAAAATACAACTTGCCTAACAATTCTGCACTCCCTTTAAGGAATTTTACAAATAAAAAGTGTTGATTTAAACATAGTCAAGAACAATCACAAGTATTTGAAAACCTTGAAAAATGTTAGTCAAAACCATTAAAAAATTACTCAAATCTATTTGAATATCTTCATGTATATGTAGATGTTCTTCAATATCCTTGTGACTTTGTGTCCAATAACTCAGGCGGACACTTCTTTTTCCTCATGTTTGTTTTCTAAATACAGCTGCAAGGAACAATGGAAAACAATGAGCCTTTTAAAATGCTGCTTGATAAACAGAGATTTACAGTCAACATGGTCACACCAGTACCAGCTGTGATGTGGGCCCTTAATCTGGTGGCAACAATTTATTGCATTATGCTCAACTTTACATGCTGACTCCTTCTAATGGAATGTTTCCATGTTTGTAGAAACTTTTACTGACTACAGCCATTTTTTGTAGGGTCCCTTTACCTTCTGAGGTGCATTGATGACTCCGATGTTGTACCCAAATGTCAAAGATCCCAGAACGGCAGCGAAGACAGAAAGAGCAAGGGTTCCAGTCACTGTCTGGAGAGCAAAAAACAAAGAAGAAGACACAAAGATCAGAAGTAAATTAAACTGTGATGTTGGAATAAAGTAGCATTAAGACTGGAAATTTTCTAATAAATCTATCAAACTACAAAACAGTACTCAATGCAAGTCTTGAGTCGTTAAATTTTGATTCCATGGAGCCAAACGTTTAACATGTAAAGTTCTATAAGTGGATAATATATAATATAATAATATAATATATTTTAATATAATTGTGTTTATTTAATTTAAACTTTTTAAAAGTTGGGGGGGGGGGGGGTAATGACACAGAAAAGTGTTTTATGGACTTTTCTTTGACTCAGTTTACAGTAATTAGACTTTTACATAATTTAAAGACGAGCTCCAGCATTGCCCCCCCCCCCCCTTTTTTTTGCCTCTTTTACCGCTCCCCCCATGTAAAATGTTCTAGATCCTCCCCTGCCTGTTACTAAAGCCCCCCTTCAGACAGGCCATGAAAAACGGAAATGTTCCGGACTCTGTCCGTGAGACCTTTATGTCTGAATACAAAGATCCGGATAACGTGTTCCGGAATTTATCCAGACAAAGCCCCTAGTAACAGGTCCGGACTTGTTACGGACAGGGTGGCTGCTTCAGACTGGTGATGTAGAGTTCCGGACAAGGGGGAGGGGGAGGAGGAGGGGACCGGGGGACGCTGTGCGCACCTAGATAGCCCGCTCCTGTAGCATGCGGCGAACCACGGCAGCTCGCCTCCTACGGTACCGTCTAGACGCACGACAGTGCGCTTCACACCGCTTCAGTGATTCCTTTAACCATTGAGCTTCATCATCCAGGTCTCTTATGCGTCTTCGTGTGCGCAGAATTATGCTTAAGCGCCTCGTGATTTTTTTATCTTGAGAGGCGCTATAGAAATGATATTTTCTTCTTCTTCTTCTTAACATGAGTCCGATTCTCTCTCCCCCCACCACCACCCCCCGCCACCGTCAGACATCTGGAACTTTTCCCTGCTGTGTGAACGCAGCCGAAAGGACAAGTTCCGGTACAAAAGTGGTGTGTCTGAAAACACAGTTTCGGTTAAAAACCGGATTGAATTGTCCGCAAATGTTCTAGGATGTCTATCTGAAAAGGGCTTAAGACACATACCGTATGCTTTCTCTTAAGCAGGGGCGTGTCCAGGGAGTGGCCTGGGGTAGCACATGCCACCCTTGCAATCTAACTGGCCACCCCAGGTGCCACCACACTAATTTACCTTTAAATAGGCTTTTCATTGTTCACAAAAGGCTTGGGGGTAAAACAAAAAAGCATAACCATTGGTGCCACCCATGCACAAAGTTGTGCCTCACCTGGGCCACCCCATTTTAAAAGATCTGGACACGCCACTGCTCTTAAGTAGAATATATGACAAAAATACCCAGATAAAACATTGTGGGACACAAAATAATGTTTTAGCACCAAAGGGGAAAAATATTTCTGAAGATCTAATTGCTGATAACTTGAGAATCAGCTGGGTATGCATCTCTCCAGTCCAGTTTCAGGTCTTAGCAAGGATTTGTTTTTCTTTTTCCAATGAAGTGAGTTTTAAACACGGTTAATCAGCTGTAGAGTATTTTTGCTTAGTTCTGTTTTAACCAGGGCTGCGCAGTGACGCAGTGGTTAGAGCTGTTGCCTTGCAGCAAGAAGGTCCTGGGTTTGATTCCCGGCCTGGGATCTTTCTGCATGGAGTTTGCATGTTCTCCCTGTGCATGCGTGGGTTCTCTCCGGGTACTCCGGCTTCCTCCCACAGTCCAAAAACATGACTGTTAGGTTGATTGGTCTATCTAAATTGTCCTTAGGTGTGTGTGTGTGTGTGTGTGTGTGTGTGTGTGTGTGTGTGTGTGTGTGTGTGTGTGTGTGTGTGTGTGTGTGTGTGTGTGTGTGTGTGTGTGTGTGTGTGTGTGTGTGTGTGTGCATGGTTGTTTGTCCTGTGTGTCTCTGTGTTGCCCTGCAATGGACTGGCTCTCTGTCCAGGGTGTACCCTGCCTGATTACCCGTTGACCGCTGGAGATAGGCACCAGCCCCCCCACGACCCTACGTGGACCAAGCGGGTTCACACACACACACACACACACACACACACACACACACACACACACACACACACACACACACACAGAGGACATAACGCTCAGCCGCAAGCATTGCACAGAAAAATAGTTTTAATAGCAGCACAAGTCCAGAGAAAAGCCCAAAAGTCTTCAGATAGACTAAAACACTTTTTGTTAAAGTGTGGCAGCTTGCAAGTTTAATGTGAAAATATTAAAGGTGGTTTAAAACTTTTGCACGTTAGGAAGGATTTAAACAATTACATGTCTGTGCTCCCTCACACACTTGTATGTGTTGCACACCTGCAGTAACTGGGATTCTGATGAGAGACAGTCCCTGGAGCTGTCTATGAGCATGCTGGCTGTTCGCCTGAACTTTAGCTGCCCTCTACTATTACCCATCAGACCACAGGCCCCTGTTTCCACGGTGACAGTAGATGAGATGACCTTGGGGAAATGACGTCCACCAGCTGGGTGAAGAGTTTAAATCTTAACTTCATAAATGACACGCACAATCTTGACCTCATGGTGACCTTTATGTGTTTGCCAGACACGTTTCTGGTCAAACTGGAAACTTTGATGCCATCGTGGCACAACAGCCCAGAAGAAGTGGCATGCCTACACCTTGCCGTCTCCGGTAGAGCGCAATAGGCTATTTAGGTTTGAAAACACAAACCAGAAGGCTAGTGCGTGTGAAATACACCGGTAAAAACCAGTTATATGCTCCATTTGCTCTGAGATACATTTCACTGAACACACACACACACACACACACACACACACACACACACACACACACACACACACACACACACACACACACACCGACTGTGATTCCTTTGGTATCGGGAACTAATCAGTGCCTGCCTAAGGCTACTTGTTGGGCCACAGTGCTACTACCTTGCTCAATGGCAACCATAAAACACAACCTGCCTCCATAATGTAAAAGAACTTCAGAATCACAGCAGACTTTGCCATAAACTCGTCCAACTTTAGTTTGTTGGGGCAGATGGATGAGTTGTTGCCATGACATCACATATGAACGCTTGACTCTTGTAGATGATAGTAAAAGTCCAGAACTGATCTCTGATCTGTAAACTCAGATTATTTTCTCACTCAAGGTCAGGCCTTCGTTCTGTCTTTTGCAAAAACCTCTAACTACAGATCTGCGATGTTCTCACCTCTCAAGGTGCGGGCCATTTGAATTCTTCCAATGACAATGAGACTTATGTTCCTCCTTTATGCAACTTCATAATTATTTCTTCAGCTATTAAGCATTTTCTCATATTATTTAAATTTACAAGACAAATTAAGCATTTTCTTCACGATTTTATTGCGACAAACTCGTGCGTAAAATTTTTCCAAAACGCGTAGCGCATAAACAAACCCTCATTCTTAAAATTACCTCCCCTCCGAGCTGCTGAAACCCGGCCGGCATGACTTTGACAGCTCCAGGCACCCGGTGGCAGATGGTAACAGATGCGTCTGGAGCCAAAAGGGGAAAACCGATGAAGTCCGGGTCAAAACTTTGGAGCGCAAAAAGACGCGCAGATGGACTTAAATCCAAAAAGTGACGTCCGGAGAGAGAACCCGGCCGTACAACAGAGTGTCCTTTCCTACTTTAAAGTTTGTGTTGTCCGCTCGGATAGAGTGACACTTGCGCGCACACGTGCACGCGCTCCAGTGAGGGGAGGAGGAGGAGGAAGGGGCTCCCGCACAGCTATTGAAGTTCTAGTTCTGCGTTTTTGCACATTTATTATAATATCTTATTATAAAACACAAAATAGTCAACCACTAAGGCATCAACTAAACTAGAGATTGTTTAGAGTTTAACTATGTGTGTACTTATCGTATCTTACGTGCAGAATACTTCAACCGTCATAAACTACTCCATTTGAACCATTTTCAACATAAAGCAGGAGCTGCATCCACCTTCTTGGCACAAAGTCGAGCTCATCTGTGATGGTCAGACTCCAGGGATGACTCTTGTCCTCGTGGCATAGACAGGGTTTCTAAATTGTAGTTCTGGCTAGATGCATATCTGGTTTGTTCACCAGTCTTCATGCCATAGCCTTCATCTGGAGTAGTTTGCAGGTAAGAGTGAAGCAGCCGACCTGACTCCACGTCCGAGGCCATGGATCATGGAGGGAGCGAGTCTTTGCCTCGTAGAAAAGTTCAGTTATTTTATTATTTTCAGTATTTGAAGTGAGAGATGAGCCGTCAGATCCGATCAGGGTTTTGTCTGCAGTAACGAGGACACCTCTCATGCAGGATTGTTGTTAAGTTACACATTTTTCTATATTCCAACCCTCTCCTGCAAGACAGAGACAACAGGATCAGAATGGATAGATTTATACATGATGACAAAATGAGCTTCCTGTGGCCGTACTTAGGGGAGTTTTCCACCAGTACCTATTTAGAGCAACTCGGTTTGGCATTATTTCAAGCAGTTTCAACAGGTCACAAGTTGCAGCCCCTTTTTCAGCACCAAGCACACAGAGCCGGGCTGAAAACCTCAGAGATAGCTGGTCACTGATTGGGTGTGGGGTGGAGTCGCTGGTTGCTCCAGAGTTTTCTTCCTCGCTGCCTTTTCGAGTCTCTTCATTTGACAAAAAGCCACAAACTAAGCAGAATGCTCAACACCACCATCGTGTCCACCTGCTGCGTTGTAGTTTTGTGTCATGTACAGATTACCTGATGCTACTTCTAGAACTCAGGGGAACATCCCACCAGGACATGTCCACCCATGCAGCATGTTTTTGTTTTAACTGTTTCAACGCACCAGAATTCAATCAGCAGGTGATTAACAGAGCCTGATGAGCTGCTGCACAGGTGATTCGACCACTGAATCAAGCGCGATGAGGCAGAGGAACCCCCAAAACATGGTGGATGCCGGCCCTCCAGGACCAGGATTGGGCACCCCTGCCTTGAGCCCCCTTCAGACAGGCCATGAAAAACGGAAATGTTCCAGACTCTGTCCATAAGACCTTTGTGTCTGAATACAAACATCCGGATAACGTTTTCCGTAATTTAACTGGACGACGCCCCTAGTAACAGGTCCGGACTTGTCACGGACAAGGTGGCTGCTTCAGACTGGGGAAGTTGAGTTCCGGACAGGGAGGAGGAGGGGACCGGGGGACGCTGTGCGCACCTAGATAGCCCGCTCCTGTAGCATGCGGCGAACCTTGGCAGCTCGCCTCCTACGGTACCGTCTAGACGCGCGACGGAGCGCCTCACACCGCTTCCGTGATTCCTTTAACCATTGAGGTTCATCATCCAGGTCTCTTATGTGTCTTCGTGTGCGCAGAATTATGCTTAACATAAGTCCAATCAGTGAGAGAAATTCTAGCTCTTCGTCTGCCATGTTTGACTGAATGGCTTTGTTTGGGTAAATGACACATGTACGCCCGCCGCACCATGTTTACGCAATATCGGTACAGCCTTCCCACCCCCTCCCCCTCAGACATCTGGAACTTTTCCCTGCCGTGTGAAGGCAGCCGAAGGACAAGTTCGGGTACAAAAGTGGTGTGTCTGAAAACACAGTTCTGGTTAAAAACCGGACTGAATTGTCCACACATATTCCAGAATGTCAATCTGAAAAGGGCTCTGGAGTCTTTTCTAAGTTGCAAAAGAAAACCACCTGAACTGTGACGAGTCAAGTTGGCTAGTAGAAAACCACCAGTAGTGATAAAGGGAGGAGTCAGTGGCAGACTGGCCATCAGGAGCACCGGGACATTTCCTGGTGGGCCTGACTGCTGAACTGGCCACAGCCGGAATCCTACAGCCAGCTACTAGGTTCACTTTGGCTCTAATAAGTCGCTGTCCTCAAGTGTGCCTGACTTTTAATCAGCTTCCTCTAATGTGATCAATGCTTATTTGTTTTGAACGGCAAACATAGGACAAACTCATCAGACAAATAGTCTACTTTGAGCTAAATTTGATGTTCTTTGCATATTTTTGAATGGATGACATTAGCCATTGGCTAATCTCCCGGCTGAAAGCTTCTCCCTGACTTTTTAAGCAGGTTGTTTAGCTGCTGTCTACTGCAGGTAAAATGCTAACTAACGGCAAAATGTCTGAGCTATCGCTTTAAGTTCATTACCATGAGTCAAAAACATTCATCTACAACTCAGAGGGGCTCGTCCTTGCCACACGGGACACCATTGTCTCTTTTCCTAGCAGCCTGAAATCCATTCCTGTTTTAGATTGCATGCCAAAGAGGTCACAAACCTTAGCTCACCCCACACCCCTCATTCCTCACCACCCCCTCCCTCCTGAGCCCTATGTGTTAAACACAACAAAGCCTGATCCCTCTCTAGCAGGCAACAGGTGTGGTCTATATTTGCGCCATGGCACCTGAGTTGGCAGCACAGTGTGGTCACAGGAACATTTGGGGAGGTGTGACTGAGGGTGTGTGTCATGGCCCCCATGATTGAAAAAAATTGCCAAGAAAGCTCATTGGAAAGATCTGCTCCTCAGCTCAACCTAGACACCCCCCATTGGTGTTCGCCACCTTTGCGAGTCCCTTTTGCAAAACAGAGGGATAACTTGACCCCCTGGTCCAGAGCCAGGGCCCCCAAGCCGAGTCATGTGTGACTCTCACTAAATGCAGGGAAACTTTACACCGTCGGCACGGTAGTGAGGAGCCCCCACCAACATAGTCTGATGGTCTGTGTGCGTAATCAGGGTGAGGTGTGTGTGTGTGTGTGTGTGTGTGTGTGTGTGTGTGTGTGTGTGTGTGTGTGTGTGTGTGTGTGTGTGTGTGTGTGTGTTTGTGGGCGGGGGCAACAAGACAGCGTTCCAGGAGATATCACATGATTTCAGAAAGGAAAAGCCAACTAAAAAGCACAAACTCTAAATATTTTAAATGAAACGGGTATCAAACAGCGGAATGTCCCCTGCTCCACCTCTGAACTGCAAGACAAGTTTTTTATAGCAATGACCCAAATCTAAGATAATGTGTGTGTGTGTGTGTGTGTGTGTGTGTGTGTGTGTGTGTGTGTGTGTGTGTGTGTGTGTGTGTGTGTGTGTGGTGGTGGCGGGGGGTGGGGTGGGGTGGGGGTGGGGGGGTGGGGTGGGGTGGGGGGTGGGGGGGTGGGGGTTAACATGGGACATGCTAGATGTGTCTGACATCGACACCAACTTGATTATAAACCACTTGACCTTTAAATGATAGATGGTCTGTATTTGATACAGCGCCTTCTAGAGTCCTGGAACCCCCCAAGGCACTTTACAACACAATCAGTCATTCACCCATTCACACACATTCACACACTAATTAATCTTCAAAGACTCATCATGCAAACAATAAAAAAAATTAATATTTCTTTTTATTTAATTTTATTTATAAAGCACCTTCCACAACCTTGTTGAAAACCCAAGGTTATACACATTGCAGTTTACTTTTTCCTTTAGTCTACTCTTCTGAGGCAGAAAAATACATCCTGGGCTTCATTCAGATCAGCTGACAGGCTAACTGATTAATTAACAAACCAATAGTTATTTTATTAATTATTTGAATTATCAATTCACTGAATAAAAAAGCAATCTGCATATTAACAAAATGGAACAACCAAATGTCCTGCTGATCAATTGGTCAACCGAGCAATTTTTTGAGTTATCAGTTAGTGGCTGACTGATCAGTTAGCAAACAATTAACAATTAATTGATAGACAAATAAATTAATCAGCTAGTTGAGTACTTAACTGTTTAATCTAATAAAACATTAACTAGCCAACTAAATAAGTAATTAAGTAAGTGAATGGTTTACTATTGGTCAAACCAATTTATTGACCAACTAATGACCCGCTTGATAAATTAGTCAAATAAATGATTAAATGTTCCACTGGGTATTTGACTGACCAACCAATAATTTATGATTAGAACCGACCCACTAATTTGCTGATTGATTGATTGATCTGTTTATTAACTAGTCAACAGAAAATCCAACGACTGGCTGATAAATTAGCTCATCAGTTAGTTAACCAATGATTAGTTGATCAGTGCAATAATCAGCTGGTCAGTTCCTTATTTGGTCAGCTTGGCCAACCAATTGGAAAGCTATATTAATATTTGTTTATATACTAAAGAATATTTTTCTTTTATTTTCATCCACTAACTAAAGACTGACATCAGAATCAATAGAAAAGATGCCATTACACAGCATTATGTTAGAATGACAACAGTTTAGAACATTTTTTAATATAGGTTAAAACAATTACATTAACGTACGCATAAATACGCATAAACACATATCTAAAAAGTTAGGAGTATGATCGGTTGATAGAAACTAAATCTGATATATATTATATAAATACAGTGGGGCAAAAAAGTATTTAGTCAGCCACCGATTGTGCAAGTTCTCCCACTTAAAATGATGACAGAGGTCAGTAATTTACATCATAGGTACACTTCAGAGGGTGAGACAGAGGAGACAGAATGTGAAAAGAAATCCATGAATTCACATGGCAGGATTTTTAAAGAATTTATTTGTAAATCAGGGTGGAAAATAAGTATTTGGTCAATAACAAAAATTCAACTCAATACTTTGTAACATTACCTTTGTTGGCAATAACAGAGGTCAAACGATTACTATAGGTCTTTACCAGGTTTGCACACACAGTAGCTGGTATTTTGGCCCATTCCTCCATGCAGATCTTCTCGAGAGCAGTGATGTTTTGGGGCTGTCGCCGAGCAACACGGACTTTCAACTCCCTCCACAGATTTTCTATGGGGTTGAGGTCTGGAGACTGGCTAGGCCACTCCAGGACTTTCAAATGCTTCTTACGATGCCACTCCTTTGTTGCCCGGGCGGTGTGTTTGGGATAATTGTCGTGTTGGAAGACCCAGCCACGTTTCATCTTCAAAGCTCTCACTGATGGAAGGAGGTTTTGGCTCAGAACCTCATGATACATGTCCCCATTCATTCTGTCCTTAACACGGATCAGTCGTCCTGTCCCCTTAGCAGAAAAACAGCCCCAAATCATGATGTTCCCACCCCCATGCTTCACAGTAGGTATGGTGTTCTTGGGATGCAACTCAGTATTCTTCTTCCTCCAAACACGACGAGTTGAGTTTATACCAAAAAGTTCTACTTTGGTTTCATCTGACCACATGACATTCTCCCAGTCCTCTGCTGTATCATCCATGTGCTCTCTGGCAAACTTCAGACGGGTCTGGACATGCACTGGCTTCAGCAGCGGAACACGTCTGGCACTGCAGGATTTGATTCCCTGCCGTTGTAGTGTGTTACTGATGGTGACCTTTGTTACTGTGGTCCCAGCTCTCTGCAGGTCATTCACCAGGTCCCCCCGTGTGGTTCTGGGATTCTTGCTCACCGTTCTCATGATCTTTTTGACCCCACGGGATGAGATCTTGCGTGGAGCCCCAGATCGAGGGAGATTATCAGTGGTCTTGTATGTCTTCCATTTTCTGATAATTGCTCCCACAGTTGATTTTTTTCACACCAAGCTGCTTGCCTATTGTAGATTCACTCTTCCCAGTCTGGTGCAGGTCTACAATTCTTTTCCTGGTGTCCTTCCAAAGCTCTTTGGTCTTGGCCATAGTGGAGTTTGGAGTCTGACTGTTTGAGGCTGTGGACAGGTGTCTTTTATACAGATAATGAGTTCAAACAGGTGCCATTAATACAGGTAACGAGTGGAGAACAGAAAAGCTTCTTAAAGAAGACGTTACAGGTCTGTGAGAGCCAGAGACTTTCCTTGTTTGAAGTGACCAAATACTTATTTTCCACCCTGATTTACAAATAAATTCTTTAAAAATCCTGCCATGTGGATTCATGGATTTTTTTTCATATTCTGTCTGTCACAGTTGAAAGTGTACCTATGTTGAAAATTACTGACCTCTGTCATCATTTTAAGTGGGAGAACTTGCACAATCGGTGGCTGACTAAATACTTTTTTGCCCCACTGTATATATATATATATATATATATATATATATATATATATATATATATATATATATATATATATATATACATATATATATATATACATATTATAAGTAATTTCTTGAGATTACACTAAGAAAAACTAAATAAAAGACGATTTACTTGTCATGTTGGCTGCACTGGGTAAACAAAAACAGCAGTGGAAAAACATTCACAGGACAAAATGTCAAACTAATGTTGCTGCGTGACGTATCATTAAACATCAGAGCTCAGAGGAAGTTTTTTTTTGTGCTGCAGCAGCTCATCTACCTTGATGGGAGGGTATACCCCCCTGAACAGGTTGCCAGTCCACCGCAGGGAAACACAACAACACACAGGACAAACAACCACGCGTGCACCCTCACATCTTAAGCCGGGCGTACACTGTGCGACTTTTTCACTTTTTTGAGCCGATTTTCCAGTCGTGCGAGAAGCCACGACATCGGGGCGAGTTTTGCGCCGAGCGGTCGTGTAGTGTACAGGGGGTTACGAGAGGCGATTAACACCACGTGACCAGCCGCCGATCAGCAGTCGTGAGGTCGCAGGGACTTCTGGTGTGTTTAATATTTCGCTCGTCCCTCGTGAGGGTATCGCACTGTTGAAGCAGCGCTGCGAGCAGCTACGATCCAAAAAGTATCAGAACCGCTCACGGCGCATGCGCGCGCAATCCTGCATCAACGCCGGCCGGTCGCTCGCTATTTCCCTAATAACACACGCTGTTCGTTTTTGTTTCTACACGTTTTTTTACTCACAAAGATTGTCAAGAAAGCGTGTTTGTCGTGTTCATGTCAAATTAAACTGATCATAAAACACAGATTCACTTTCTTTATTTCGTTTTCCTCATCCAACCCCCATAAATCCCTGTGTGTCCTCCTGCAGCACTCCCGAAGGACAACAGGCAAGACAAAAGTCTGACGTGTTGTGTAAAAACTGCTATTTTTAGCACATTTTGGGGCCGACGTGTTGCTACCAGACGTACAGTGTGAGCAGTCAGGTCGCATGCGAGAATTGGGTCGTACAGTGTGAGCACACGACTCGTGAGATCTGCTCTGCGAGGAAGTCGTACAGTTTGAGCTGAAGCTGAACGCTGCGAGTGAAAAAGTCGCACAGTGTACGCCCGGCTTAAGTGAGTGTGCAGTGTGTGTGACCTGAAAGTCGTGTTTGTGGACTGTGGGAGGAACCCCACGCATGCACAGGGAGAACATCTCCCTTCTTGAAGTGAGACCCTGGCCGGGATGGGAAGCCAGGACCTCCTTGCTGCAAGGCAACATTGCAAACTACTGCCCCACTGTGCAGCCCCATGATGCAACAACAATACAAACAAATAATTCCCAGTTAGACAATACTGTTGGTGCTCTGGAACAGGTTCAGCGATAACTCCCTGGCTCCATCAGCACGTTCTTTCGAAGGTCAAATATCCAACAGATTCCTCAGGTGGTGCTACCAACCGCTGGGCCTTCAGAGAGATGGATGTAAACAAAAGTGCAGAGAAAACTATTTGGACATGCTTCAACTTGACTTCTCATGACGTAGCAACAGGAGTGTAGTAAGATGGGTTCAATGAACCTTCAGAGACAACAGATTTGAAGGAGATTTTCCCACAGAAAGATGCAGCCTCTTTCGACATGTGTGGCCAGGTTGTAAAAAACTATTTATTGTGAAATTAGCTGATTTCAACTCAAAATCTGGTTTTGGTTTCATTCCAGGAGCAACAGTGAAGGTAAAATTGATTACATGAGAGAAACTTATATCAGAGCTGACCTCTGATAGCCTAGTGGACCAGACCAAATTCTTGCTTCGCAAAGTTTAAATAATATATTTGTTTAGTCTTGCTTGCCAAGCTAGACCTCTGACCTATATGGGTACAGATTCACCTGTCAGATACATCTGAAAACAAAAGAGTGCTGTTTTAATGTTTATTACAAACTGTTGATGTTTGATTGGAAAATGCTACTATTGTGGCTAGTGGTGGCTTAGCCTTCATATGTTTTAATAAAATTTCTGTGAGACACACAAACTTTGATTTAGTAGAGACATAAATGTTAGAAATTGGTTTGTTTTAAATCTGAAAGGTTTTCTTCTGCTTCTCGGTATTATTAGTAGTAGTAGAAGCAGAAGCAGATGAAGAACAACAATATCAAAGTTTATGTATTTATTCATTGAGTGGATGTCTAAGGTTATTAATATTTTTATCATTTAAACGTTTAAGAAGCAAATGAATCCTTTTTATCAGTATTCTGACGCTCTGGAGGACGCACCTGCTTTTAATCAGTGTGTAATTCAGATGCTCCTTCAGACCATGCTGTTAACCAGGACATCTGTTTCCATCTGCTTCTGCTGTGTGTTTTTGTTTGTAAGTCTCCTCGCTTTCCCATTGGATAACTATAGCGCAAACTGCGCTCTGATTGGATAAGGCGCCGGTTTATATTTGGCCCATCCCCCTTTGATCCGTGTTAATCCCCCGATAGCGTGGTCGGTGTTGTTCGCTAAAACGAAAGCAAGTCATTTCGACGACCGCCAAACGTGTAATACATGTGAGTCACCCTCTTTTGAGCATGTCGGCAAATGCAGCAAGGATAACTTCAACGCGTTTCTTAAAAATAACGTGTTTTATACGCTGCACTTTTGTATCAGGTTCTTTCGAAGCGAAGCTACATCGTTAGCCCCGTATGCTAATGCGGCAAAAGCGATAAAAGACGATTTAAAATGTGTGCACATTGTTTGCGGGCTTTCGTTTGTTCGTACACTCGTTTGGTGGTGATTTCTGATCTATTTTACCGCCTGTTATGATTTTTCATAAAGTGTTTATTTGAGAAAATGTCGAGTTGACCCGAACTTTGGGCTAGCTTAATTCAAGTTATGCTAACATCCGGGTTGACCGAGAAATAACCAACAGACTATTTGAGGGGGCAGCATGTTCTCGAGTTATTTTTGAATAAATTTAAGTATTAAGGTATTATTAATAGGTTATTTAGGTATTTTTGCGTTTTTTGCTCAGCACCAGTGTGAGACCTACTTATTTTGATTCTAGTTCCGGTATGAAATCATCTAAATTTCATCCAAACGGCACAATTTGATGATTTCTTTGTTATTTTTTATGTTTTTTTAAACGCGTGCAGGTTTAGACAGTGTCTGAGCTGTTTTAAATCTAAAACAAATTGCAATATTTGACTTCTATTAACACCTATACTGTCTTGTTTTTATAAGCATGCTATTTTTGGTACTAACTTGATGAAATGAGAGTTCTTGCAGACTTTATTAGCTGGGTAGTATGAGTCTATCTCCCTGACTTCCTGTTATTACATTTTATTTAAAAAGCGCCTTTCTGGTCACTCAAGGACACTGTACAGAATAAAAAGACATCATTCAATAAAACAAAAGTAGACACAAGTACAACATAAGCTGTGCTCTTCCTCGTTTTCTTTCCACAGACAGAAGATATGGAGGACTCTGCTTTGGACTTGGAGAGGCATGACTCCTTCCACGACATGTGGATGGATTTAAAGTATGAAGTTCATATTATTGTAAAATACCTGAAACGGCTGTTTGATTAATGCAAGTGAAACCGTTTTTTCCTCACAGAGATAATGTTTATTCCGCTTTGGAGTCACCACCCATCCCAGTTACTTATCCTGATGGGAGTGATGTTCCAGACGAGGCTTGGGTGGACCAGAGCCAAATGCCTTTATTGGTAAGCTCACAAGGTTATCAGTTAAATCCACAGAGTAAGTTAATTTTTTTGTCTCTTAAAGGACTCGCAGACGTACAATCAGCTCATTTCTGAGCTTCCAGTGGACATGCCTCAGAAAGACTGCATCCTCCCCACGTCCTCCACTGTTCCTGTCACGACTGACCACCCAGGGGATTACCAGCTGGAGCTTCGTTTTCAGAAGTCTGGAACCACCAAGTCGGTCACCTCAACCGTAAGTTCTAAGAAAAAAAGTTTTAATGAACTTCTGAATTAGACGAAGACTAGATTTGTTTCTAGTTCTGCTTTTATCTGTTCTGATCTGTGTGATCAAAACTCCAATAACTGCTGCGCATGACATGTACTTTTACGGATGTATTCAAAGAGGATGCTAAAGTTTTTACTGGGATTTAGTTTACTTATAACTAACTTATAACCCATCTAACCCAAATAAACACCTTACCTTTACATCAATGATCCATTCTTTGGCCTCTCTTCTCGTGCCGTGCATGAGAAGTCTCCTTCATTGTGTCGATTGGTTAGATTTTGGAGTTCAGAGGTGGTCGTCGCCCTCAGAGAGGCAATAAAGCTGACGTTTCCACAGTGACTCATCCTGATGTGCTCTATGGTTGGTCAGCTGAGTTATGGTTAGAGTGGTCTGCTCTGAAACACCCGCCCTCCTGTGTGGGAGAGGTTTGGTTGTGGAGCACCGGCGGTGACATGACGGGGCATGTTCCTGCACGCACCTCCCTCAGGACAGAAAGGGTTAAAATCTGAGTTTTACTTGTGGGTAAAGAGTTTGTTGTGAGTTGAAATTTTTATCTTATTCTTGACTTTTGCTTCAGTTTTCCGAGCAGCTAAACAAACTCTTCTGTCGGCTGGCAAAGACTACTCCAGTAGAGGTTTTGGTCAGCAGGGAGCCGCCTCAGAACGCCATTCTCAGAGCCACAGCGGTTTATAAGAAGTCTGAGCACGTGGCTGAAGCTGTGAGGAGATGCCCCCACCATCAGAACAAGGACTGTACGGAACCAGTCACTCATTTATTTAACCTGTATTTAGATCACAACTGCAGGTAATTTTTTTTTTTTACTGTTTTCCCTTCCAGCATCTGATAACAAAAGTCATTTGATCCGCGTTGAGGGCAGCCAGCTGGCTCAGTACTTTGAGGATCCTTTTACCAAGAGGCAGAGTGTGACTGTGCCTTATGAGCCCCCGCAGGTATGAGTCACACCGCCTGTGTGCGTCGGTTTTTATTATTTATACTTTTTTAACACTTTAACCAAACTGCAGTAAGTCTGGATGATTCGGCTTTGTTTTTAATCTCTGGGATTGTTGGAAATTTCTACCGCGGTGAAGTTAGCTTGAAGTTGGACCTTGGATATTCGACATCGGTTTACACGGTCAGTGATAAGTCTTCATGCCGTGCACTGCGGCACAGACAGCGGTGACCCGAGTTCTGAGGACTCGCTAACGGGAACAGTGGTTCACTTAGGGATTAACAAATTTGTAGTCCTTTGTAAACGAGTACAAAAAAATTAAGTTTCCAGAATAATTTGCTAAATGACTCAACATTACTTCTGACTTGTGTCTTGTAAATGTAGTTTAGTAACACAAGTTTAAACACATTTCACACAATCTGATCTTTTTTTTTATTAGGATTTTATTCCAAAATTAAGGGATTTTTCAATAGCTCCTAGGTAAATCAGTCTAAATCCACAAAACCATTTCTCAATGTTGTTACTAAGCTACACCAACGAGATACAGCAGTTTATAACAACTTTCATACAATCCGATCATTTTTATTAGGATTCTCATGAAAAATTCTGTGATTTCTTTCAATACCTCTTAGGTTAATTGATTTTACTAAACCATTTCTCAATGGTGTTACTAAGCCAGACCAATGTAACACAGCAGTTGTTTTCACATTTCACAAGCTCTGATCCTTATTTGAAATTTTATTTAAAAATAAGTGATTTATTTCAATAGCTCTTGAGCTAATTGCTGTAAATACTCAAAACCATTTCTCAATGCTCAGCAACACAGCTTCAGGCCATTGCAATTGATCTTTGACCGCAATCAAACCTCTCCTCCCACAAATTCTTAGGTGGTATGCTCTTCCTCCTCCTGTCTTGGAGTGGGGATCTCATCGATGTAACCTTTCTCAATCTGAACGTCCCTCGTCACCACCTGGCTTGATATCAAGTTGTAGTCAATCGCATTGGTCCATTTAATTTCAATTGGCCTCATGCTTCAGGTGAACCTTTTCATCAGTAAGTGACAAGGCCAAATTCTCTCTAATCTGGTCATGTGCCATGATGGGCTTTATGTTTTAGTATTTCACAAAGACAAACATCACTGCCACCAATGGGGTTATGACACGTCTCACCTATATGTTAATATTGTTTTATTTGATGCACTCCACTTTGAACTGCACCAATCCAGCAACTGCTGCATTTTAATAACTAGTATTAACCCTCTGGGGTCCAGGGTGTATTTTGCTGTTTTTGACTAATTTAGAGTTTTCCTTTGTTTTTCCAAAATAAAAACCATAACCACTGCCTTATGTGGCATCAATCTTTTCAGCACAACCTGGACTTTATGAATTTATACTTATTATTATGACATAAAGGGGTTGCATATTAGACCGTAAATCACTCAAAAACATAAAATCCGAATTGGAAAAGTTTATTTTACTGTGAAACCAACAAACATTTATGACTGTTTTTTATAATTTAGAATGGTAATCTAGACTGTACATTTATAAAAAAATATGAATAAATATAGCAAATAACAAAAAAATAATAAATATTAGCCCTCTGGGGGTCCAGGGTGTAAATCACTGTTTTTGACCCCTTTTGGTTTTTCTTTTGTATTTTCTAATAAAAACAAATATTGCCTTATGGGGTATCATTTTTTTTTTTCAGGACAACCTGGACTATCTGAATTTATACTTTTATTAATTTGGCAATAATGTACATGCATTTGAGTGGGGAGTGGCTAGGGCTGGGCGATATGGACCAAAACTTATATCTCGATATCTTTAAGCTGAATTCCGATATACGATATATATCTCGATGTTTTTCCTCCTGTAAACTGTTGACAAGTTAACTCACTTCAAGCTCTTGAGAAATTATATACATAAATCAGTAGGTTAAATGCATAAAAATGTATTGATTCTTGTCAAACTTTAACCGTAGTGCCTATTCTCTACCAGTCTGAGCTTTAGTAAAGCCGGGCGTACACTGTGCGACTTTTTCACTCGCAGCGTTCAGCTTCAGCTCAAACTGCACGACTTCCTCGCAGAGCAGATCTCACGAGTCGTGTGCTCACACTGCACGGCCCAGTTCTCGCATGCGACCTGACTGCTCACACTGTACGTCTGGTAGCAACACGTCGGCCCTAAAAATGTGCTAAAAATAGCAGTTTTTACTCAACATGTCAGACTTTTTTGTCTTGTCTTGCCTGTTGTCCTTCGGGAGTGCTGCAGGAGGACGCACAGGGATTTATGGGGGTTGGATGAGGAAAACGAAATAAAGAAAGTAAGTCTGTGTTTTGTGATCAGTTTAATTTGACATGAACATGACAAACACGCTTTCTTGACAATCTTTGTGAGTAAAAAAAAACGTGTAGAAACAAAAACGAACAGCGTGTGTTATTAGGGAAATAGCGAGCGACCGGCCGGCGTTGATGCAGGATTGCGCGCGCATGCGCCGTGAGCGGTTCTGATACTTTTTGGATCGTAGCTGCTCGCAGCTGCTCACAGCGCCGCTTCAACAGTGCGATACCCTCACGAGGGACGAGCGAAATATTAAACACACCAGAAGTCCCTGCGACCTCACGACTGCTGATCGGCGGCTGGTCACGTGTTAATCGCCTCTCGTAACCCCCTGTACACTACACGACCGCTCGGCGCAAAACTCGCCCCGATGTCGTGGCTTCTCGCACGACTGGAAAAACGGCTCAAAAAAGTGAAAAGTCGCACAGTGTACGCCCGGCTTAACACAGGTACAGCTGTCTACAGACCAGACAGACGGACGGACGGACGGACGGACGGACGGACAGACGTGTATCAAATGTCCCACAGGCACTTTTTAATTATATACTTATAATTAATGTAAAATTATTTAAATTTCATCTGGAGGTGGCCCATATTGTATAGGTCTTGTCCAGAGAAAAAAAAATCCATCATGTTAAGCTAAATGTACGATGATGTAATTGCATCTACTGAAGATCACATGGGTCATGCACCATGGAGTTATTAGTTATTAGAAAAACTAGTTATTAACTAGTTGTTAGTTATTAGTTAGCAGTGTTGGCTCATATCAGCGATTATACTGTAATGATTTAGAGTCTCTGGTTGCTCTTTTATGAGTATTATTTTCGGGATACTGTCGCCATAACCCACACCTTACAAACTTAACTTTCATCAGAATCACTCGTAACGGAGTATTTACTAGCATAGCAAACCAGAGCGGAAAAAAACTGAATCGGAACAACATTTCTCACCCATTGAGTTCGCCTTCAAAATAAAACGGTAACCCTATAACTCACTATTCAAACCCTTAAATATGTTTCAGGTAATTTGGCCACTCCGGCTTTCCGTAGCCGTTTCCTCATTACACAGGGGAGGGAGGGGTTTGGCTCGTCTCCGCACAAGCAGGATGGAAAAACAGAACTCCGTTGGCATTGAATGTCCCCAAATAATTAAAAACCAGGAGGCCAAATGCAAAGTTTAGAGCATCACATTTACCCAGAGGCTCTCAGACTGAGCAAACTTGTGAGAATACACGTAATAGCCGCTTAGAGACGGAGCAACATGTCGCTAGCATAGCGGCTAATCGCTAGCATAGCAGTTTGGCCAGTTATATCGATATAAAGATATAAAGTCATCTTATATCTTGTTTTAAAATTATACCGATATTTAAAGAATATCGATATATCGCCCAGCCCTAGGAGTGGCTCTGTCTCACGCCGAGATCTGACAGCTGCGCAGCGCCGCCCACTCCTCTTGTTGGATCTCCGAGGAGCTGCATCTCTGCCTTCATCCTCTACCTCATCATGACCCAACTCTTCTATGAGGAAGGATGGATCTGCCACATCAACATCCTCGCTATTTGCCCCAGACTCCGGCTGTGAGTCTCCGTCCAATTCCTCTGCTTCCAGTTCATAAAACAGCCGTACTATCTGAACTGCCTGGTGGACATTTATCCTTCTCATCATCCTTTATATAAGCCTAATAAAAGCCTACTAAACTGCAGAGACTAGATCTGTCCAGACCGCTCCAAAATATGAATTTTACCGTCAATATCTAATTGTTTGTTGTTACTCCGTTCGTGCCACTCCTTTCCCCGCGAAGCGGCTCCTTTTTGCGCACCTCTCGTTACTCGTGCAGCCTTCCTCTCTCTCTCTCTCAGCTACATAATGATGCTTTTTATCAATTGAATATGTGAGACTTCCACCAACAGCAAAAGGATCTCATGTTTTTGTGGGTTTTTTATGTTCACAAGCACATTCCCGCTCACGGATTACTAAACTGCTGTTTTGACAAGTTATCAGATTGTCTAAAAATAGGTCATTTTTTGAGTTTAGTACAACTCTGCTTTTACGTTGCCTATTAACAATTTAAAAACTGGGGTGTAGTTTATAATCTCCTTTTTAAAGCTGAATTGAAACTGAAACTCAAGGAGGCGGAGTCTTGCTGCTACAGCGTCCCATATCAGACCTGATCAAAAGACGCGTATACGTGTCCATGGACCCCAGATGGTTAAAAGTGAATACACCAATATTTGCACAAGAATAATTTGTTTTAAACTCTCAGTGACACACTTTGTTTAATTTTTCTTGGCGTCTGGAAAAACATCTCCTTCTGCACCCCTTTATTTGACTTTCTGTCCCCTTTATTTTGGTCCAAGATCATTACTGGGCCGGCCCTGTTAAACACGTTCTACACCCCTGCTTAGTAGACTTAAGCCAGGCGTACACTGTGCGACTTTTTCACTCGCAGCGTTCAGCTTCAGCTCAAACTGTACGACTTCCTCGCAGAGCAGATCTCACGAGTCGTGTGCTCACACTGTACGACCCAGTTCTCGCATGCGACCTGACTGCTCACACTGTACGTCTGGTAGCAACACGTCGGCCCTAAAAATGTGCTAAAAATAGCAGTTTTTACTCAACACGTCAGACTTTTTTGTCTTGCCTGTTGTCCTTCGGGAGTGCTGCAGGAGGACACACAGGGATTTATGAGGGTTGGATGAGGAAAACGAAATAAAAGTGAATCTGTGTTTTGTGATCAGTTTAATTTGACACGAACACGACAAACACGCTTTCTTGACAATCTTTGTGAGTAAAAAAAACGTGTAGAAACAAAAACGAACAGCGTGTGTTATTAGGATAATAGCGAGCGACCGGCGTTGATGCAGGATTGCGCATGCGCCGTGAGCGGTTCTGATACTTTTTTGGATCGTAGCTGCTCGCAGCGCCGCTTCAACAGTGCGATACCCTCACGAGGGACAAGCGAAATATTAAACACACCAGAAGTCCCTGCGACCTCACGACTGCTGATCAGCGGCTGGTCACGTGGTGTTAATCGCCTCTCGTAACCCCCTGTACACTACACGACCGCTCGGCGCAAAACTCGCCCCGATGTCGTGGCTTCTCGCACGACTGGAAAATCGGCTCAAAAAAGTGAAAAAGTCGCACAGTGTACGCCTGGCTTTAATGAAGTATTTTTAAGCCAGTATAAAAATGACTGAAACACAAATTTACATATTTGGCATTATTGACCAATATCTTTGATTTAATTTACTTAAGAACATCCAGATGCAGTAAGGTTGGTTTATGCTTGACTAGGGCTGGGCGATCATATGATCGTACTTTGTGATCACGATCATTTTCAGTTCAATTACGGTGATCAGCTGGGAGTCTCGATCAGAAATAACAGATGTTTGCAGCCTCAGTAGGGGGCGCTAACCCCCCATGCGCGTTGGTTTCCCACCGCCATTTAAGAAAAAGAAGAAGCATTTGCATTAACACTTTTACTGCTCCGCTACTTCGGTGAGGAGGTTTAAACAGAATGGCCAAGCTGAAGACAGCGAAGTAGATCCCAGTCATGACTCGGAGTTGTCTTCTGGAGATGAAGACATTGTTCAGAAGAAAAGTTACTCAACGTCAGTTGTGTGGCGGTGGTTCGGGTATCTCAAAAGTGACGTTGAGCAAATCAAGCCGATATGCAAGGTATGTCGGCGAATGGTGCCTTCAAAAACTGGCAACACTACGAATCTGTTTAATCATCTAAAGAAATACCACCCAAGTGATTATACAGAGAGCGTGAAAATGCGAGCAGAGTCCGGACAGCTTGTTAGCTTGTCTCAAAGTAGACTTAGCACTAGCGCGGCTGCTAGCAGTGGTCCAGCAGGCACTGGCGGTGCAGCTGCGCAACCAAAACAGCAGTCAATCATCTCGTCATTTTCAGCTGTTGCACCGTACGAGCAGAACTCAAAGAGAAGCAAAACCATCACAAAAGCTATAACTTTTTGTATCGCAAAAGACATGATGCCTCTGAACACAGTAGAGAAAGAAGGATTTAAGCATTTAATCAAAGTGCTGGACCAGAGGTACGAAATACCTGGCCGAAAGTATTTTTCTCAAACCGCACTGCCACAGCTGTATGATGAATGCAGAGAAAAGCTAGAGATGGATCTCAAAGATGTTTCATTCTTTGCAACTACCACTGACCTTTGGTCGAGTCGTTCATCTGAGCCATATTTGAGTCTAACAATACACTACATTGACAAGGAGTGGACTCTTCAAAGCACATGCCTGCAGACAGCATATTTTCCGGAGGACCACACAGCTGAAATCATCAGTCGGGGGCTGGAGGATGCACTGGAATCATGGAACCTGAGCAAAGACCGCCAGGTGTGCATCACAACAGATAACGGAGCCAACATAGTTAAAGCTGTTGCTCTCCAAGGATGGACTCGGCTTCAGTGTTTTGGTCACCGGCTGCACTCCGCTATAGGTAAGTAAATATCAAGAAATTGGTTCTATATTAATATATAACAAACAATGCAAATAGAAAATATGTTTTTAGAGCTTTAAATATTAGGGGGATCTTATAATTACATTTAAGAGGGAGGCAATGAAGGAAAGCTACAACAGGAGAAATGTTAACCTCCTGAGACCTGAACCTGTATTTGTTGTGATTTAAAAGAAAAAGTATATCAAACTATTACAGAGTAGTCTACTCTCATTAAAAAACAAAATTACAAATATTAAAATAAATTAAATTTCATTAAATAAAGAATTTGTCAAATTTCCTATAAAGAAGAAAACAAAAATGTTAACTTAGTCAATATCATGTGTATAAATGACAACAAAAAGGTCTAAGGTGAAGATTAAACATTTTATAGTGTAAGGAGCCAATGTCTACATATGTGTGGACACAGGGCCCTAAGAGGTTGAAAAGTATTTATCAGGACTCTTGTCGTACCATTCTGGATCAACTGAAAGCTTTTTGTTGTCTATCTGACACTTACTGAACCCAGTTTTTGGTTATCTCTTGATTAATAGCATTTGAAAAAAATGCAAACTAAAATTGTTTTATGGAGTTTGTAGGTTTTGCATTTTGCAGTCTCTATGTCAATTCTAGTAATTTTCAGATTTGTTAAGTTATTTAATATTTTTTTCAGGTGGAAGCATGAAAGACGAGAGGATTGTGAGAGCTGTTGGTGTGTCCAAAAAACTGGTCAGTGCTTTTTCTTACTCATGGAAAAAGAAAAAAGCACTAGCAGCTGCCCAGGATGAACTTAAACTGCCAAAGCACAAGTTGATCACAGAATCCCCCACCAGGTGGGGGTCGCGTCATGCAATGATTGCAAGAATTCTGGAGCAGGAGAAGGCCATTGCAAAGGTTTTGTCAGATGACAGAAAAAACAGGCACCTGATTCCTTCATGGCAGGACATAGATGTTCTAGAGTCTGTCCACAAGGCCCTGAATCCCCTGGTTGACTTTACTGACGCCCTTTCTGGAGAAGCATATGTCAGTGTCTCTTGTGTGAAACCTGTCCTTCAGCTCTTTAATGAAGAGGTCTTAAAGCCAGATGATACTGACACAGAACTTACCAAGGCCATCAAGAATTCAGTCACCTGCTACTTAAATGAAAAATATGATGATGATGTCACTGATGACCTTCTGAGCATGGCAACCCTTGTTGATCCTCGCTTCAAGACCAACTACATCCAGGCTGACAAAAAAGAGGCTTTAAAGATCAACGCTGTGTCTCAGATGTTTGACGAATGGAAGACTTCACAGTCCAGACCAACTACCTCAGCAGAAGCCACATCTTCAGCTGCACCAGTGAAAGTAACAAAAAAGACTATTGGCAGCGTTTTCAAAAAGTCCTTTGCTGCTTCCACGTCTGGTCAAACAGATGAACAAGCTGTAGAGGCTGAACTAAACAGTTACCTGCAAGTGCCAAATGCAGACAGTGAAACCAATCCACTGGTATGGTGGAAGATCCACTCCACAACATATCCCAGAGTTAGCCTCTTGGCAAAGCGGTACCTCTGTATTCCTGCTACTAGCTCACCCTCAGAGAGGGCTTTTAGCACAGGTGGCAATATTGTGTCATGCCACAGGGCAGCTTTAAAGCCAGATGCTGTGAACAGGTTAGTGTTCCTAGCAAAAAATCTGTCACCAAGTCCTAAGTAATGTGCACCTCGCTTCAAGACCAACTACGTCCAGGCTGACAAAATAGAGACTGTAAAAATCAAGATGCTGGATGAATGGAAGACTTCCCAGTCCAGACCAACTACCTCAGCAGAAGCCACATCTTCAGTTACACCAATGAATGTAACAAAAAAAGACTCTTGGCACCTTTTTCAAAAAGCCTTTTGTTGCTTCCATGTCTGGTCAAACAGATGAACAGGCTGTAGTCCTAAGTAATGTGCACCAGTGTTATGTTCTATTGTGTTTACAAGTTTTGCACATTTTATTCATTTGGTTTGTAACATGGCAAATCTGAAAATCAGGTTTACAGTTTAAACTTTGTTCTTTAGGTGTGTGATTTTCTTTGCCAAAAATACAGTTTAATTTGAGTTCAGTTCTAATTTTATATGTATTTGTTTTGCATTGTTTAATTTTGTAGCTGCAACATAGTTACACTGCATTGTTATCTAAGATAAAGTGTTTACAAATTCTGCACATTTTATTCAGTTGGTTTGTAGCACAGCAAAACTGACTTTCAGGTTTACAGTTTAAAGTTTGATCTATAGGTGTGTTATTGTTTGCATAAAATATTTGATTAGAGAATTCTGCACTGCTAATTTTTATATTTTATATTTGTTTTCCGTTGTTTGATTTTGTACCTGCAAAGAAGCTAAACAGTATTGTTAAGATTAAGTGCCAGTAGCTATGGCATAAATGGCATTTGCATATCACAGATAAAGAAGTTTACATTTTAGGGTATGTTAATTTTCCCAAAGCAAATAATTTGTTTATTTTGTACCTGTATAGCATTAAAGACACACAGAATGTCAATAAAAGGTTTAACTAATATCTAGTTTCTTTATTTTTACATTTTAAGCTGCTTTAAACTGTATGTAAAAATTAATCGTGATTAAAATCAAGATCGAACGATATGGAAAAATATATCATGATCATTCTTTTTGCCATATCGCCCAGGCCTATGCTTGACGCGTCCGCGAGGTCCGCACGGCTCCGCGCGGAAAAGTTGCGTCATTTTGCATCATTTTAACAACCACGCCCCTCCACCGCGCCTCCGCACGGCCCAGAATTTCCGCAACGCGCACCTCGGAAAATTTCTAACCATGCGGACGGACGGACGGAAGCGGAAAAACTTGGCGGACCGGCAAGAACTAGTATGGCAGAGGTTCGTAAATACAGACATTTGTATGATTCAGCTCTCAGAGATCACCGTGATCAACATGTTAATAATTCTTGGAGAGAAATAGCTCGCACTGTCGGAAAAGACGAGGACGCTGTTAAAAATGCTGAAATGCCATGTTGTAAACAGTAATTTCTACTTCAATGGTGTAGTGTTGGATGCATGCCGTAGAGCTCCATGCTGCCCCCTACAGTTTGGGAGAATATTGGCTCACCGCAGAGACGAGCCGCATGAACCATAAACGCTGCGAGTTGTGAAGCGCGTTCCAGCCGCGAGCCGCATCACCGCGCGGAAAGTGAATGCGTCAAGCATAAACCAAGCTTTACAGTGAACATTATAATAAAGTACATTTTCTAGTGCAGAGAGGAGACAACCCATAGAAGCACTGATTTGATCTCATTTCAGAGAAAAATAGAACAGGTCAGATGCACCTAATAAATAAAATTACTAACAAACTCAGGAATCTTTCTTTGCTTCACTGTTCTGGTGCTGAAAATATCACTAATGCGGATCAAAGGAGATACACAGATGAATGCACCTCTTATTTATTATATGGAAATTAGTGGGTGTGGTTTAAATCAATATATTATTTTACATCAGAAATTGATATGGATTGATCAGAAGTTGCTATGTGTATTGTTTATCTGAAAACTATTTACAGAGCAGCCTCAGAACTGAGATTAAATATGTTTGACAACAACAGTAAAGGAACTATTACAGAACAAGTTTTTCAGTAAAATCCGAACATTAATGTTTAGGTGCATGAATTAATGCATCTGAACTCATGCAGTAGGAACTAGGAAATACGAAATACTAGAACCATTTTATTTTAATTTGATTAAACTGATTTTTTTCCTAACGTTGTTGGCATTTTTCCCACACACAGTTAAACAAAACAATGTTTATTAAGGTGTGTGTGTGTGTGTGCGAGTGTGTGTGAGTTAAAATTAAAAAAACCAGAGCGGAGGCAGTGACCGACGCATGCACGAGCCGTTTTCAGCTCTGTCTTGTGAAATGCACCACGTACGTTACGGAAAAAGTAAATATTCAAGCGAAAAAGAAGCGAGCTGAAAACCTAGGGAGCACCGAAGAAACGTGAGCAACAGTGAAGCAAGCACAGAGAGATCAGTTACTGTCAGTGTGTGTGTGTGTGTGTGTGTGTGGATGCCTGGGCCGAGCTGACTGAGCTCCCGTTTGCAGAGTTGTGTGTGTGTGTAGAAGTGGCGAGCGCTGTATGTGACTGGCCATTCACAGAGCGTGAAGACAGTCAGTTACCCAATGAGGATTTTCCTTCAGCACGATTACAGATATTTACGAGTTTTACTCGTTTCATTCTCGTACTCGTCAAAAATGCTTTATCCGTACTGGCTCATCCCTAGCTGTAACCGCCCTGCCTCCTCCTCCTTGCTGCCTGCCGGCTGTGATCACAAGCAACAGAATAGTTCCCGCTGCTGCTTCGGGAAACGGTGCAAAAATAAATAAATAAAATAAAACTTGGGAACTTGTAGGCGTGGCGGTGGGATTTCAGCTGTGGCAGGCCGCCACGGCTACGCCTATGTAAGGGAAACACTAGGAGCTATTGAAAGAAATCACTGAATTTTTGATAAAAATCCTATAAGAAAGGTTGGATCTTGTGAAATGTGATTAAAAACTGCAGTGTCTCATTGATCTAGCTTAGTAACATAATTGACAAATGGTTTCAGGTATTTTGACTAATTAGGAGCTATGGGGGGGGGGGGGGGCGTAATTTTGTATAAAAATCCTAATTAAAAAGATCAGATCGCATGAAAGGTGTAAAAACTGCTTCGTCTCGTTGGTGTAGCTTAGTAACAACATTGAGAATTGGTTTTGTGGATTTAGACTGATTTTACCTAGGAGCTATTGAAAAAAATCCCTTAATTTTGGAATAAAATCCTAATAAAAAGATCAGATTGTGTGAAATGTGTTAAAACTGTTGTGTTACTAAACTACATTTACAAGACACAAGTCAGAAGTAATTTTGAGTCATTTAGCAAATTATTCTGGAAACTTAATTTTGTACCCGTTTACAAAGGACTACAAATTTGTTAATCCCTAAGTGAACCACTGTTCCCGTTAGCGGGTCCTCAGAACTTATCATGAAGACTTATCGCTGACCGTGAAAACCAATGTCTGTCGAATATCCAACGTCCAACTTCAAGCTAACTTCACCGCGGTAGAAATTTCTTCCAAACATGGGAGTTTTGAGAGAATAAGAGGTATCTGAGGGTTAAATGGGTTTCATGTTCTTTAGCAAAACCTTTTACCCCCAAAAAAGATTATTGAATGCTTATAAAAGGGGTTGGGCATCGTTTGGTTTTGAACGACTGATTTCGTTTCAAATTCCTCGTTTCGATTCCGGTTCTTTCAAGACATGCTTTACATGAGCTAGCTGACCACAGGTCCTACTTGATGAAATAATCTTAACTTCAACATGAATTTTAACTCTATGAACAACAACATCACCTTCATTTAGACTAAAACATGTTTTGGAGAAAAAAAGAAAACAACTTTGCTGCACAACCAGTGTGTTTGTTTCTGACCACAACCAAAGTCTGGAAGAAGCCTCTGGGATGAGAGGCTAAATGTCTCCAACATATCCAGAAACGTCCAGCTGTCTTCAGCTAAAACTCTCAGGATGATCATGTCCAGGATGACTGAGAACTACACCTCCATGCTGCTGCAGCATTCAGTCAGAACAGGAAGTGAAACTTAAACGTAGCTGCTGTCAGTAACAATCTAACAGATTTTAAACATTAAAACTCAACAGAAATAGTTCAGAAAGGAAATTTAAATGTTCACAACTTTGTGTGTGATTTATTATTATCATTATTATTATTACTATTTATTGTGGCAGAAGCTGGTGTGGTCCCCCACAGAGAAGCTGCTCTAGCATGATGACTTTAATTATTCTACAGGTTATTGCTCAGCCTTCTGACACACACACACACGAGTGTTGGTGAGCGGCTGCGTCTGACTGCTGACGCTCCGTGTGTGTTTTTATTTCTGCAGTGAGACAAACTCACCTCACACCGTCCAGAGTTTGTTCTTTAAAGCTTCTATTAAATCCACCGTGCTGACGTATTTAACAAGTTTCCTCTACGCTGCAGGAGTTAAAGTTTACATCACGGAGTAAAAGTTTGGCAGACATGTGTGTTTATATCTGGGGGGGGGGGGGGGGGGGGGGGCTCGTGCTGCACACAGACAGCTGGTGTGATCAGCTCTGGAAAGCGTTGATCACAATTTGCAGATCACGTTTATTTTTCACGGAGGTCGGCCGCGGATTCCTCTTCTCTCGGCATTCTAGGAATCGAAATAAACTTTGAACGATTCCGGGGAACACTAACAGTTGGAACCGGTTCCAATCGATGCTCGATGCCCAGCCCTACTTATAAATGAGACTTAAGAGGATGTCCTGTTTTTTAAAGAGTAACTTTGTTAGATAACTGATCCTAAAACTCTGTGAAACTAATATGGACCATTTATTATGCTTAATGTGTATTATGGTATTTTATTTTTTAGACTGCAGATTTTTAACATTTATAAATGTCCTGTTTCAGTTGGGCTCAGAAATGACGACCATACTGCTCAGCTTTATGTGCAACAGCTCCTGCATGGGGGGCATGAATCGCCGTCCTATCCTCACCATCCTGACCCTGGAAACCCCCGAGTGAGTCTTCGATCCACCCTTCAGATGAGAAAGTAGGATCAAATCATGGTTTCAATTTACAGAATTTTAGTTTTTTTTTTTCTCTATGAAAGCAGTTCTGATAAGACTGGTGTGTTGAAGCGTTTCTGGGGACCCTTTTGACCTTATTTCTGCTCACTTGCTGCTCCAGGGGTCTCGTTTTGGGGCGGAGGTGCTTCGAAGTTCGTGTCTGTGCGTGTCCGGGCAGAGACCGGAAGACTGAAGAGGAACAGGCGAACAAGAAGGAAAGTGGCTCCAAACAGACCCAAAAAAGTATGTTTATGATGCTTTAAATTTTAACGGGTTATACTTTTGTCTTCACCCACTGACTTGGCTCTTTATCCTAGAAAGGAATCTGGCTCCCAACACCTCCTCTCTCACAACTCCAGCCAAGAAGATGAAGTCATCATCCAGTGGAGAGGACGAAGACAAAGAGATGATACCGCTATATGTAAGCAAATGTTGTAGTCTCATGTGAGTTGGTTCATACTAGGGTCGTCACGGTGTGTAAATTTAACCTCACGGTTTTTGGTATTATCGCGGTATTTTTTTAAGCGTGCTACATTTTCAGACAACTACATAAACCCTGTATGTCAGGAAAATATTGTCCTCAGTTTGTGCCTAACTTTTGCCTAAAATTTGTTATTTTGTAATTATGTTGTTTATTTGTTTACATTTTTCCCCTTTAGTCTTTAAAATACCAATATTTGCCCATAACTTCTTATTTTATGTCTGTTTGATGTCATCATTTTAAAAATATTAGACCAGATGATACTCAGTACTCAAGTAGCCTTCTAATCAGATACTTTTTTACCCTTACTTGAGTAATAAACCCTATATCAGGAAAATATTGTCCTCGGTTTGTGTCCTTCCAGTGAGCTTTGCAGATGAGGGAAAATGTCATCAGGCAGTAATCATTGTTAAATTCATAATTATTCTCGGAGAGAGACCAACTCTTATCTGCCCCTGGGAGCCCCGTAATGCATAGCGTCATTTCAACATGGCGGTGTCCGCGACACGGTTTATATGCAGGTAGCGGCGCTGCGGCTGCTTTATATAGCGACTCGTTGCATTCTCCCTCAACCCAAATCCTCGTGTCACGCATTTTAGATAAAAAACTAACGTTAGCTTGCCATAACTTGGTCTTCTGTTGCAGATTCAAGGACGCAAAAAATGGAACCTGATGAAACGTATAAGCGATGGGTTGGACCTGGTGGAAAAAGAGAAGTATGGAAATCAAATACATTTCAGTAGAAGTTAATTTTTTTTCTAATTCATTTAAAATGTTGTCCAAATACTGTTTGAAAAGCTTGTTGTGGACATTTCCATTTAAAACATAACAGCAGAGTTTTCTAGTAAAGCGTGTCCTTTCTCAGCAAAGCTCTTTTCTAAATGTGAACCTCCGACGTAACCAAAGGGAGTTAGGAGCTCGGCTGCCTCACCTCAGTGTGGAGAGTGGCTAGCTTTAGGGTAGAGAGGTCATGTGATCCAGTCAGTGTGTGTGTGTGTTTACTAGTGTTGGGTTGTGTTCATGTTGCTAAACTAGAGTGTGAAGGCTGTACCAACTCCAGCCTGTCTGGACATCGAGTCCACGGGTTTCCAGATCAGAGGAACAACGCCTCTATCTCTGTGTCTGAGGGCGTTCTGTGCAGCTGACAAAACGGTCTTCTGTAACCCGCATCGGTCGGTACCGGGACAGGGAGGTCCATGCTGGGCTCTGGAGACCCGTGGTGGGGTTTTAAAATATTAAATGCGTATTTCTGGAGCTCAGATCACCGTCAGAACCGACCACCAGAAGAGACTTGCGGCTCAGAGGGCCAGCTGGTTTCCCCCGGGTGGCCCTGTGGGGGGTACTCCAGGAGTATGGGGAACGTTAGGTGTAACGTACCTAAGGGTCAGTTTTACCTGCATATTGACCACATAAGAATAACCTTTCATTTGCAGAAACAAACCCACTATCTATCTGGCTTCCAAATCCAGAACGTTCTGCTCAGTTCTTGTTTACATACTAGAAGACAACATTCAGACGTTCTCACTCTGGATAACGTGAACCTACTCGAAGGTTCTACATGACTTTATAACTCATAAGCTTGAATAATGACTGGTGATGAATGAACAAGATGTTTCAATCACAACTGAGCAGAACTTTCTGGATTTGGCCAGATAGATGGTGGGCTTATTTCTGCAAATGAGCGGTTATTATGTGGTCAATATGTAGGTGAAAACGGACCCTTTGGTACGTTACACAGGTCCCTGTATGACCGGTGCCAGAGCTTCGTCCGCATTGCCGGCAGTAAGTCGGCTCGTTTCTGGTGAGAGTTGGACTTGGCCAAGGCTGCCCTTAGTCACCGATTCTGTTCATAACTTGTATGGAGAGGATTTCTAGCTGCAGCCAAAGTGTTGAGGGGATCTGTTTTGGTGGCCTGAGGATCGGGTCTCTGTGCAGATGATGCGGTCCGGTTGGCTTCACCGGACAGTGATCGCCAGCTTTCACTGGAGCGGCCGAGGGTGAAGCAGCTGGGATGAGAATCGGCTCCTCTAAATCTGAGACTATGGTCTTAAATCGGAATTGGAATAACATCCTATGGACAGATGAGACCAAGATCAACTTGTACCTGAGTGATGGGAAGAGACGAGTACTCATACTCCTGGAAACCCCCCTGTTCGCCTGTTCCTCTTCAGTCTTCCGGTCTCTGCCCGAATGCATGCCACCTCATCAGTAAAGCATGGTGCAAGTGTCATGGTGTGGGCGTGTATGGCTGCCGATACAACTGGTTCTCTTGAATTCATTGATGATGTGACTGCTGAATAAAAAAAAACAGCAGGATGAATTCAGAAGTGTTTCAGGCAATACCAGCTCAAATTCAGCCAAATGCATCAGGACTCATTGGACAGCACTTTACAGTGCAGATGGACAATGACCTAAAGCGTACTGCAAAAACAACCCAAAAGTTTCTTCAGGCAGGGAAATGGAATTTTATGCAATGGCCAAGTCCATCACCGGACTTGGACCTGACTGAGCATGCATTTCACTTTCTGAAGACAAACTGAAAGTCCCAGGAACTGCAGTAAAGGCCTGGCAGAGCATCACCAGGGATGAAACCCAGCATCTGCTGATGTCTGAGCTCCAGACTGCAGGTGGTAATTGACTGCAAATGATTTGTAATGATTTTTATGATCATTATTCTGTCCCATGACATTTGGTCACTTAACAAGTGGGAGGCACGAATGCAGGCTGTTGTAATTTGTTACACCGTTCACCTGATTTGGATGTAAAAACACTTAAATTAGGCTCACCGTCTGCAGTAATAGTACATGTTTGTTTAATTTCAAATGCATTGTGGTGATGTAAAATTGTATCTATAGTCATGTTTACATGGACACAATCAGATTGAATGCCCAGTCTTATTAATAATTCTGCATGTAAACATGTCAATCGGAATGTTCTGATCCGATCGGAATAAAATTTCAATCCGATTGAGAGAGGGGCGGTTTTGTCTGATCATCATTCCAATTGATGTGCATGTATACAGCCATTCAGACTGAGTAAAATAATTCCTACTCTGCATGTGTGCAACAGCCAGCGAGCCTCCCCGCTGTCCTTTTGACTGCCTGACTTAAAAAATGACGGCTTAAATAACAAGCGCCGGCTTTTGAATTTGATGGCAAGTCATCCTCGCTTCTATCACAGAACTTGCATTTTGTGGAAGTCAAATAAAAATCTCATAATTGCACAAATCATTCGACAAACATTTTAAAATCTGTTCTGGAAACATGCAGGTTCATTTAAAGTTTGCAGCACAGATCCCCATTTCTGTGAAGGCAGCAGCAGCTTCTGCAGCAGGCGCATGGAGACATGCTGTAGAGAAGACCGGTGAATCGGACCTGGTCTGAGTTTAACGAGGATGATGTCGAGTAGAAAAACATCCTCAGTTAAATATTCTGGGCGACTATGCAGTTTGTTTATTAGCACATGACAGGTTCAGCTAATTCTCACATTTTATTAATAATGAATGACAACAGAGCGGAGTCTGAACCCCTGCTGGGCCCAGCTGTCGGACCTGCGTATCAGCTGATAAAGCGGCAGAGACAAGAACCCGCCCTTATTTTAATATTGTAAATAATAAATCGCAGGAAAGCACAAGCCTGCAGTTATTCACTGAAGAAAATGTTACTTCTGTGAGCAAAATAAAAACATTAAACTGATTAAAGTAATACGAAAAAAAGCAGAAATAATTGTTTTTTTTCTTCTGTTTTTACATTTTTCATTTTGTTTCATGACGTTTACATTTTTTTTTTCCCCCGGGAAAGAGAACTGCATGCTCAACCATTTAATCTGGGGTGAATACGGGGTGCCTATAAACTCACGGAACGATCGGATCATTTCAGTTGGGTGTCCATGTAAACAGATTTGGGATTTCCAATCCACCAAGATTAGATTGGGATTGGGGAAATGTGGCGCATGTAAACGTGGCTTACGTCTATATTTATGGACCTGATTATAGATCGTTGCTTTGTGTTCAAATTAGCAATGCAACCATATGAAAATGGGAGCCTATATCAATGTTACTGTTTTGGCCGAGAACTATTATAGCAGTTAGATATTAATATCATTTATTATTACACATTTACGCTTGTGGGATTGTCACCATCATGAAAAATGTTGGTCATTTCTGCCCAGTTTCACTTGGTGAATCAATTTGATATTTAAAGATCGACTAAGGTCGACACTGATGCAGATGAATCGTACATCCTTGTCAAGTCTCCACCCTGCTTTAAATGTCTTTATTCTTCAACAGAAAGCAGCTGTTGGTCCAGGAAGTCCTCCCTACAAGCGGAAAGAGGCTTCTGAAGAAGGACCGGAGTGACAGCGATTAGACCTCGGGACCAGATTATGCAACGTCATGTTTTGTTCTCTGAGGCCGTTTATGTTCATCAGATTAGAAAGCTGACTCATCCCACTGCTGTTACCATGAGTTCAGAGCCTTGTTTAATTATGCCAGTTTTTTTATTTTGAAGTCAAACCCGGTACCTGGTAATTAATGGCCGTTTCATTCTGACTTGCATCACATAAAACGTCCCGGTTAATAATGCTTTTCTCCAGCAAGATCATATCTTTTTTTTCCCCCAGTGTAATCGGGGATCTAAATGTTTGGTTTCTCAGTAACGTAGTATTTTAGGGGAAGTTAGGAGTAGACTGTGAGGGGCTGGCTGGTTCCCCCTCCATCGTAGATATTTTTGTAAAAGAATTCTCTGCAGTGAAAAGAGAAAATGAATAAAAATCAACCTTTTTGTATTTTGGACCTTTTTTAGGATGAATGTGGAGTCTTTTTTGAAAGGACAATCCATATGTTTTTCATAAGGTGTTGAAACAAGTCAGTACTCCCTTCCAGTGAGTTTTGTTTCCTGAAAGGATTTTATTTTGATGTGACCAACTGCTTTTATTTTTTTGTTTTCCTTTCAGGTGCTTTGTAAAGCGCTCGAGTCCATTCCTTAAATACTTTATTTCAAAACACTGCCATCAATCTACAAAGAGGCATTTCTTTATATTTCTGTATACCATAGATTAGTTTTTCTAGTCATGTTAGTTTTTTTATTTTTGTACCAATGTTCTGTTTTATTCTGGAGCTTGAGGCCAAAATAAACGGATTGTATTTGAGAAGCCTTGTGTGTTCTGTTAACTAGATAGATGTGAGTGCTTTGCATGTTCAGGATATGGATGCAAAACCGTCTTTCTCTGACGTGAGGAGGCTGTTAAAAGCTGAAAAGAGCTTTGTGACGTCCTGCTAAAAGGTGGGCGGCGTTTGGGATTATTTCACATCCTAACAGGTCATTTTTTTTTCACAAGAACAAACATCTGAACCAGCATCTCAACCTTAGAGAGCGGTTATATTTACTGTAATATGTTTGTAGGGGTAATTTTTTAGTGTTTTTATATACTTTTTCCCAATCGAGTTCTTGTACGGTGTGGAAAATGTCCCAGGTCCAGAAACGGAAAGCCGATCTGGGGAAATTGATCTGGGATAAATGGTGCATTTTTACCTGTTTGGGTGAGTTCAGTTCTCTATCCAGTATCTTCAGAATAAGCTACAAATTAGGACATTCTGCTAGTTATTTCAGTTTGAAGGATACTTGGTAACAAATTTGTGAAAAATACTATGTGGAAGGACTAAAATGTAGTTTTACGTTGTTTTTATAACAAAATATAATAAAAGTTAAATGAAACTGTGAAATGTTGCTGTTTCCTGGTGGATTTGTCAAAACTTTTGTAAACACAGTTTATCTACCTTTTCGTCTTCAGCCCTGATGATAACGATGGCGAATGCAGCTTCTGAGCGACAGTACTTCTTTTTGCCCATGAGTTACACCTGGATGGAAGCCAGTACATACTGTCAGGTGCGTCTCTTTCCTTGTGCTTTCAGACTCGAGGCTGGAGTTAAAAACACAGAGAAAGAAGAGCCGGTTTTGATTTAACAGCGTATCCAAAAACAACCTGTTGTGTTTAAATTCAAAGTAACACAAATGTAAATTTTCTAATAGAAATGAATGTGTTCACGGTTTATTTTTGGCCCATTTCTGGTTGATTTTAACTAAACTTTGTAGTTAGCAACTGAAGTTGGAAGAAGACCATTTGGTGTCTGAATGAGGCCAGTTTGTTTAGCATAATAAAGCAGGACAACCAAACCTTATGGGCAAATGCTTTCCTTGTGTTATTTTTCTCCAAGAGTAGTTGTCCTGCTGTCTAAGTTTATTCTACAAAATGCACAAATTGTTAAACACGTGGGAGTATAAAAAAAAACAAGACCACCTGTGTTTGTGAGTTTGGAAAATGTTCTCGGTTTGAAAGTTTTGGCATTCCTCAGGTCAGAACTCATGAGTAAATCATCATTCAGTTGGGACTGAATCTAATGCTCCTTTAAAAGAGCTCATTGTGTTGATTAAAACGAGCGATGCGTGGCGCCTGTCTGGTGTTCCGGTCTGGGCTTTACAGATATGGTCCTATTTGCATGAAGAGGGTGGTAACGACATGCAACTTTGACAGTTTTAAAATGAATGATGCTGTTTTTTTTGTTGCATGTTTGATCAGACCTGCTACAAAAATCTGGCGACAGTGACCCCAGAAAACACCCAACTCCTTTCCCAACGGATCATGGACAAAACCTCTGAACACTGGGTCGGTCTACGCAAGCAGTCCTACACCGTCATCAGCAACAATCAGTCCACCTTTAATTTCTCTGATCATGATGGCCTTGCCATTAACTCCACTGATAACTCAACAAATAACTCCACCAGCAGCCCAGCTTTGGTCTGGACCAAATGGGTCAACGGAGATCCGCTCAGCTTCCAGAACTGGTACCCAGGTTGGCCAGCGCTCAAATTCCCACTTCCGAAGATCGACTGCTGCAGCTGTTCCTGCACATGCCCAGTAAAACAGAGACCCACCCAGACACCGTCTACAACCACAACATCACCCCCCTTCAGCACAGTGCAGAACTCTCCAAGCCCCGCCAGAGCGGACAGCTCGACAAAATCCGATGGTCTCACGGACACCACCGGCCAAAATGTGACAAACTCTCTCAGTGAGACCACCACCACTGCAAGTGACATGAGCAGAAACACAGATGTCACAGACACGAGCAACGTTACAAACATCACAGACGCAAGCAGCTCCACCAACTCCGTAAGCCAAAGTGTGACCAAGTCTACGAGTTCCTGGCAGTCCTCCTACACCTCTAAAATTACAACACCTTACACTAGCACTCACTGGAGATTCCAGACCCAGCTGCCGTTAGAGTCCACGTGCCAACGTTCACCCACGCCGCCTCCCCCTCTCATTCCACCGTACGACAAATACATAGAAAACTCCTGCGTGGCCATGCTCACCGTTGGATCTTGGATAGAAAAGCACTGTGAAACCAAGCTGCCTTTCATTTGCTATGAAGGTAAATGTGAATCAAATTAAATACACCGATTAATTCCAGATTTATTCATCAGAAAAAAAGAAAACGTCAAAGGATGAGCAGTTACAGTGCAGAATGTGCAGCAGAAGAACAGTCAGCCCAAGGCTGACCAATACATGGAAGTTTTCAATTTTGATTTAAAGGTTACTAGACCTGGGGCACATCTGAGGTCATGAGGTCACTGGTTTAGTCAGTGTGCAGCATGGTAGCTAAAAGCAATGAGTGGTTTTTAAACTAGTAGAAGAAACTTGAAATAAATTCTTTAGTTGAGTCGTGCTTTTTGATGCAGATGATAAAACGCTGATCTAGTTATAGTCTTAATGTGACCAGCGAAGCTCAGCTCTGAGTCAGTTACGATACCAAGATTTCTAACCTGGTTTTTGTCTTTATTTCTCTGGAGCCAAGCTGAGCAATAACCGCCATCCTATCCTTCTCATTTCCAAAGACAATGACTTCAGTCTTGTCTTTGTTTAACTGGAGGATGCTCCAGACACTGAAGGAGTTAGTCTAGAGGACCACAGTTACTAGGTGACAGAGGTAGGTAGATCTGGGTGTCATCTGCATAACTATGATAGGTAAAGTTATTGATAATGAGACGTGAATCAAATAAAAAAACATCAAAATGTAAACCATTATTAAGACCTTAAAATAGGTGGAAGCCTTGCTAAAGAGAGGACTTTTACCCTACAGATGGCAAGATTGTGCTGAATTTTTTTTTGTTCAGTTCATTTCTGTAGGAGCCATAAAATCTAAAGTGAAAGTCTCATTAGTCATCAGCACAGACTGGTGAAATGACATCTCGGCATTTGACTCGAGTAGCTGCAGCAGTGGCAGCGCTCGGGGACTATTTGACGGTTTAAGCAATAAATATGTTTAAAACACAGTAAAAAGCATTAAGACTCTATTTTATCTACCTCATGCTTCATTTATGTAGAACTGTTACATGGTCACATCTGGACGTATATATGTTCAGATGTGACAGGCTTGATAAGCTAATGGCTCGTCTGCGCAGGGCCAAAGTGAATTATTGCCATCCTAAAATCGCTCCAGAGGAAAAAATGTCACAGTATTTTCTGCAAACGCAATTTTACAATTATTAACTGAATTTACTAGTTGTTTGCAGTAGAAAATAGTGCAAATGGTGTTTTCAGTTCTTTGTGGTTAGAAGTACATAATATTCCTGCTGGAGTACGTGTAAAATGTAAAACTGGTAGTTCCTAAATGTTTAGAACGTGTTTGCATTAACTGACAGCACTAGTTTTAAAAAGACAATACTATCTAGAAGACTTGTTCATAACCTTTCCACAGAAACCCACTTCGCAAGATCTGACTGATAACAAATAAATGTAAACACCAATGCACCGATTTCCCCCCTTTTATATATTTTTTACATTTCTAAATTTACAAACTTCATATTTTTTTCCTTCAGATATCTTCGTGGGTGAAGTCGACGTGACCAACATTACATTCCAGAATGCCAGCCTGTCGTGGCAAAGAGCACCTGGTGGTTCTATTGACTATCGTGTAGAGGTCAGCGGTGACATGAACTGGGTGATCAATACGACAAATTTGACCCAAGACCTTCTTAACCTGACTGCAGGCACCCAATACTCAATCCAAGTAGTTTCCATAAAGTGTGAGAGAGACCTGAACCCTCAGAAGGCCTCTTTCTACACTGGTGAGTAGAACATAGTTATCTAGATGAACTGGTTTCACTTGTTACAATAGATTTATTTTATAATGTCGCTATTACGTCTCACAACACAGAAATGTTCTTCCAAAGAGAATACCAAGTAATGTTGTCTAATGTTCTGTTACGACCCTGACGTGTGCTGTCAAAATGTGTAACATAAGAAACATGATGGTGGGTTTAAAATGGTTAAATTGTTATAAAAGGTTCTAAGAACAAGTGCAAACAGATGAAAGCATTATTAAAATAATGCAAAAACCAAGACTAAAAGGCAGTGGCGGCTCCAGGGGGGTGCTAGGGGGCGCTATAGCTACCCCTGGATTAGTCCTTGCATCCCCATAGCACCCCCAAGTAATTAGATTTTTTTTTTACAATTTAATTTTAATTGAATGTGTGGATGTGATAATATTTAACATACAAAGCAAAAATAATCAGTAAATTGTCATATAGATAGTAAAAACTTAAACCAAAACAGGAAACTGCTGCAGCAGTCGAGGGTTTTGCCACTGGAAATGCTAACACTAACGTTAGCTAACCTTGCAACACTATAGATGGTTTTCTGTGTGGCTGTATGCGTTTATGATTTCATGGAAAAGTCAGCGATTGTTCATATGTTTATGATGTATATTAATGATTGTTTCAGGAGGTTTTGTGCACGCATGTGTATCTGCTAGTGTTGAAGGTGTTTTAGAGAACAATAGGTACGCATGACCACATCCTTCATGGCACCCTCAATAAAAAGACTAGCTCCTTCATAGCAGCTGCAGAAAAACATTTCTGGAGCCGCCACTGCTAAAAGGTTAACATTTAAAGGACCACTTATCAACATGAAAACACTTGGTTAAGTTTACTGAAACAGAAGGCGTTTTAAAAAAACACAAGTTGATAATAAAAACCGACGCACTACGAAAACACCCGAGTGTTTTAAAATCGCAAAGTCGGTAAACTACGATGTTAACGTTAAAAACGAGTCAACCAAGTTGGCATCAAACAAAGATCCCTTTGGATCACTCAGAGTTGAACCTTTATCTCCATTAATACACGTCTTAATGCGCTAGTGTCCACACCGCCTCGCCCATGTTGATGCTCCTTTAGTAGTAGCCTTCTGCATCCGTGTTCCACGTTCACGTCTACAGGTTCCACGCTGGCCTAACAGAGGGTGGTCATGCACTGGTTTGTCAACCATCTTGTCAAAAACTAAGAAATGTCTGAGTGACTTCTCACTCAGGAACAACCGTTCTAGCTGTTCCTTTAGTTCCCATTAAGTATCTAATAATGTAGACAAGAACAAATCTCTTTCGGCTTTTCCCTTCAGGGATTGCCGCAGCTAAATATCTGTCTTCGTTTAGTCCTGTCTTCTGCTTCCTCTGCCATCACACCGACTACTTTCATGTCCGCTTTCACCGCATCCATCAGTCTCCCTTCTTGGGCTGCTTCTCAGCCTCCTGCCTATGTCATTATTGTCTCTCCTCTGGACCTGTCCAGAGTCCAGACCATCACCAGAGCTGTCCCTCTGATGGAATCACTCCTAAACGCGTTATTATTGACTTTATCCGAGTGAATCTAATTCATTCAACAGATGAACTATTGGTAGCACATTCTATGTCAAAGGAAGTGAAACGTTAACATCAGGAGGGGGATAATGGCAGCAGTGTGCCAGCTGATGGCTCCCTCCAGGAGGGTATCGCGGCTCAGCAGAACCCCAGTGTAGCTTCTTCTGGGGAAGTAAACCCTAGAGACGCCATCAAGTTTGCTGGTGACACACCTATGACCTCGTCTTATTTACACCTTATTTACAAAATCTCGTCTAGAGAGCAGGCACACTTTCAAAACCTGCACGTTTCTTCACTCAGGTATTCTTCACAATAAAACTTGACCTCATTGTAAACGTGACTAATCTGACTTTCCGATTATATAAATAATAAAATCAAATTCTTAATTATTAAAGAGGACAAACGATTGACTCGAATAACGTTTCTATACTTTTACACGAGTGCATTTTCATTCTCAGAATTCTTACAATAAGCTGATGTCTTTTGTTTTTTGAAAGGCGTGCATGTTGAGGACTAATCGAGGTTGTTTTCTTCTTCTAGTACCTCTTAAAGTTGAGAATCTTGCAGTGACCAGTGTGGCAGAAACATCTGTTAATCTAACCTGGAGTCACCCAGTTGGAAACTGGAGTTTCTACTCTATAAGAAGTGGGAACCGTGCGAGTAAAAGTGCAGCAGAAAGCTTTAACTTTGGTGGTTTGATTCCTGGAACTCTTCACACATTCACCGTCCTCACTGGAGTTGGGGACGAGTCCCAGTGGAGTGAAGAGTCACATGTCACAGCGTACACCAGTAAGTTTTTATCACGCCTTACACAGATAACAGCAACCATCTTCTACTTTATACACTCTTCTTTTAAGGACTTTTGTCTCTAGACCAGGGGTGTCAAACATGCGGCCCGCGGGCCAGATCCGGCCCGCAAGCAAGTTAAATCCGGCCCGCAAGATGGTTGTGTAAACTTTATTTTCATACTTTACAATGTAGAGTGAAAATAAACTTATCTTTGTGAGCAAGTTTTCTCTGTAATGAGTATAAATAAAACAAAGCTGCGCTCAAGGCTCACACAAGAACTTGAATCACATCCTGAAGTTGGCCGCCACTCAAGATGTGACTTCTGATATTGATGTGCTGGTGAAAGCTAAAAGATGTAAAGTAAAATGAGTCAAATATACTTTAAGTGCTGCATGAAACTGATCTAGCCATGTGATCTGTAAGCTCTTTGAATCACTATGTTTTTTTAATTTATTGATTTTTTTTTCTTCGAATTTTCAAGTACACATCAGGTGTTGTACTTGTACTATTTTGAATACACTGTCCTCAGGCTCCAGCCTTGTTTTATATTGATTGTATTAAAACAAAGAAAACATTCTGAAGTTGTTTTTAATTTACCGGTCCGGCCCACTTGGGACTAGATTTCCCTCAATGTGGCCCCTGAGCTAAAATGTGTTTGACACCCCTGCTCTAGATGACTAATGAAAGCAGCGGTTACTTCAATTTCCAATCATGTTCACAGTTTACAGGAGGATGAACTTTACAGCTCGTTGTTACTTGAATTATCTAAAGTTTATTTCAGCAGAGGCAAATTAGACCTGCAACTAACCCATTCAGTGGCCTCTGCCACATTTCCAGTAAACACACACTAGCTGCTTTTACAGGACCAGAGCATTTGCAAACGGGATTTGCCGCGGCCCCCTGGGGAGGATAAAGGTCGTTTATAAGATCAGACCGTGGCGGTAATGTGGCGCAATCGAATGGCATTTTTATAAAAGTTTAGGTGATGGCGGTGTAAAGGGGGTATGGGGGCGGTCTCTGCGCTGCCGCAGACTTCTGTTTACCTTGGACATAACTTGCTTTTTATTGCGATTGAAGCCGTGATCGTTAAGTTTTTTTAACAAGCAGCTCCTAAAGGTGTCTGTCCCCATCAGTCCCTGTGCAGTCTCTGGTGATCTGAGCTTCAGCTCTAACAGAGAGGCTCGTGGAGCTCTGCGGCGCTCCAGTTTGCCATCTCAGCTGATTTTGTTCAAAAACCAAACCTTATTGCCCGTGTTTACTTTCATTTTCAGTAAATTTACCAGCCAGAGCTCAGCAATAACTCCCCACGTCATCATGACATCTGCCTCTGTTGCGCCAGGGCGCATACGACGACCATTACCGCAACATGACTACCAAGCGAGGCGGAACGGATGCCGCAAAATTTGCGTGGCGTGTTTTTAGACATACCCTTGCGGTAATATTACGCCGATTTGCCGGCATAAGAGAGTGAAGCTTTGTGTGTTTGTCTCTTTCAGAGCCTGGCATCGCATCAAACCTGAGCGTGTCTGGCAACACTGACAACAGTTTAGTGCTCCACTGGAATGGACCTTATGGAGGTTTTACAGGCTTCATTGTGTTTGCTAATGACAGCCTCAATTCGTATGTATTCCACACACACACACACACACACACACACACACACACACACACACACACACACACACACACACACACACACACACACACACACACACACATGCCAGCAGTCGGTTATTAATCACTACTCAACATCACTCATTTGGTTTTTCCTGATCATTCATTTCGGCAAAGTTCCCAATATGAAATGTGTTTTTTTCAGTAATTTAGCAAACGAGTGAATCGCATCTGTGTTTCTGATAAATTAATTAATTCTACGTTCTGTTTTAATTGGTGTAAAAGCTTATTTGGGCCAACCCCAGAAAATGTTCAGAACTTAAGAAAATAAAAATAACAAGATAAAAGTTGAGATAAAACTATTAAAAAACTCATTTCGTAATGAAAGCAAAGTCAAAATGTTAAACTCCTTAAAAAAGTTATTCCCAGAAGAAAAGTATTTTTAGAAAAATAAAAGTCATTTCTGTTTCTAGAAAGCAGCTGAAATGTGCAGAAAATAGTATTTTGCAAAGGAAGCAGTTTGAAGCGTAATACTGAAAAAAGCTGGTTCTGTTTTATACTATAGGATTATTATATGTTATAAATAATAACATATTTAATAAATGACAAACACTAACAGAAGTAGTTTCCTGACTGAGTCTGAGGTGTAGTCTGTACTCTAACGTCCTTCAAAATAAGAGTCTCAGACTTACACACCAAATGTGTTTTTAATTAAATGAGACCTGCAGCCAGAATATCTAGTTATTCAGGCAAATCCTTTACAAGTAAGTACGGGGTATGTGGCAAGATCATTTCCCTGTTTATTAAAACCTATTTTAGGTACAAAGTGGTGGCTTTTTAGGATTTTACTCTGTTTAGTTTTTGGTGCGTTTTATCCCAGAATAAAAACTATAATCCAGGGATACTATTTGGAATTTTTCTTCGTTTTCAACAAACAACACGTAATATTTTAAAAGTCTCTATTACATTATTTTATTGCCTAGGAAAGGCTGTGAAGACGACCACTGTAGAAGATGAACATGCAGCCTAAACGAGACAGTTATAAGCTTTGCTTTATCGTTGACCGTGTCTAGCTTGAAATTTGCCTTTTTTTCCTAAATTACTTTTCTATTGCTTTCAAATACTTCAATACTTTAATTACTTTAATAATTTAATACTTTTCAAATACTTCTGTATTTTTAATTAACACTAAATAACCACAGACAGCAAAAAAAGATGTACGACAGTTGGACTTGATCTTAAGGAGAAGACGAGCAGTGTGTGTGTGTGTGTGTGTGTGTGTGTGTGTGTGTGTGTGTGTGTGTTACAGGCAGAATTATTCTGTACAAGTGATGACACCTAGCATGTCAGCCTTCCAACAGACTGTCGACCACCTGTCGAGTGGAGATAAAGTCCTCCTTAGTGTAACCGCTGTGGCCAATGAAACCCTTCTGGGAGACACCGTCACTACGGTCTCGTACACTAGTGAATAACTCTTCTGTTGTCTAATGAAGATTCACATTTCGATTGGTGTGGTCAGTGGCACTGACTGACTTTTTCACTCTTCAACAGCTCCTTTACGGGTCTTTAACCTGATGCTAACCTCAAATGACAGCTCCATCCGTGCGTCCTGGAACTACACTAAAAACATCACAAATAGTAATGGCTACTTCCGCACAGAGCTTCAGTTAGTAGGAAGCCCCACCTATCAACAGATGAAACACACTACGGATAAATGCATCACGTTCACTGGCCTTCAGACTGCAGCTAATTACACAGTAACTGTCTACGCTGTCAGTGGAGACCTCACAAGCCCACCAGTGTTTGACTTCAAGCTGACACGTGAGTTGTTGTTTTTTTGTACATTAACATTATCATTACAGTGATCCCTCGTTTATCGCGGTAGATGCGTTCCAGACCTGGCCACAATAGGTGAAAATCCACAAAGTAGGGATACCATATTTACAGTACAGTGTCAGAACCCAAGTTCCCAGGCCAGCCTCTTCCAGCTAGCCGGCTTCCACTATGGACCACAACTCCCAGCATGCCCCTCGCGGGGATTCCCTCACGTCGCATCTACGTCACAAACCGCGGCTATAAATGGAAGTCGCCTTTCCAGCTCACCACTCAGTCATCGTTTCTTCAGATTCATGATCAGAGTTTCCAACCTACCGATCCATCCCACGAACTATCAGCTCATAGTAAGTTATCTTACTTACTTCTGGAAAGCCCGGCATTTCCGTGTCACTTCGTTGACGCTCGAACACTCGGGGGTTTCCTAGATTAAATCGTGAGCCGGCGTTTCACCGACGCTCTCACTTCCGTGTCTGTGAAACCATGCGCTCCCTACAAGCTCAACTCCCGAATCCAGCCGACCAGTCTGACATACAGTACTATATTTAATTATCGTATGATCACATTCTCTTTTTGTGGGTAAAACTCAAGAAAAATATATTTTTTTACTTGGTTTTTTTATAATTTTATTACAGAAAGTGCATTTTATGATGAAATTGATGAAAAAAATGGAATTTCTTGATATTTCGCATAGAAAAATACCGCAAATCGGCGAATTTCCCTTGAATAAGGCACCAAAAAAAAAATCTGCAAAGTCGTGAATCCGCAATAAACGAACCGCGAAGTAGCGAGGGATCACTGTACTGGAGACACCGCAAACACATCATTCATAATTTGATGAATTTTTTATTCTGTTTAAATGGATATCAATACAAAAACATGGAGCTTTTGTCATTTCTAGTGCCCAAGCCTCCTACTAATGCCATGGTCAGATCCACATCGACCAACTCCATCACCTTTGCATGGACCCCGCCCGACAACGTGGCTGATAACGTTGTGTACAAAGTCTTTATTCAGTCTGGATTCTGGAATTATTCGAAGAATGACCTTGTGTCAAATCAAAACAACTACACGTTTGCAGCCTTGAAATCAGGGACCAACTACAGTTTTTCTGTCTTAATCGTTACGGCAACGGACACCAGCGAACGAGCGGAGTGTACGGGGAGGACAGGTGAGTGTGTTCTACCTGAAGACTGGAATTACGGGTTTAAATGCCTAAAACATGTAAAAATGAGCTGCTTTCTGTTCGGGAAAAAGTGAGTTTAGTGCATTTGGTGATTGTTATTCTTTACTTAAAGCAAAACAATAAATAAAGATTCATTCTAGAGTTTGGTGGTGATAATCCCAGCCCACACAAAGAAAAGACCCCAATGCTATTAAAGGTACCAGCTAAATAACCTGATGATGGGTTTCTCTAGTTTTCTAACAGCAGACACGTCTCGGGACAAGGTTAGTCAGACTGTGGAAGTGAAAATGGCTGCTGACGTGTCAGTGATAACAGTCTTAGCTAAGTCGAGACTCCAGTCAACGCAGAATCTTGACCCCGTAATGACGTACTCCACCGTCGGCATTTGGAGGAACTGTCTGGTTTTCAGCCGGTTTGTGACCAGAATCACTGATCCAAGCAATTTAAAAAGAGACTTTCACACTTTTTGTTGGAGCTTTTATGGAAAAGCAGTTTGCTTGTCTGAACCAAACAGAGGTTTAGCTAACAGCTAGTTCAAGTGCGGTCGTTCTGAAACAACTTTCTAAGATTTCATTGTGGTTCATGCAAATGCTTGCTCAACCATTTACATTAAAGTCCCATAGTCGTCACAGATGTGTGTGTATTTGACCCGTCCCTGTGAGGAGCGGTGAGCTGCAGACACGGCTGCGCTCGGGAACTATTTGGTGGTTTAACCCCCAGTCCAACTCATCAAAGCTGAGTGTCAAGCAGGGAGCCGTTGGGTCCCATTTTTAAGCCTTTGGTATGACCCGATCTCCCAGTCCCAGAGCGGACACTCTACCAGTAGACCTCTGAGCTGGTGCTTACCTTATGTGGTGTGTTACTTTACTGTTAATGTGGCATTAGTTATATAACCAGGTTTTGTTACTTTTTTTTGTTCCACTTTAGCGTCAGATTGCTTCTCTGCCAGGTTGCACGTAACATTTTCATACAGATCATTAGAAATATACAGACTAATGCTGTCTTTAGCATAACTGTGTAACTCAGAATTGGCATGGATGTCAAGGTTGATAAAAGTATTTGCATGATTTGGTTTGATGTTAGAGTTATTTTAAGGCGTTACAACCCACCTTGGTGTTGGCCTCACTCAGACTGCCCGTAAACTCGTTGTTTCTGTCGTTTTCTCCAAACTGAAATCTCTCAAAGAGCTTAGCGGGTGGACGATCTGACCTCCTCAATTTTCCTTTGGTTGGAATTGGATGGTGGAGTGAAAGTATAGCAGGCATTAGGAGCTTTAGGTTTCTAGAAACTCTGGAAAAAGTCATTTGAAAAACTCAACGTAGGGATTTCGTAAAGTGGAGAAGATTGTCGTAGGTACAAAGCTGCTGTCACAGCTATAAAAAGCATCAGAACCATTGCTTCTTCAGAAACCTTTTCAAGGGACCAGAGTAGGTTTCCAGGGCTATTCTTTACCCCTCTGTGCTTCCACTAGAGGTACCAGAGTAGAGTTACAGTATACCCCCCAAAAAAGCAGCCCTGGTATGAAGAAAGTGCTTTTAACTACCTGGAACTTTCAGGGTGAGGGAGCGCTCAACACTTCTGATTGGCTTAATATTCCCAACGTTTCCAATGACCATCTGTCAGAAATATGCTTATGAAGAACTGAGGCAACACTTAACATAAGGGATTTAATTAGCTTACCCACCCTGCTGGTAGGTAAGGTATTCTTTGTTGAGGCTCCTGTTAAGTGGATATGTATCTTTTCCAGATACACATGCAAATCCATAGAAACCCCCTTAATGAACGTGTCCTGACTTGTGACTGGTTCTTCTATTATTTTTAATCAGTGTGACCAAACAAAGTGAGAACCCGAATTTCGCCCCTCTGCTCGTGTTTATTTCTCCACACGCAAACCGTTTACCTGAATGAAGCTCTTTGTTTCAGTTTCCTGCTCATCTCACAGCTTCTGTTTGTCCCTCAGATTCAGTTAAAACTGTGGTCAGCCTGTCATTGCTGTGCTCCTCAAGCACTGCTCTCCACTGTGATGATCCTAAAACAAGAGCAGGTGTTTTAGCCAAGGTGAGTCGCCCATCCGGTCAACTGCTACAGAAGGAAAACTTCAGCTAAACTTTATGTTCTGTTGCAGTTGAGGGAGCATTTGGGACACTGGCTGGGACAGGATATCAGTTGGAGCCTCGAGCAGTCGACATCCCCAAACACATGAGACAACAAATGTTTTGAAAGATAAAAAGAACTCAAAACGCATTTGATTTACAAGCAACAGACATGAAACCTTTCCAACTACACAAGGCCAAAAGCCTTTTTTTTTAAAAAAAAAAAAAACAGATAACGATCAGCCTGGTCCGGAGCATACAGGTGTGTGTGTTAGCTCCTGACATCGACACCAATCATAGAGGACATTTATTTCCCAACAATTTGTTTATTTTATGGGATTTTATCTTAGGATTTTCCTGACAACCTCACCAATGAGGTCAGATTGCACAAAATCCAGAGAAACTGTAAAATCCTACTGATTCCAAAGTCCTTGAACAGCACTCGTTTCTGCACATTTTGCTTCCTCCACTTTTTGTGGTTTGTCTTTTTGTTTTTACCAGGGACCTAATTAAGCCAGTCCCATTCATGTAACGATGATGAGTAGTACATGAATAAATGCCAAAGATGGTAAAACTTTACAGCAATGGTTCCTTTTTTAATATTACTGCATTATTAATCATTAGTGAACAAATGATCCATTTATTAACATTATTGTTAACTATTAAGTGTTAGGACAATGGGCCAGGGGGTGTCTGCTTAGTAATGCATTACGTGATATGGTTAAGCAGTTGTTAATACTTTATTTAATAGTTTATTAATGCTTAATAATGCATTAAGTAATGTTAATAAAGGGATCCTTATTGTGAAGTGTTACCACCAAAGAATTCTGCTTGACAAATAATATCATGTTACAAAAACGTGTCCTTGGGTTTTCATAAGATGGTCTTTGATGCAATCATCATTTCTACTTATTTTTACTGAAATAAGGTAGAAATGTATGTAAATGCTGCGATGGACTGGCTCTCTGTCCAGGGTGGACCCCGCCTGATTGCCCATTGACCGCTGGAGATAGGCACCAGCCCCCCGCGACCCTACGTGGACAAGCAGGTTCAGACAATGGATGGTTGGTGGGTGGGTGGGTGGATGGATGGATGGGTGGGTGGGTGGGTGGATGGATCGATGTAAATGAAATCTATTGATCATACAAACAAAAATATGCATACATCATGGACCCTTGCTCAAGAACAATTCAGCATGGCAAGCAGAAATCTCTCCGACAACCTTTCCCATTGGTGGACAACAACCCAGCTACAACAACCACATATTAACATGTACGATGTATTTTTACGATTTTTAGTGTAAAACCTGTACTGAGGAAAACATACATATAACTAAAACTGGATTTTGACACATCTTGTTAGTCAAAAACATACAAATAATTTTTTGTGTGTTGTCAAAAGAAAAATATTGTACCAAACCTCATATAATCACTCCAGAATTGTTCTCGTTCTAATCTCTGTGTTCTGCATGTACCTGATATATAATTCTACTTTTGCTGTTAATACAGTTAAAACAGCTTTCTGTGAATTTAAAATTAAATATTTGATTTTTATGCATTTTTGGTTTTATGTGAAAATGAGATGAAATCAAAAAGACAAATGAGTAAAATGGAATTGACTTAAGTTAATTATTAAATGAATATGTTTAATATAAATGTGTTTTCCTTTCTTGTTATGAAAAGCGTGTTTGAGGCCTTTCTGGCTCAGCTTCTCTGAACTGTGCTTCTGATGCTGGAGAAAGTTCTCAGTCACACAGGTCACCATAATCCAAAGGGGAATTGGGAGGGTGGAGTTTATAAACTGTAGCTGTTTACCTTTGCTTAATGAGCTGAAACTACCCACAAACACCCCCTCCCTACACACTGAGGAGTCTTTAAAGTCATTAGATCCTATAGAGCTCCGGACCCCACGTGACTCTCAGTTAGTGGACGCCATTTTGGCATGCAAAAAAGGTAAACAAACACGGATGTAACCATGAACATGAACGGGATCCGCTTGGATTTTACTTCGTCGGAGTTTACTTCACACTTTAAAACAGAAGAAATCGTTTTATATAGTCAGAAATTAAATAGACTAAACATGTCCGACCCTTACCGTGCCCCTGGGATACTTTTTAAAAACGCCAGAAGCTGTTGTAGCGGACTTCTTACCGGCACAACGCCGGACCTGGCCAGGGGAACCCCTTGGGATTTCCCCGGCCGGAGGAGCTGGGGAGAGGTCTGGGACTCTCGACTCTACTGCCCGCTCCGACGCCAGAAGCTGTCGGAGCGGGCTTCTTACCGGCACAACACCGGACCTGACCGGGGAACCCCTTGGGATTTACCCGGAGGAGCTGGCTCCGGCGGCTGGGGAGAGGGAAGTCACGCTACTGCCCCCGCAACCCGACTCCGGATACGCGGATGAAAATGGATGGATGGACGGACAAGTAACAGATTTACACGTAAGTAGTCTCGGTGAGACAGATAATAGCAATCCAAAGTGCTTTTTATGTGTGATCTGACAATTGATCAACCATTGCTTAAAAATTAAATACAGCTTAGCCGCTTAATTGCTGTGATCATAAAACACGAAAACGGCAGCACGCAGAAATCACGAGGCAACGTTTTACGTGATGTTTACTTGTTGCTATGAGTAATAAGACAGAAAAAGCCACGCCAAAATAAGTTTAGGAAGCCCACTAAGAATCGTAATAAAAGCATTTAAAATAAATACCATACACAGTTGAGGAAACGTTGGTGTAAGTACCTGATATGAAGCGGTCGCTGCATAAGCGAAAACCTTTACTCTCGGGGTCCCACAGCTTCATTTTCACCCGGTCACTAGGGCGTTTTATTACAATGAACCAACGTTTGCGGCGCTCCGGATCTTGGGGAATCCTGTAGATGGCTCATTCCTTATGTCGTCCGTGTCTGTTCTGCATCCTGGGGCACAACAGGAATCTACCATATTTCCCGTTTGATTGAGTTTTCTGATAATAACAATAGTCCAGCTGCGGGCTTCTGCATGCCAATATGGCGCCGTTTCGATTTGAACTGTTGCATGCCGGGAGAAGTGACGTCAACTCCCGGAGCTCTATTGTGTGTGAATGCTTGTTTTGATTAGATGCAGGAGGGTGTGACCTAGATTAAAACCGTTTTGGACATAGATTTGTAGCTGCATTGTAGATGTTGGAAAGGTGATCTGAAGGATAGCCTAACAACTTCAATGACTCATCAGGGGATAGGGAGGAGGGGTGTTCACAAGTAGTTTCTGCTTGTTAAGCAACAATAGACAGCTACAGTTAATAAAATTGACCCTCCCACATTCCAGTCAGAATTGACAAAGTTTCTCGCATGAGAAATGAAACTTCTTCAGTAAAAAAAAAAAAGTTGCCAGTTGTCTTCATTGGAACCCCTTTGGGTTAAATGGCTGATATTGAGTCATTTGCTGTTCATACTTTTACACTTTTAGATAATTAGCAGTTTTGTGAACATATCTGCTCATATATTTAAAAATCACACACAAATAAGACCAAAACTGAGTCCTAAAGCTTCAGAAACCCTCTGAGTACAGTTTGAGAAGCTGCTGGTTGTTTAGAGAGACCTCTGCACACTGCCTGCTTCCTCTGTAAAGCGTCACAAATGTAAAGCTTAGATTTGCCTCTCATACTTAGTAAATAGGCCTGTGAGGGAGAGGTGGCACTTGTGCTGGTTTAATGAGTGAAAAACTCACGTCAGAAGACCGAAGTTTAGGTAAAAAGTCACAAGAGGAAAGAATGGAGACGGCTCAGAGACACCTGGAGGAGGACGAAAGGCGAACACCTGCAGGTCGGTGTTGATGAGTTGGTGCTAAATGAGAAATAAGGACATTACTTAGATTATAAAATCTAACCTAAGCTGTCTGTTGCATTGCTAACCTTTCATGTATTTTACCAATAATACATCCTGGCGGGAGTAACTCTGGTATGCCTTTTTTCCCTCCCCCAACTTTTATCCTCATGTAATTCCCTTTCCATCTATTAAGGTAGCGCGACTCGTGTTGCCAATGACCGCAGTCACCAATTCTTGTCATGTGTCTTGCCCACGTATGTCTGATCTCTGAATTGTGTGTACTGAAATTCAATTTCGTTTCTCTGTATGTCTTGCACATGTGGTAGAAATGACAATAAATGACTTTGACTTTGGATGTTGCTGTAAAGGATTTTCTTTATAAATGTCCAATAAATATAAAACAGTACTTTAAGTGTTATTTTTGTAGCTGTGAGGAAACGCTTTAAAGGTTAAACATTTGGGCCATTCCCATCTGTACCGGGTCGGCCCGGGCCGGGTAGCCCCAGTCGGCCCCAGCCTGGCCCGGTAGATTCCACACATCCTTGCCTTAAGCCCATGTGGGCTAATTCTACCCACCAATCAGAGGCTTGCTCTAATGGAAGGTGTGAATTTGCTGTCAGCAGTGGGTGTGTTGGCCCTGGTCGGTCTGAAGCAGACCCCCTCGAGAAGAGGGCTGAGAATGAGCCTTGGTTGGCCCGGAAAAATACCAGGCCACCCAGATATGTAAACAACCTACGCTACCCAGCCCGGGCCGACCCGGTACAGATGGGAATGGCCCAATTGTGTCTGTTACAGTTGTGAGAGGCTGCCGAAAGTGGCATCTGACATTTTCTGGAGCAGTTTTGGGAGTCGTATCGCTGATTGTGGGTCTGGTTCTGAAATCCTCCTTGTCTGGTGACTTGACTTGTAAGTAAAAGATTAAATTATTCTTACAAGGCAAGAGAAAATAGTCAGATATGCTGGAAAGTTGGTATAATCCAATTATGATGAAGCTTAGTGAGATTTTATCTTAGGAGCGATCAATGCCACTACTGTTTAAGAGTATGAGCAGTTTCTCTACAAAAAGGTGAGGTAATTACATCTTGTCACATTTTTTATTTGTGAAAGAAATCACATGTTATAAAGTGGTACTGCTCTAATTTTATTTTGCGTGGGTGGCAGTTTTATGCTTCCGTAGAACTGTCCTCACCTTCAGATAAGGTTCACAAATATGTTGCAAAGTGGTACCGAAAAGTTGTTTAATTTTAATAAAGTGTTTTGTTTTTATAGTTAAAAAATAATTTTTGTGTTTTGCTAAATAAATAAAAGCATCATCAAGGAAAACAGGCGAGGACCAAATACGTGGCCTTGAGAGACGCCACGTGGTACAGATCAGACTCGGTAAAACTGAAAACACTTAAAGATTCTGAATTTTCCAGCCACACAGAGCACCGCTCCAGAAGATCACCACATGCTGAACACGGTCAGGGAGGAGCTGCAGCAGTGCCAGAGAGGGCAGGCTGACCTGAAGTGGACGCTACACTCTGCAACTCCAGGTGGGTTCACGTGTTCTGCAGTTCAAATGTGATACGAGTGTTCTGTGGTTAGACGTGTTTGGTTCATAGTTATGAATGCGCTCCTGTCCCGTGTGAAGACTCCAGGTGCCGTTTGTGTCCGCACACCTGGCTCTTGTGGAAGAGCCACTGCCACTTCTTCTCTGACGGACTGCAGGATAACCGTCAGTGGAATGAGAGCGCAGACTTCTGCCGGCAACACTACAGCAGCCTGGTTGTGATCAAAGACTGCAGAGATGGTAACCGGACATTTATGAGGAAAATCAGAGACTACAGTGTCCACCGCAGTTTGTGCTTCCTACAACTAACTCTTTCACCGAAAAGCAAACACATGCTCTCCCTCAAATGCAGCATTTCATCCAAGGAGTGATGAGTATGTTCCCTCGTTTTCCTTTCCTGTGGGTGGGACTGACAGACGTCCAGCAGGAGGGACGATGGCTGTGGGAGGACGAGACTGATATCCAGCATTACCTACCGTAAGTTTTTTTATCAGGGTAAAAATCTGAACCATTTTATGTTTTATATGCAGGAATGAACATGCACTTCTCTGTTCAGTAAATAATTGTGATGGTAGAGTTCATTAAATTAACAGTCTCAAGAATTACGGATAATTCAAGAAAGTAAATAAGAATCCTGAAAACAAAACACATCTAAAATAATTCCAGCATTTCTTTTACTGTACATATCTATAAGTTATCTATATTTGTCCGAAACCTCCTGACAGATCTCCATAATTTAAAGAAATATGTTTTTTCAGGACTTCAACACCAAAAAATGACACGTTGAACAAATCAAGTCATTTAAACAAAATGAAAACATCACGACAAAGCTGAATAATTTCAGTAATTCCATTCAAAAGGTGAAACTTCATTTATTACACACAGACTGATATATTTCAAATGTTTATTTTAAAATTTTTTGATGATTATAACTGACAACTAATGAAAATCCCAGATTCAGTATCTCAAAATATTAGAATATTGTGAAAAGGTTCAATATTGACGATCCCTGGTGCCACACTAATCAGCTAATTAACTCAAAACACATGCAAAAGCCTTTAAATGGTCTCTCAGTCTAGTTCTGTAGGATACGCAATCATGAGGAAAACTGCTGACCTGACATTTGCCCAAAGATGACCATTGACACCTTGGACAAGGAGGGCAAGACACAAAAGGTCGTTGCTAAAGAGGCTGGCTGTTCACAGAGCTCTCGAGTCCAAGCACATTAATGGAGAGGAGAAGGGAAGGACAGGGTGTGGTAGAAAAAGTGTACAACAATAGAGATGACCCCACCCCGGAGAGGATGGTGAAACAAAACCTTTTATAAATGTGGGGGAGATTCACAAAGAGTGGACTGCACTACAGTGGACTGGACTCAGTACTTCAAGAACCACAACGCACAGATGTATGCAAGACATGGGCTCGGTTGTCACATTCCTAGAGTCAAACCGCTCTGGGCTAAAGACAAAAAGGACTGTACTGCTGCTGAGTGGTCCAAAGTTATGATCTCTGGTGAGTAAAAGTTGCATTTCCTTTGGAAATCAAGGTCCAAGAGTCTGGTGGAAGAGAGAAGAGGCACAGAAACCACGTTGCTTGAGGTCCACAGTAAAGTTTCCACAGTCAGTGATGGTTCGGGGTGCCACGTCATAATAATAATAATAATAATAATAATAATAATAATAATAATAGCCTTTATTGTCATTGTACAGGACACAACGAAATTGGAGTGCCACTCCCTTGGTGCACAATACAATAATACCTCTAAATATAAAGGTCCCCTAAAACAAAACAATAGTAAGTAACAAAACAATAGTAAGTAACAAAATAATAGTAAGTAATATATGCCGACTAACACACTATTTACAGAATAGCAGCTACCATATCATGTAAAAAAATGGCATTTGAATAGCAGCATAGTAGTTGACGGTGACCTTGACAGTCGCTAAGCAGTTTTAATTGTTTTTATGCTTATTCACTATAGAGATCGCCATGGGAAAGAAGCTATCTCTGAATCTGTTTGACCTGGTTTTATGAGACCTGTACCGTCGACCTGATGGTAATAGTTGAAAGACGTGATTGCTGGGGTGAGATTGGTCCTTGATGATATTGCTCGCTCTGCTGAGGTACCGAGAGTTTGCAATGACCTCCAGGCTGGACAGAGAGCATCCAGTGATCTTCTGGGCTGTGTTGATGACCCTCTGCAGTACTTTCCTGTCTGCAGCTGAGCACCCTGCGTACCATGCTGTTATGCAGTACGTTATGATGCTTTCTATGGTGGCTCTGTAAAAAGTAACCAGCAGCCTCTCCTCCAGGTTGTTCCTCCTGAGCACTCTCAGAAAGTGGAGACGCTGCTGGGCCTTTTTTACCACTGCCGTGGTATTTGCTGTCCAGGAGAGATCCTCAGAGATCTGCACGCCCAGAAACCTCATGGAGAGCACCCTCTCCACACAGCTTCCATGAATGTACAGTGGGGCCGGGTCTGCTCTGCCCTTCCTGAAGTCGAAGATAATTTCTTTAGTTTTCGTGGTGTTCAGTTGGAGGTTATTTACTGAACACCACTCCGTCAGTCTGTTGACCTCATCTCTGTAGTCCGTCTCATCCTCCTTCGAGATGAGTCCGACCACGGTGGTATCATCCGCAAACTTTATAATGGTGTTCGAGAGATGGAAAGGGGAGCAGTCGGATGTGTAGATTGTAAACAGGAGTGGACTCAAAACACATCCTTGTGGAGCCCCGGTGCTGAGTGTGATGGTGCTGGACTGGTGTGGCCCGAGTCTGACAGACTGTGATCTATTTGTCAGAAAGTCCTTAATCCAGAGGCAGATGGGGGTGGAGAGTCCCAGGTGAGACATTTTCTGGACCAAGATCTCAGGGATTATGTGATAGAATGCTGAACTGAAGTCCAGGAAGAGCATTCTCACATAGCTTCCTCTGTGCTCCAGGTGACTCAGTGCAGTGTGGAGCGCTATGGTGATAGCATCCTCGGTGGATCTATTTGTCCTGTAGGCAAATTGATGGGGGTCCAAAGTGGGAGGCAGACTGGCCCTGATGTACTGACAGACCAGCCTCTCCAGGCACTTCATCACTACAGGCGTAAGTGCAACAGGCCTGTAGTCATTTGGGCTGACCACAGCTGACTTTTTTGCAACCGGGATGATGGTGGAGGTTTTGAGACAGGGCGGGGCAGAGTTTAGTGACAAGGAAAGGTTGAAGATTTTAGTGAAGACTCCGGTCAGTTCGTCAGCACATGCCCTGAGCACCTTTCCATGTATTCCATCAGGACCTGCCGCCTTCCTGGGATTCACTGACCTTAGAACACACCTCACTGCTCCACAAGTGTTAGTGTGCCGGTGCTGGGGGCAGGAGTAGATGGAGTTACATCTGAGGGCCTGGACGTCTCAAAACGGGCGAAGAAACGATTTAGATCCTCAGCACACGAGGCATCAGTACTAGATGTCGCCAGGTTATTGCTTCTGTGCTTGGTAATGTGATTGATCCCCTGGTCATCTGCTGGTGTTGGCTCATTGTGTTTTCTGGGGTCAGAGGTCAACCCAGCTGTCTACTAGGAAGTTTTAGATCACTTCCTGCTTCCTGCTGCTGACCAACTGTATGGAAAGGCCGGTTTCCTTTTCCAACAGATCTTGGCACCTGCACACAGCGCCAAAGCTACCAGTACCTGGTTGAAGTACGATAGTGTCCCTGTTTTTGATTGGCCAGAAAACTCGGTAGACCTCAGTCCCATAGAAAATCTAAGGGGTACTGTGAAGAGGACTGGCCTGTCTTTGTATAACGCCTTCTTAGGGTTCTACTTGGGGCAGCATTAGCTCAACAGGTTGAGCGGGTTGTCCAGTAATCGGAAGGTTGCAGGTTCGATCCCGGCTCCGGACAGAGAATTCTGCTGTTGTGTCCTTGGGCAAGACACTTAACCCCCCCTTGGAGGGACCGGTGGTGCCTGTGCTCGGCAGCCTCGCCTCTGTCAGTGTGCCCCAGGGCAGCTGTGGCTACATTGTAGCTCATCACCATCAGTGTGTGAATGTGTGTGTGAATGGATGAATGATACAGTGTAGTGTAAAGCACTTTGGAGTCCTTACTCTGAGAGGCGCTATACAAGTGCGGGTCATTTATCATTTATCATTACAACCCCCCAAGGCGCTTCACAACAAAATCAGTCATTCACCCATTCACTCACACATTCACATGCTGGTGGCGATGAGCTACGATGTAGCCACAGCTGCCGTTGGGCACACTGACAGAGGCGAGGCCTGCCGAACACTGGCGCCTCCGATCCTTCCGACCACCACCAGCAGGTAAGGTGGGTTAAGTGTTTTGCCCAAGGAAACAACGACAGCATTCTCTGGTCGGAAACAGGATCAAACCTGCAACCTTCCGATTACTGGACAGCCCGCTCTACCACCTGAGCTACTGCTGTCCCAGAAGATGCAATACACCAGACCCAACACTTCAGAAGAGCTGAAGGTCACTATCAGAGCTACATGAGCTCTCATAACACCTGGGCAGTACCGCAGACTGATCCGCTCCACGCCGCGTCGAGTTGCTGCAGGAATCCTGAGCAAAGGAGCCCCAACTAAACACTGAGTGCTGTTCATGCTCATACTTTTCAGTCGCCAACATTTCTAAAAATCTTTTTTTTTTTTGCATTGGTCTTAGTTGAAATTCTAATTTTCTGAGATTAAGAATTTGGGATTTTCATTATTCGTCAGTTATAATCTTCAAAATGAAAGAAATAAACATTTGGAATATATCGGTCTGTGTGTAATGAATTCATCTAATATACAAGTTTAACTTTTTGAATGGAATTACTGAAATAAATCAACTTTCTCATGATATTCTAATTTCATAACCAGCACCTGTAAATGTACTGTAAATGGTACTCTTTACATTAAAGTTGCTAGTTTTAGTAGAACCAGGGGACATAACTTGGATAAGTTAATTCAACATTTTGCATCCAAACCAAGTGATTACAGAAAATATTTGTTTTAAAAAGGAACAATCATTTACATGAGCTCTTAGAGCAAAATCAACTATCTGAGGACCACAACGTGAGTTTAGGGGCTTTCTTGTAGCCTTAGAGCCATCAGGGCCCGTCCTGGTGAAAGAGTGGCGAGGAGATCATTTTTAAATCCATCCAATAAAAAATTCTAACAAATAAAGAAAAAAAAATGAACAAAAAAGACAACAGCAAATAAAAACTGAATGTAAACAGAAATGTTTCATTATTTATTATTATATTACACCATGACGACACATTTATTCTTAAATATTTCATATATTTATAAACACACTATATATGTACAAAATTTTTCAGATGTATTATTCTGTTCCTGCTCCCCATATGAACACAGGCTGGCTGTGGAGTGGGACACTGACGACAGGGACTGTGCTGACCTGAGGGGAGGCTGGAGTCTGTTTGCTGCTGAGTGTGACGTCCACGGACCCTGGGCTTGTAAACGGGAGTCCTGAGACCCATGGATTAATGTCAGACCCAAAATAAAGCATTAAAGTGTCAACAAAAAGTTCTATATAGCAACATTTTTATTCTGTACATTTATGAAAGTGCAGTATAAAGTGCATGAATGAACATATTCACATGTAATAAAATTTGTTTCTAGTCACTGCAATAGCATCATTTCTATATAAAAACTTATTTTAGTTACATTATCACAGACTTTAAAGTATTTAAGGTATTTATAGCGCAGCGTCTATCACCCTAGCATTGTAGCTTTAGCAGAGAATACCTAGCGTAACACTTTTCTAGCTGAGTTTCCTCTTCAGCTTCCTGCAGGTTTGCCTTGATGTTGGATCATCTTAGCTTCATTTTATTTACAGTGATTAAGATTTTTAAAATACATTTTATCTGGAGAGATGAAGAACAACTATCATCTTGTCTGCACAGCCCCGTAAACAAGCTCAGCTTGGAGAAACAGAAAGTATTTGTGACTAAACGAACAAGCTAATGCTAAGTACTTTGTTACTTTACTTTGATACTGTACTTAAAGCAGAAATCTGGAGTTTGAATTTTCACCATCTAGAGGTTAAAAGACATGTTGCACCTTAAAGAGCAAGTCACCCTTACCAGAGTCTTACTCCACCCCCACTTCCTGTTTGAAAAATGCAACAAATGCTGTTGCCTAGCAGACCGAGAGGGCGGAGCCGCTAACAAATGCACACACACAGGTTCACAATGACATTGTGACATCATATGGTACCAGCTGACGTCCTAAGGTACCTCTTAGCCAATAGCGATGGCAGATTTAAATTCAAATGTAGTGCAGAGTTTTTCCCTGACAACGGCACAACACTAGCAGTTTTAGGCATAAAATTTAAATTTGAACTAAAATGCACTAAAGTGCTAAACTATTGACTACACGTGTCTGCAGCACGATTAGACACGCATTTATATAGTTTATCAGAAAAAAAGTTGATTTGGGGGTGACTTGCTCTTTAAGGTGTTCTCACAACTTCCGTGTTTGCAGCTGAAAGCCACGCCTCTTGTTCATGAACACGCGCCTCTAGCGGGCCAACAGACCTAAAACACATGGCTTTACGATTATTATTCTAATGTACTCATTTATTTGCATTTTAAAGATCTACTTGCACATAAGAAATGTTGCAGAACCAACAATATTTCTTATGTGCGTCTGCAAACACTCATGCTTGCTCTGTGATAGACATCTAAACATAAGCGTATGTCTAACGCTATTGGCCAATGCTGAGTGGTGGTCGGTTCTAAATGCATGGGGTACTACAGGATCGGGGTGGGCTTAACAAAAATGTTTTGAAGTATAGCCTACATTATATTACATTACAGGGTAAAACTATCACTTTTAAAAATATCTACAAAATCACACAGAATTCCTGAATGAAGGAAAACTTTGGATTCCTGATTTAAGTACACCTTTTCTGTATCTTCTTTACTTTAGTAATTTTATGGACACCTATGTTTGCTCCACTATATTTTGTAGTAACCACCTGTGCTTTATACGCCACTAAAATTTCCAAAACGTTCCAAAAGTAAAAGTACTTTAATTTGCGCTATATCTTACCCCCATTCCCCCACCTTATCCATGGAGACCGGCAGTTCCTAAGGCTACAGTACTTTAGTTATTGTTTAGTCCGCTCCCCCAGTCAGTTGAGTACTTTTAGTTTTTGACTTATAAGTACGTTTGAAATTGCATACTTGCATACATTAAGTCTTCTTTAATACATCTACTTTGATTTAAGTAATTATTTAACCTTTTTACCTGTACTTTTACTTAAAGAGCAAGTCACCCCCTACCAGAGTCTTACCTCACTCCTACTTCCTGTTTGAAAAATGCAACAAACGCTGTTGCCTAGCAGACCGAGAGGGTGGAGCCGCTATCAGATGCACACACACACACAGGCTGTTTCTAATAGGCATGCTTGTCCGAGCTTGTGTAGTCGTGTCCTTCTGAAACGTCAACAACGATGGCCCAAGGACTGTTCAAATCCTAAATATGCATAATGGCAAGTTCACTCAAAGTTCCCGGATGTGTTCTTGCTCTGCCCACTGTATCGAGGATGCAATGATGCATCTTTCTGCGCACTTAGGACAGCAAAGTTTCCCATAATGCATTGCGTCGCAAACTGTTACACTCCGAATGTCCGAGGAGAACGCTAATAACTAATGTTTTATATTAGAAATATAAATCAAATAATATAAAGTTGTCTGTTGTAAATAATCCTGTGTAAACTGTAAATTTTGCTGTGTGTGTTTGAGTTTTACTCTTCACAATCCTTCAAAATGCTAATTAACTGACCCACTATCAAAATAAAAGCACCGTAGCTATGTTCTGATGAAAAATAAACTTTTTTTAGTCATTGAAGAGCAGGAAATGCTTAGTATTTCAATAGTTTTGATCAAAAGTGAGCCAAACGTAATGCAAATAATTTGTTTTTGTTGTTATTTTGTTATTTAAGGAACAAACTAGACTTTTATTCTTATGTCAGGTTGTTTTTCTAACTGTAGCAAGAAGGAGCGCTTGTTGCCAGGACACAACGGAGTACGGTTCTGTTTCTAATGCCGTCCTCGTCCTCCCGTACTGGGTAGAACAGACTTTCTGGTGTCCTTGCCAAGAACATACTTGTCTAGTACACAACATACTAGCGTCCTTGATTATTGACAAACGGCCACAGGCTCACAAATACATTGTGACCTCATAATGTACCAGCTAACATTATAGTGTACCTCTTAGCCAATAGCGGTGGCTGTGCAGAGTTTTTACCTGAAGACGTCACGACACAAATGTTTTACTAAGATGCCCTAAAGTGCTAAATTATTGACTACACATGTCTACAGCACGATTAGACACTCATTTATATAGTTTACCAGCAGAGAAAGTTTATTTGGGGGCGACTTTCTCTTAAGTAAAAAAATCAAGTACTTCTTCCACCACGGCTAACGGCTAAGATTGTAGTCGATTGCTGTCGTCTGAAAACAACTGAAACATAAAAGATGTAAGCTGTTCAGGTAGACACTGTTATAAACCTGTACAACCTGTTGTGAAAGCTCCAAACTGCACCTGTGAAACCTAAATTGTTCTGCTCTAATGTTTTTTTAGATTAGAATTTTTTTTTAAGAAGACAGTAATCTGCTTCAGTCTTAGCTAACAGGTACATTTCTCCAAACATAAGGTGTCTTTAAGAGCTATCCAGAATAGAAATGTTTGTAAGGTTTCCATGGAAACTCACTGTAAAAGTTCAAAACTTTCGTTTAAAGTCTCCAGTAAGAACTTCAGGTGTCCGTCTCTGTTAGTTTGAGGTGATCTTCTTTGGCTCGATGATGGTGAGCAGAGTGCGGCCGTCCATGGGAGCAAACAGAGGGTAGAGCTTCTCTCTGAAGGTCCCGGTGAAGGTGTAGATGTGGGACTTGGTTTGTGCATTGTAGAAGGAGATCTGGCCTTCCTCATAGTCCAAGTAGACCCCCAAGCGCAGAGGGACGAGTCCGATGGGAAGCTGCGTCTCTGGCTTGGTGCAAGCGTAGAAATGGTGGTTGCTTCTCCACAGAACCCAGTAGCCTTTCTTTGGCTTCATGGCAATGTTTCCTTTCCTCTGTGCGTTAGAAGTGGTCAGCCCGATCCTCCAGTAGCCATTGTTGGCTATGTCCACCTCCCAGTAGTGGCGACCGGCGCTGTAGCCCTCCCAGCCCAGCACACAGGGCCAGTGATCGAAGCGCTGGGAGCTGTGGGGCACGTCCAACTCAGAGAGGCCTTCCTGGACCTTACGCTGGTCGTCTGAAAGCTGCAGCCACGAGTGGTGGGTCTTAGGGTCCAGAATCACATCAGCTGCCAAGACAAGGACATCATTCATAAAAACTGTAACATCAGGAGGTGTAATAAGTGATTTAACACGAAACAGAAACATGTAAGCAGATTTTTACCTGCTGCACTGCAGATCCAACTCCAAACTGGAAAGACAAGAAAAAAATTATATTAATTGGCCAAAATCCTTATTAGGCCCAAGCAGCCAAAGCGCTGCGAAGGCCTATTGTATCTGCTTTGTTTATTTTTCTTCCGCCAAGTAAATTGGCCTTTTGGAGGCCTTAACATACCCGAAAACTCAGGAATTTTTGCACACATGTCAGGCATGGTGTAAAATTTTGTATTTTAAAGGTCCCAAAAAATTTGCAATAAAACTTGCTCCACAGCCCCCCTTAGAACGTGAAAAGTACCCCTTCCATAAAGCTTAGTTTATGGTACAGTTATGACATTTTGTGCACTTGTAGTACTCAACAGTATGCACAGAAAAGCCTCTTGCAACCATGGTCAACATCAAACAGGAAGTCGGCCATTTTGGTTTGAAGTGGTGCTTTTGACACCGTTTTGGCCTTTTCTAGGGTCCGCTTCTGATTGATTTGCTCAATCATTTTTCGCACACTCGTCTCAAAAGTTGTGGGAAATTGCTCAGAAGAGATGGGCGATCAAATAGAAAAAATAAAACTGACTTTTCGTACATGCTGAAGGGGCGTGGCCAGGCCTCGAATTTCAATTACACGCCAAAAAATATAAAGTTCATACTCGAATAGAGTAGTTACAAAAATTTCTGTGGTCATTCGACATCCAGACACAAACTAAATTGAATGGTCCGATGATGACATCACACAAGCCCCACCCCCTCAGGACTAAAAGGTCAAGTTTTACTGTGATAGGTCCCAAATTGCTCTATTTCACCTAATCACCACACATTTGTAGCTGGTAACTCAAGACAAGTAGGGGTTGCTTGGCGTCACTTTATGGGAGTTTTCCAAAGAGGGCTTTGGCGGCACTGCAAAGTCAGGCGTACCACCGTGGCCATACGTTTGCCTCCCATTTTGTCATTTCTAAAGATATCGCCACAAAACTTCTGGTGAGTGATTCTAGTCTGACCCCCCAAAAAATCAGATGTGAAAATGTTTATTTATTTATGTTTATTTATTTTTCAAACGCTTTTATCCAAAGCGACTTACTTATTACCTATAGGGCATGTTGTGATCTGTGGGGGAAATCGGAGTTCCCGGAGGAAACCCACACATGCATGGGACGAACACGCAACTCCACGCAGAAAGGCCACAGCCAAGTTTCGAACCTGCAACCTTCGTGCTGTGAGGCAACAGTGCTAACAACTGCGCCACCATGAAGCCCATCTGGTGGGCGTGGCCTATTTTCTTAAATAGCGCCCCCTAGGACCATTGAAATTGTCAGCCCCAAGCCATGCTTTGACTGAGGATTACGAAATTCGGTACACTAATGTGGTGTCTCAGGACCTACAAAAAAGTCTCTTGGAGCCAAGCGCAAAGTCGCACAGGAAGTCGGCCATTTTGGTCCAAGTACTCGATTTAGTGGTTTTTGCACACGTTGTTTGGAGAATGATGCCCCGTCGCCCTTTTCACCGATCACCTTCAAACTTCTGCTATATACTCTTAAGACATAGAGGGAAAAAAATCAACCGTCGGATTTTTCAAAAGTTTAAAGGTTTGGGCGTGGCTAAGCCTCAAACTTTGACCTTTTGCCATTACATTACTGGACGTAATAACTCTCATGTGCATGATCAGATCTATATCAGACTTTGTTTGTGTGATCACTGACCACATCTCAAGACAATGACAATGTGGACAGCTGACATCACCTAAGCCCACCCCCTGACAACAGGAAGTCGATTGTTTTATGGTGAAATGCCCATATTTGTCCCCTCTAATTTAGTCAACATGACACTAAGGTCATGCACTGTCTTCATGATGTTGTAATGACCATTCAGATCTGATAGCTTTCCAGAAAGGGAGGCTCTTTGATGCCATGGCGAATTCGGGCCCGACACCGTGACCTTTTTTTGACTGTAACTTCCGCAAACAGCGTCCGATCTGCACAAGACAGAACATGGCAATCAACAATCATGCCCTTTAGCCAACGAGGCACAAACGGTTGGTGAACGTTGTATAATATCACCACAGTGCCCCCTACATACCTTTAAAACTGTAATAACTCGTACAGACGAGGTCATAACTGCACCAAACTTGCTATGTGTCATCACACAAAGGCACCCAACACAATCCTGTGGTAATTGGTTGATATTGCTTTAGCTCCTCCCCCTGACAGATATTAGGCCCTGAATAACACATGCATGATGCAATTCACACCAAACTGCACACAAATGACTTATCAACCTACAAACTTCTACATGGAATATTTCCTACATTTGGGACAGCGCCCCCTAGATACAATAAAACATTTGTAACTTCTGCAAAAAAGCTCCAAACTATATCAAACTTGGTGGGAGTCATCACACAACTGCAATCAACACATGTATGTGCTCACTTGTTCAAATCACTTTGACTCCACCCACTTACAGCCTTTTGTCTCTAGATGACCCATGCAACGTTTGATTGACGCCAAATTAACAGAAAACCATCTTTGATGAGCAAAGATGACCTCTATGGGATTTAGTTGTAAATGGTCACAGCGCCCCCTAGATGGGTTCAAACTTTATCAACTTCTAAAGACAAGGTCAGAATGGCTTTTTACTTGGCTTGTGTCATCACGTGACTGCACCAAACACATTGATGTTGTTGTTGGTTCAAATCCCTTTAGCTCCGCCCCTTTCAGCTCTTTGGCTCTAGAAAGCACGCGCAACGTCTGATTGATGCCAAACTACCACAAAACCATCTTTGACTCCCTAAGAGGACCTCAATGGGATTTTTATGTAATTGGTCACAGCGCCCCCTAGATAACTTTAACCCTTAATAACTTTAAAATACATGGTAAGAATAGTATTAAACTTGGTCTGTGTCATCACACCACCAGTGTGGTAAAGACAGAGTATTCCCTAGTGGTGAGACGTGTAATTTAATGGTGGGCTCAGAGGGGATGCTGAGCCAGGGTGAGGTGCAGACGAGACCGTTCGCGGTTTCTGGTGTCGGGGTGGTCGATGTTTATGTTCAGCAGATGTGCCCGGGTGCACCAGACTGCCGGCCAGGCCAGAGAGGCGTGGAGCTGCGAGGGGCGAACAAAGCTGCTTGCAGTTTTAATTTTCTTCATTTTTTCTGCTGTGATTTAAAACTCAAAGGATATAAACTCAGCTTGGAGAAACAAGCCAAATTTACAAGCTAAAGGCTAGTCAGCACAAAGCCAAGAACAAAACACAGCCAGCACTATTTTCCTAGTTTTACTGTAAATACTACTTTATAAACTAGTTTAATAATACAAATGTTACATAACACCATAATTTACAAGCAAAGTTACCAGCAGCTAGCTTTGGCATTGTGTCATTGGATATATGATTTTATAAACTTTTCTAAACTGAACTTGTTTGAAGATTGCTGATTTCCATTTGACTTTAAACTTTAGCCTAACCATTAGCCTATCACTCCGGTTTAGAATAATCTCTTTTTCTCCAAAATGATGTTATTCATTGAGCTATCTTCAGCAGGTAGGATGCTAGTCGTTCATAAGCTCTCACCAGAAACCTAACTGAGAGAAATGTTTTGCCATACCAAAACTGTTGTACACACCTGAGTTTGGGATGTATCTTGGTATTCCTGCTTTCCAGGTCCTTTGCTTTGCTAGCAGCCATAGCTGTGGCACCATCGTCTGGGTAAAAAGAAAAAGTTAAACTATTAACACATGCACAACAGCCTTTTAAGCTTCCACTCATGGTTAATAAACAAGAATAACAGCAGCGGTTAATCAGCAGAATCTTCTCTATCAGTCCAGCTGAGATAAAGGCTTATCAGTTCAGCAGCAGATCAGGGTCAACAGAACAAATCTCACATCTCACTTTATTGATGCTTCACACGCAGGCAGAGTGCAGGGTTCATTCAGCCTGCATGCATCATAAAATCTGTTTCATAACCTGATCATTTCAGACCTGCGTGGTATCAGATTAGACTTTTAGTTTCAATCTCAACCTGGAGCCACTTCTGTTTTACATTTTGTTGGTCCCTTGCTTCATATCACAGGGTTGTGTGTGTTTAAACTCATTTTTGTGTGCATATAAAACTGGGTTTTATTTAGTGAGGGTATGTGCAGAAATCACCTAAAATGTTTTGCTGCATTTGTTCTCATTTTTCCATTTGTGTGTGTTAGCGCACGTGTGTGTGTGTGTTAGCGCATGTGTGTGTGTGTGTTAGCGCATGTGTGTGTGTGTGTGTTAGCGCATGTGTGTGTGTGTTAGCGCATGTGTGTGTGTGTGTGTGTGTGTTAGCGCATGTGTGTGTGTGTGTGTTAGCGCATGTGTGTGTGTGTGTGTGTGTGTGTGTGTTAGCGCATGTGTGTGTGTGTGTGTGTGTGTTAGCGCATGTGTGTGTGTGTGTGTGTGTTAGCGCATGTGTGTGTGTGTGTTAGCGCATGTGTGTGTGTGTGTGTGTGTGTGTTAGCGCATGTGTGTGTGTGTGTGTGTGTTAGCGCGTGTGTGTGTGTGTTAGCGCATGTGTGTGTGTGTGTGTGTGTTAGCGCATGTGTGTGTGTTAGCGCATGTGTGTGTGTGTGTGTGTGTTAGCGCATGTGTGTGTGTGTGCGTGTGTTAGCGCGTGTGTGTGTGTGTGTGTTCGTGTTCGTGTGCGTGTGTGTGTGTTAATGTACGTGTGCGTGTGTTGGCGCATGTGTGTGTGTGTGCGTGCGTGCGTGCGTGTGCATGTGTGTGTGTGTGTGTGTGCGTGTGTGTGCGTGTGTGTGTGTGTGTTAGCGCATGTGTGCGTGTGCGTGTGTTAGCGCGTGTGTGTGCGCGTGTGTGTGTGCGTGTGTGTGTGTGTGTGTGTGTGTGTGTGTGCTGTTTTACCGTGCTGTCCTCCTTCAGCAGAGACCAGGTGATGAACTCCAGCAGAGGCAGCAGCCGGAACAGCCGCTTCTTCTTCAGGCCCAGCAGACGCAGGACTTTCCCGAGCTCGTCACACGGCACGCCACAGCTCTGCAGACACCAACCACAGCGCTTTAATGGTAGCTCTACCGCTTTAGTGAGATTTTGTTCGTAACAGACACTCGGATGAACTTTTTTAGTTTTGTGAGCTTCTCACCTCCGTGGCCCTCTGCAGCTCTTTAGCCCACTCCATGATCCTCTGTTGTGCCTCCTCTTTAGGATCTTTATCTTCTTCTCTTTCTGTCTTTTGACCTTCAGGTGTCCAGGGGTTCTCCTTCAGAAGCTACAGACGTCCAATCAGAAAGAAACCAAGTTAGAGGCTGACTTTCTTTTGTTATTAACTAAAAAATGATCAGACCTGGTTTAGTTCTGACCTCATCTACGTGCTGGAGCTCATCAGACCACTCCAGGATCAGTTTCCTGCTCTCCTCGAGGCTGCGTTCAGCTTTCCGGTCCGACCCGTTGGTCTGTTTCTTACTGGTTTCTCCCCCTGGGTCTCTTCCTCCCTGCTGAAACGCAGCAAACACACACACACACATTAATCAGACATGCCTTACAGCTGCAGGTGAAAGGTCAACCATTCACGAACATGTGTCATGTCAGCATCCACCCACTCAGTTACCCTAATCATCCTGCCGGGTTCAAGCATGTTTTTCCATAGCGATGATTATTAAATTACAGCAACCTGACTCATGGACTGCATGATGACAAAAGGAAGTCCACATAAACCAGTTTGAACTGGTTTTTAGAGGAATCCGTCCTCATGAATTTACTATAAAATTAGTGAAAGCTTTTCCCCAGCAGTACTTCCTTGTCTCATATTTCCTCACATTACTTTCATTCCGCTTTAACACCACGAAACCTGGAATAATAACGTTTACGATCATTTCCCTACCTTGCACAACTCATCCACCTGCTCCTTCCAGTGCTGGATGAACTCCACACACTCCTGCAGGCTGCGCAGATCCCTCAGGCTGCTCTGGCGAGACTGCTGCTGCCAAACGAGCCGAGTTTTAGAAATGAACCCAGAGGGGGAAAGCGTGGGTCTGGATCTGGCGGGTTTCACCTACCTGTGAGTGTTTGGTGAGGCTGCTGGCGTGCATGGTGGGGGCCGAGCTGTGCGCCTGGACGTTCTCGTCAGGCAGATTCCAGCGGACGGCGCAGAGGGAGCTGCTCTGGGTGGTGCTCTCTTCATCGTTCAGCAGGACGCTCGCTTCTGAAAACAAGTTTGTGCCAAAGGTCATCAATGCAGCTGGTCAGAGCAGATGAAGGAACTCAGATCATCAGAAATGATCAAAGTTGTCACACGAATGAAACTTCTGGAGCATTTCACTGGTTCTTTGCTCCGTAAAGTTCCAGATCAGGAGGTGTTACCAGGTAACGCTAAAAAATGAGAAGATGTTTTTTTTTACAATAAAAATACAGGAAAACCCACGTTTTTTACGCTTCAGGATGGTTTTCATTTCGATGCCTTCTTTGTTACTCATGGCTGTGAGAAAAACACACAAACAATAAGATATTAGAACCATATTACCATGCCATTTTGTTTCTATAGCACCTTTCAAACACAGCATGGGAGCTGACCCCAAGCGCCGCACAGGACAACGGTCAAAACGAAAGCAGCAAAAACAGCGTTTGTGCAATGTTTTATTTTATATTTAGTTCATATGAATCATAATAAATCATATAATACAAAGTAAATATATAAAATGTATTTTTTATTCATTCGTTTATATTTTCTTTTTTTTCCAAATTCAGGTCAGAAATAAACAAATGAGTAGGAAACCAGCTGAAAACCCTGACAATGATAGAAAATATGCTTCACAATAATGATCTAACCCATGACCTTATTTATGATCATTTATATACACTTTTGCCTAACTGATAACATCATAAATTGCTAAACAATACTTATATTTACCTATAAACATAAAATGGACAAATATCAAAGAATGATGAGTCACCTGTTGTGGGATCGGAGCAGATGTTTGCAGATGTGCAGCTCTGATGTTGAAGACGAGTGGAGTGCTCACCCTGCACGTCTGATCCTTTTATCTCCTCCTGTCCGCTCCTCCCTCACGCTGACCTTTGGACCCTTTACGTCCTCGAAGGTGATGAGGAGGAACGTCGCAGGTGACTGACACGAAAGCTCGTCGGCTTCCCAGCAGCTGCTTCGGTCACACCGAGAGGCGGGATTCACTTTACAGCAGCAGTAAGGCGGCTTATCAGCATCGACGCCCATAATCAGAGCAGTTTAGTGGTGAAACTGTTGGTCCTGCAGCAGGGTCACTGGTTACATAGCTGCTCATACTGGGAGCTGAGGTGGCTCTGATGGAGTGAAAGTCCCAAAACGTCCACAAATACGGAAGCACTGGCTTTGCATAATAAACATTTGGATATAAAGCATTTATGTCAAATGTAATGAGAATATCTGAGATGCACGAGGAGGAGATTATTTTCATCTTCATATCTTATGTTTTAAGTTCATAGAGCAGATACATCCCAGCTGGGATACAGATGATTAGAGACCTCAGGGATCACCAGGAAGCAGATAAATATAAATATTTATCTTGTTTACTAACTTCATGCTAGTTTCTTTATACCTTCTTATAAGATGTTGCTGATGTTTTGTCTTGCAGGAATACCTGCAACAAATCCATAGATTTAACTGTGAAGCTAGAAAAATTAAAACGGGGTACAAAAATCAATTTATGTCATTAATCCATTTTTAGACTGAGAGACCACCTAAAGGCTCAGGAACCCTTTGCAGGTGTTTTGAATTCATTAGCTGATTCGTGTGATACTTTGAGTCAGCTGTCTGAGATTCTGAATCTGGGGTTTTAATAATCTGTAAGCCATGATCATCTAACAAATAAAGGTGCCCCAAAACATAAAATCAATCTGTTAAACATATTTCCTCTTTTAGTCCCTATAGTTCTTTTCAGAAAATGCACTGAACTTCACTTAAAATAAAAGTAGAAGTTTAAAAATTTCTGAAAGATATGATAATGTGTGGATAAAAAACTCAAATGTAATAATAACTAAATTTAACATTGTTAATATTTATATCTTCATAAATTTACATTTTATTGTAAGCCTCGTCACCTCTAGTGATTATCACATAAATTGTGCAAGCAAGCAGCATCTCTGTGTTGGAGTAAGAAGAACTTATCAACGGATGCCCATTAGGGTCAAAAAGCCTTGGGGAGTGCAAACGTCAGCAAAATGACGCACATCAGACTCCCTTTCATCAATGGCAACAGGTGAAGAGGTAAATGTGTAAAACAACAACGGAGAAAGTTTTGTAACCGTTTCTGACTAATCAGTAAATGTGTTTTGTCGTCATGGGCTCCTGTAAAAGGAAACACGGCTTCTAATATGGCGTCACCCAGAGATTAAGGCCCGCTCCCATGTATTGTACACATGATTTTTATGGTTACATGCTAAGAAGCCGCCAATATTTTTTAACAACTGGACATCATTTCACTCATTTTAAACAACATTTTGATGGATGTTTCCAGAAATTAATGGTAAAACATTGTCTCTTTGAATTTTCAAACCTAATCAGTTTTTTATCTGAGCATGAAGTCCTGGAAACGCATCAGTCTGGGTTTGGGTCTGGGCACTGCTCTTTTAACCCTCCCACTGTCTTTATGGGTGACCCCGCGAGCAAGGGTGCCCCCAAGGGGTGGCCAGCTCTAGAAAATTGCTGGCCCCCAGGAAAAGCCAGTGTTAACAAATCATATTTATGTTCAGTCAAACCATATATTAATCTTGTTTGTTCAAGACATAATTGTAAAACAAAATAAAATATTACAATTGATGCATAAAGAAATAATCAGAATTTTAAGAATACACATGTTTCTGCTGCACAGAAGTTTTTATCTCCATAGTTTTTTTTAAAACCAGCAACAGGTGAAAAAACCTAAAAATAAATGTTTTTAATTAAATTTGGGATAACATTTTAAATAACTGAAATGTATTTTTCTAAAATGTTTGTGTTTGCAAAATTTAAGTTTAATGTTTTGGATACCTACTGTTATTTTAATTAAAACAAATAAAGGTGCAATGCAATACATCGCCACAGACTAAATTCAACCAGAGTTACCACAAGGACCAATTTGGTGTGCCAACCCAAAAATTTTTTGGCCCCATCTGGCCACCCCTATCAAAATTTTCTGGAGGCACCCCTGCCTGCGAGGAAAGTTGACCATTGAGCAGGATTGATGGTTCACCCCTTGAGGTTCACGTGGCAGGGGTGAGGTGGTGCTCACTCCTCACCCCTGCCACGTGAACCTAAGGGATAAACCATCAATCCTGCTCAATGGTCAACTTTCCTCGTGGGGTCACCCATAAAGACAGTGGGAGGGTTAAGCATTTTAAATGATGTGGTTTTAGTAACAGATGCCAGATATGTGGTAGAATAATCCCTTAAGATGGGGGTGCCTCAGGGGTCGGTGCTGGGCTTACTACAGTTTTAGATTTACTTGCTGCTGTTGGAATGCTCCATTGGCAACACAATATCAGATTCCATCTTTACGTTGATGACTGCCAGATATATTTGCCAACACAACAGGGGTCTGGTTCAGTTGTGGATGGCGGCTAATTTTTTGGGGTTTGGTGAGAACAAAACAGAGGTTATTGTTATACCCATAACGACCAAGTTCACTAATTTTTTCCAACACATCTGCGGTGCTGTCGTATGGCTGTCCAATCAGAGGTAAGATGTCCAAATTTCAGCAAACGAGACTCCAAATTCCCCATTTCATGTTCTTTAAACACAAACTACACAATCGTAGACCACGGCTGGTTACAAAATCAGCTAAAAACTGGAAAAATAGAAAATCAAGAAAGTCTGAAAAACTTATAGGTGTAAATTTTCTTCACAACAAACAAGATTTCTTGCACTTTGACTTCTAACAGCTACATCTGTACATCAGAGCATGGCCCTGGTGGGTTTATTGTGTGTAAAAATAGGTGGCTATCAGTAATGTAACACTCTGGTTGATGAGGGGTGAGAGTCGGACATGTTTCAGGAGACTTGTGGACCTAAACATGGAGGAGCTGAACGGTTTGTCTTAAATAAACCCACCTCTGATATCAGCAGGGCTGTTAGAGGCTGCTGATTAGGACTGAGATTACAGCAGGTAGTAATCAATCATCTGCAGGAGGGTTTAACTACGGTCATGTGTTTCATCTTCATAAATAATAACCGGCTCACAGGAAAAACTCAGGAGGTTAGAGATCAGTTTCAGGTTTATTTCCAAATTAAGACAAAATCTGTGATTCAATCCAAAAAAATTATAAAAAAAAAAATCCACTCATTTACGTCAAAATTTGTATAGATTTCTCATAATATTTCAACACTCTCATTACATTTTTATTAGCTTCATTTATAAAAGTGGCATCACATCTCTGATCCTACCAAAGCAGGCTGCAGCCTGCTCACATATGTACACGCTTATAAAAAATATTCTAATGAAAATGTGTTTTTTGGTGCTGTCTGGTTCCAGATGTGCAGCGTCATCTGGCTGGGTGTGGGGTTCCACAAAGGTCCCTGTCAATTATTCAGATCCAGTTCTTGAAGAACTGTTTGAAGATGATGGTCTCCTTCCCCTGAGGTAGAATTTCCACCTGAAACACGCAGAAGTTAGAAGTTTTAACATCAAAACAAATGAATAATAAACAGCTAAGGTGTCATGGTGACGTTCAGCATGGAGTGACCTGTGTTTTCATCCTGGGGTAGTTCATCTGCTCAATGAACTTGTCAGCCATCTGCAGAGCAGCCCTCTTCTCCTCTTCATTCGCTCCGTTACCTGCAGGGTTATCAGAGTTTGTAGACATTGTTTAGAGCCACCGGAGGTTCACAGACTTCTCAGATTTGCACACATAATGAAGATCAAAGTTAGCAACAGTCTATTTAATACCTATTATTATTTTAAACTTTTAATTATTCGTGTTTTTATTTACTCTTTTATTAAATTTGAAGTAAAATGATGACCTCTGCAGGGGCGGTTCTACGGTGGGTCCAGGGTGGGCCAGTGCTACTCCGACAGTTAGAATGGACCCCCCTGTGCCTGCCCCCTGCTGTGGGTGGAGCCTAAATATTAATAAGCATGTAAACGTATTTATATGAAGTTGAAAATAGCTGCTGAGACAAATACTTACATGTTGTTACTGAGGTTGATAACTGAGATTTTAAAGTGTTTTGTAGTAAATTATTATTAAAACGATTGAAATGCTGTTGTATCTAAAGCAACTGTAACTGAATTGTTATTTTATTGTATTTTTTGATACACTAAAATTGGAAATACAATGCTTTTAATGTTTTCTTACAAGTGTGCCTTTAGTGATGTTAAATTGTGACGCCAATATCAGCCAAGCAGCCGGCACTAATAATCGGACAACATGAATAACTTAGCAAACTGAAGATACAGTGATCCCTCGTTTATCGCGGTAGATGCGTTCCAGACCTGGCAGCGATAGGTGAAAATCCGCGAAGTAGGGACACCATATTTATAGTATTTATTTAACAGGTACGTATTTAGTATTCAGACTTTTAAAACCCTCCCTTTACATAGAAAAAAATTTTTACTTCGTTTTTTTATAGTTTTATTACAAAAAGTGCATTTTATGATGAAATTGATGACAAAAAACAGGAATTTCTTGATATTTCGCATAGAAAAATACCGCAAACCGGTAAAAAATAACGCGAATAGGCGAATTTCCCTTGAATAAGGCTCCAAAGAAAAAATCCGCGAAGTCGTGAAACCGCTATAAACGAACCGCGAAGTAGCGAGGGATCACTGTACTCTGTCCTCTTTGAGCTTTGAAGAACAAGATTTTTACATCTTGTGTCTAAAAGCATGAAAACAATTATAAAGATCTGTTAATGGAAGAACTTTTCTTCTATTTTTCACCTTTTCTTCAGAAGTTTCTGCCGAACAACTGAAATCTGTTTTTACTTGGTTTTGTTTAGCTGGGCGAGTGCCTCTGACATAACAGGACAACGTATCAGTTGGAGGCTTTTGCGCTGCTGATTGGAAGTGAGATTACAGCAGATTGTAATCAGTCCTCTTAAGGAGGGATTAACATAGGTTACAGAAAGATTAGCTTTACGAGAAGGAGGCAAGTCTAAAACTTATCAGCTACATTCAGACTGGACTCGAAACCACCTGATAAAACATGTGAAGTTGTGTTTCAGATAGGGGTGGGGGCATGATGATGCGGGTCCAGAACAATGTAGAGATCGTTTAGAATGAATCTGGTTCTGTTTTTAATGAGATAACAATGTTCAGTATCCTATAAAAATGTCAAAAATATAAAACAACTAACTAAAATACATCATCTTTATTTAGAAATCAACAAAAGATGTCCAATCAACAACTTGTAGCCCCAAAACATAAAACCAGTCTATTAACTGTTTTTCCTCTTTTAGTCCCTATGGCTCTTTTCAGAACATGCAATGAACTTAACTTAAAATAAACTAGTACATTTTAAAAACCTGAGACATATAGATAAAAAACAAAACTTTTATATCAACTAACATTATTATTATTTATGTCTTTAATCATTTACATTTTATTATAAGCGTTGTCACCCCTAATGATTATAAAATGCAAGAAAAAGAAAATTATTTTCTAGCCTTTTTCTTAAAAGAAAATAAAACTAAATGTACAGAAAAATGTAAAAGTTTTAACTAATTTTGTTAAATTTTCAAACCTAATCTTTTTTTTTTTAATCTGATCATGAAGATCTGTTTTCTGAGCACAAAAATGGAAGGACTTTTCTTCTATTTTTCACTTTTCTTCAGAAGCTTCTGCCGAACAGCTTCGGAACCGCTTCAGTCTGAGTTCAGGTCTGGGCACGGCTCTTTTAAGTATTTTAAATGATGTGGTTTTAGTAACAGATGCCAGATATGTGGTAGAATAATCCTCCTTGAACCGTCACCTTATCGTGGTGGAGGAGTTTGAGTGCCCTAATGATCCTAGGAGCTATGTTGTCTGGGGCACTTAGTGCCCCTGGTAGGGTCTCCCATGACAAATTGGTCTTAGGTGAAGGGTGAGACAAAGAACGGTTCGAAGGATCTTTCATGGCGGTGAAAACGAAGAGTCGGAGTACCCGGCCCGGAGGGTTACCGGGGTCCCACCCTGGAGCCAGGCCTGGGGTTGGGGCCCGTGAGCGAGCGCCTGGTGGCCGGGCTTTCGCCCATGGGGCCCGGCCGGGCCCAGCCCGAACCGGATACATGGGCTCGTCCAACTGTGGACCCACCACCCGCAGGAGGAACATGAAGGGTCCGGTGCAATGTGAATCGGGTGGCAGACCAAGGCGGGAGCCTTGGCGGTCCAATCCCCGGACAAGAAAACTAGTTTTTGGGACATGGAACGTCACCTCGCTGGTGGGGAAGGAGCCGGAGCTTGTGGCAGAGGTTGAGCGGTACCGGCTAGATATAGTCGGACTCACCTCGACACATTGCATTGGCTCTGGAACCCGAGACCTGGAGAGGGGTTGGACACTCTACTTTGCTGGAGTTGCTCCGGGTGAGAGGCGGAGGGCTGGGGTTGGCTTTTTGTTAGCCCCGAGATTCTCTGCCTGTGTGTTGGGGTTTACCCCGGGGGACAAGAGGGTAGCTTCCTTGCGCCTTCGGGTCGGGGAACGGGTCCTGACTGTTGTTTGTGCTTATGGGCCAAATATCAGTTCAGAGTACCCACCCTTTTTGGAGTCCCTGGGACGAGTGCTAGATAGTGCTCCATCAGGGGACTCCATTGTCCTGCTGGGGGACTTCAATGCTCACGTGGGCAATGACAGCTTGACCTGGAGGGGTGTGATTGGGAGGAACGGCCCACCTGATCAGAACTCGAGCGGTGTTTTGTTATTGGACTTCTGTGCAAGCCGCAGTTTGGCCATAACGAACACCATGTTCGAACATAAGGATGCCCACCGGTACACTTGGTACCAGGGCAGCCTAGGTCACAGGTCGATGATAGATTTTGTAGTCGTATCATCTGACCTGCGGCCGTATGTTTTGGACACCCGAGTGAAGAGAGGGGCGGAGCTGTCAACTGATCACCACCTGGTGGTGAGTTGGATCAGATGGCAAGGGAACATGCCGCGTAGACCTGGCAGACCCAAACGCATAGTGAGGGTCTGCTGGGAACGCCTGGCAGAAGAACCTGTCAAGACGGTCTTCAACTCCCACCTCCGGCAGAGCTTTGACCACGTCCCGAGAGCAGTGGGGGACATTGAGTCCGAGTGGGCCTTGTTCCACTCTGCGATTGTCGAGGCGGCTGTTGCTAGCTGTGGTCGTAAGGTGGCCGGTGCCAGTCGTGGTGGCAACCCCCGTACCCGCTGGTGGACACCAGAGGTTCGGGGAGCCGTCAGGCTGAAGAAGGAGGCCTACAGGGCGTGGCTGGTCTGTGGGTCTCCGGAGGCAGCAGACAGGTACCGGATAGCCAAGCGGGGTGCAGCAGTGGCAGTTGCCGAGGCAAAATCTCGGGCGTGGGAGGAGTTTGGTGAGGCCATGGAGAAAGACTATCGATCGGCTCCAAAGAGGTTCTGGCAAACTGTCCGGCGCCTCAGGAGAGGAAGGCAGCAACTCGCTCACACTGTTTACAGTGGGGATGGGGAGCTGCTGACGTCAACTGAGGCTATAGTCGGACGGTGGAAGGAATACTTTGAGGAGCTCCTCAATCCCACCAATGCGCATTCCGAGGAGGAACCAGAGCTGGGAGGCCTGGGGATGGACTGTCCGATCTCGGGGGCAGAAGTTGCTGAGGTAGTCAAACAACTACACAGCGGCGGAGCCCCGGGGGCGGATGAGGTTCGTCCTGGGTATCTCAAGGCTATGGATGTTGTAGGGCTGTCATGGTTGACACGTCTCTACAACATTGCGTGGTCATCGGGGGCAGTTCCTAGGGAGTGGCAGACCGGGGTGGTGGTCCCCATCTTTAAGAAGGGTGACCTGAGGGTGTGTTCCAACTATAGGGGGATCACACTCCTCAGCCTCCCTGGAAAGGTCTACGCCAAGGTACTGGAGAGGAGGGTCCGATCGATAGTTGAATCTCAGATAGAGGAGGAGCAATGTGGTTTTCGTCCTGGCCGTGGAACTGTGGACCAGCTCTATACCCTTGCAAGGGTGATGGAGGGGGCATGGGAGTTTGCCCAACCAATCCACATGTGCTTTGTGGATTTGGAGAAGGCTTATGACCGTGTCCCCAGGGGCACCCTGTGGGGGACGCTCCAGGAGTATGGGGTGGGTGGCTTTCTGTTAAGGGCCATTCAGTCCCTTTACAAGAGGAGCGTGAGTTTGGTCCGCATAGCCGGTAGTAAGTCGGACCTGTTCCCAGTGAGGGTTGGACTCCGCCAGGGCTGCCCTTTGTCACCGGTTCTGTTCATCACTTTTATGGACAGAATTTCTAGACGCAGCCGTGGTGTGGAGTGTGTCGAGTTTGGTGGCAGGAGAATCTCGTCTCTGCTTTTTGCGGATGATGTGGTCCTCCTAGCTTCATCCAGCTCTGACCTTCAGCTCTTGCTGGGTAGGTTCGCGGCCGAATGTGAAGCGGCTGGGATGAGGATCAGCACCTCCAAATCTGAGACCATGGTTCTCGACCGGAAAAGGGTGGCTTGCCACCTCCGGGTCGGGGGAGAGGTCCTACCTCAAGTGGAGGAGTTTAAGTATCTCGGGGTCTTGTTCACGAGTGAGGGTAGGAGGGATCGGGAGATCGACAGGCGGATTGGTTCGGCGTCTGCAGTGATGCGGACGCTGAGCCGATCTGTCGTGGGGAAGAGGGAGCTGAGCCAGAAAGCCAGGCTCTCGATTTACCGGTCGATCTACGTCCCAATCCTCACCTATGGTCATGAGCTTTGGGTAATGACCGAAAGAACGAGATCGCGGATACAAGCGGCCGAAATGAGTTTCCTCCGTAGGGTGGCCGGGCTCAGCCTTAGAGATAGGGTGAGGAGCTCGGACATTCGGGAGGGACTCGGAGTAGAACCGCTGCTCCTCCGGATCGAAAGGAGCCAGTTGAGGTGGTTTGGGCATCTGGTCAGGATGCCTCCTGGACGCCTCCCCGGGGAGGTGTTTCGGGCATGTCCTGCCGGCAGAAGGCCCCCGGGTCGACCCAGGACACGTTGGAGAAGTTACATCTCCAATCTGGTCCGGGAACGCCTTGGGGTCCTGCCGGAGGAGCTGGTGGACAAGGCCGGGGAGAGGACGGCCTGGAGCTCCCTAGTTGGGATGCTGCCCCCGCGACCCGGACCCGGATAAGCGGAGGAAGACGACGACGACGAATAATCCCTTAAGATGGGGGTGCCTCAGGGGTCGGTGCTGGGCTCACTAAAGTTTTAGATTTACTTGCTGCTGTTGGAATGCTGCTATGGAAACACAATATCAGATTCCATCTTTACGTTGATGACTGCCAGATATATTTGCCAACACAACAGGGGTCTGGTTCAGTTGTAGATAGCGGCTAATTTTTTGGGATTTGGTGAGAACAAAACAGAGGTTATTGTTATACCCATAAAGACCAAGTTCACTGATTTTTTTCCAACACATCTGCAGTGGTCTCTAGTATAAATAAACGTTGTGTGAGTTTATCTCTGTAGGGAAAAAAAGCTCCGTGCTCCTGT